TCTTCGTGTTTGAAAACACTTTCCCCGGAAGGCAGTGAGGAGGCGCCGGCCTTGCACACAGAGGAGTGCCTGCACGTCGCACTTTAAAACAACACGAACACCGCACACAGCTGAGAAGTGGGCGCTCAGCCCCCACCTCCCCGTGGACACACCCTGCGAGCCAAACGCTGTTCTCGCACCGTTTTCCAGCCCAGGACTCGGGGCCCAGAGGGGCCGAGCAGCTGGCTCGCGGCCGCCCAGCCGGGGGAACGGCGAGGGTCCCGGCCCCGGCAGCCCAGCACAGCCCTCTCTCTGACCCGCACTTAGTCCGCTGCCCGAGCCAGAGTTGTTCGTTGTGAAGGGTCACGGAGAGGAAGGAGCAGTGGAAACCAGCGTTCCTTCAGACGCACACACGGCGGCTGCTCGGAAAGGCAGCCCCCAGCCCCGGCCACCTCCCGGGTGCCCCCAGAGAAACTCTCGGGAGAGGCGGACCAGGAAAAGGACGGAGATCCCAGGAGATCCCGGCAGGATTCACGCAGGTCTCAGCTGTTCGTGGGGCGGGTCAAGGCCAAGCCTCAGCCCACAGGGACAGAGCGCCTGTCACCTCAAGTGCCCCATTTACCAAGACGAGCTCGTGGCTTGGCTGCCCGACCACGCAGGGACCCACAGCATCAGCTCCGTCCAAGGCACCGGCCACCACACGCTGGCTCCCCGAACCTCCCTGCCCTCGAGTGGTTCTCCTCCATTCCGGTCTTCACACCCCGTGCGCAGAGACGGAACCATGGGCAGCGTTTTCCTGGCTCTCACCGTGACCCGGGGCCTCTCGGCGGCGCCGCACGGGCGTCACTCACCCCACACAGCCACCCTAGGAGGTGGCACCCGCATGTCACAGGCTAGAAGTGGTGGCGGCGAGGTGAGGCGCAGAGACGGGCTGGGCCCCAAACCCAGGCAGGTGTGTGTGCTCAGCTCCTGGGCCACCTGCCTGCCAGCGTTAGAGGGGAGAGAAAGAGGGACACTCACCTGGGCGGGGCACACGGTGCCATCGTGGGGCGCCTGACACCCTCAGGGCTCCGGGGAGGCAGGACGAGGCTATGATGATGCTGTTCCCGTTTGCACAGGAGGAGACCACGCCTCCGGGGTCTCGGCTGGAGGAGGGCGGAGCTGGACCTGAAGGCAGGTCTCCCAGTTCGAGGCCCACACACCCTCCTCATGGAGCTGCTCCGGGACACCGGCCGCTGTGTGGAGCCCTCTGCCCTGGCCCCTGCCCACTGGTCTCCACCTCCTGGGCCCCAACCGGGCTTCCGCCCCTGGAGGAGCCGAGAGCCGGGTGTCGGCACGGAGCACAGTGCGGGCATCGGCACAGCGCAGGAGCCCTGGTCCCTTCTGGAAGCCCCGCCGGGCGCTCCTTCTGCTCCAGGACCACAATGCCCGTCACGGCTCAGCCCAACGCCACCTTCTCTGCTCCTCCATGGCCGGCGAACTCCCCGGGGCCTCATCCGCCTCCTGCCCCCCGGCAGCCAGATCCCGCTTCCCTGCCCTGAGGTCACTCGGGCCCATGCATGCATCACCCACCTGCCCAGGTGGGAGCACCTGCGGGACGGGACACAGATGGCCCCTCGTTGAGGTCGAGAAGCAAATGCCCTTTTGCTAAACCCCATCTCTCCGCTCCCACGTCTGGCTTGTCGATGGCTTCGAACCACACCCGGCCCATGGCAGGGGCTGGGAAAGGAAATGCTGAATTGAATTGACATATCGGGTGGGTGTTGGCGGGGGGGCGGGGGGTCAGGGGCAGCAGGGGCCCCCACCACGCACCCCAGTGGGAACAAACTCTACAAGCTCCAAGTGTGGGGGGGAGGGGGAGTGGGGCTGGCCAGGACTCTCAAATGGCAAACGCTTCTCTGCTTTTCCCCAGCAGGTGCCTCCAAGAACGTGCCCGGACAGCAGCACGGGTGTGTGAAGACGTGTCTGTACACGCACGGTCCTCCCAGGGCCGGCCGAGCGGCTAAGACCAGGGGCAACGCAACTGGCCAATGACCGGGGACTGGTCAGACCCACCCGGTGGAAAACGAGGCCACAGTTCCAAAAGCAGACGAGCAAGTAAGTTCTCCTGTGGAAGGTGCATATTACATTTAGAGAGTGGAGTGCAGGACAGGCTTCGGAGCATGTGTCCATCGGGGTGGGAAGGGGGGCGCATGCGTGGGCGCCTGTGTGTGACCGCCGAGGACACGCAGGCCGCCCTGGAAGGGTTCGTGAGGGGCCGGGCGCACGCTGGCTGCCGGCAGGGGCGGGCAGGAGACTCGCACCATGCAGACCCTGCGCCTCCTGGAATTTTGAACAGTGAAAACGTGTTACCTGTGCTAAAAATACACCTTAAGTGGAGCAGGAAAGTCACAGTGGGATTCCTTCTGGCACCTTCCACCGGTCTCCCTACAGAAACACACACGCATCTACCCCCCTTTCCTGCCTGACCCGCCGACCCCTGCAGGGCCCGCTTCTGCCGCCACTTCCTCCAGGAAGCCCCGTCCCCCGCTGACCTCCAACCTCGCTGGTCGGGTGCCACTCTGCGCCCCGGGCCGTGTTCTCCCTGCCACGCTCTGCTCGTGCCACTCTGGCTTGGTGTCTCTGCCTCCCCAGGAGTCCGGAGGACCGGGACCCGGAGGGAGACCCGGGCGACCCAGCCCCAGCCTCTCCCCTGCCCTGGCAGGTGCCGGGGAATCACCAGCTGGGCAGACGCGTGGCCACACGGGGAAACCCGCACGGGGCAGCCCACGAACCAGGCGGCAGGGCAGAGCCAAGCTCAGCCTTGCCGCCGCTTGGCCACCCGCCAAGCCAGTCCCCACCTCTGATTTGCCTAAAAGCCTGGGGGCGGGAGGGGGGGTGGGCCGGGGGGTGGGCACTGTGCCAAAGGAGGGGGTAGACACTTACCTCACTGGGGTCAGGACTCCCGCGCCGCAGAGCCTGGCCGGGCTCCCCGAGGGCGGCCACCATTGTCGTTTGCCGACAGCCGGTTTGACAAATGGTTTTCTGCGGCCGCGGCCGGGCTGGCCCATCTGGCTGGTCCCCAGGGCGCTTCGGGTCACCGCAGGGGCATCCCCGCAGCCGGATCCTGCCTGACCCCTGCTCGGCCATCAGGGCGGGTCCCGCACCCCAGCCCGGGAGCCTCTGACGGGCGGGGCCCTGGCTGCCTCAGGCCCACGGCCGACCTCTTCCGAGGGCCGGGCCTGCCGCCCAGGCGAGGGAAGTGCTGGAGTGTGCCACCCACCGTTACAGCCCAGGCACCCGGCGCTGGCCCAGTGTGAGGCAACCCAAACCCGCCCCCCTCCCCCTGCCCCGGGGAAGAAATCCGCAGCTCGGGTTAACACGCGCTGTCTGGCTGCGGAACATGATGGATGACGGTCATCCGTCACGCTGCGAGGGCCGCCTTGGCTCCCCGTCCCTAGGGCCTCCCCACCGAGCCCCAGATGTGAGCAGAGGCCGCAGGGGGCTCTCGAGCGACCAGATGCCCAGCATCCGACCGCGACAGAGCGGCCAGGGACAGGAACCGACCCCCCACTCCCCGTGCAGGCTGCTGGCTCAGCGGGGCAGCTCGGCCGGCTGTTCGCCCGACTCCTCCCAGTTCTCCCCGTCCTGTCGCCGTATTCCCAGGGCACAAAGCCAATGGCGTCGTCCCTGCGTAAGGGGTGGGGGGAGGGGAGAGATCAGGAACCAACGCTGCCCGACCAGCTGTGCAGGACGCCGCACCGGCGGCAAGGGACAGGGGCGGCTGCGGTGGCTGAAAGGGCCTAAGTGCTGACGACAGTGGTTTCCAGCGTGGGGACTCCGGGGGGGGCGGGGGCGGTGACAAGGGGGCCGAGGGTCCTTGGGGACAGAGACGGCATCGTCTTTACTCCTGCTTCCCAGCATGCACCTGAGGACCGGCCCCCCACGGTGCTCCCCACTAAGTGTTTCGGGAAGAAAACGGACGGTGCGTCCACGGCTCACTCAGTCCAAGGATACGGGATGATGGGCGCGATGACCCTGGACGTGACCACGGCCCCACGGGCTCCGTGAGGTGGGGGCCGCTCAGCGTGCTCACGCCCACTGCCCCCCTGCTTGTCTCGAGAACCCACCACATCCCTTCCCGCCACCGCACCTAAGGCGCTAACCTCCAGGGAAGCTGGGGGAGGGTGTGTGGGGACACCCCGCCCTTCTCATTTCAACATAAGAAAGGTAAAATGCACTCGTTTAAATCCCACGTGTTTTGCCTGCTGCCTGGGGAGCCCTCGGTTTCTGGTCCTGGTCCTGCCTTGACCCTGCGGGGCAGCCGCGTCCAGGAGGAAACAGAACCGGACCAGGAGCTGAGCTCTGCGCCCCCCAGCCCTTCACCAGCCCGCTCCCAAGGGAGAGACGGGTCGCTGAGAGCTGAGCCTGGGCACAGGTCTGGGCGGGTGGGGCCCAAGCTCCCCCGGTTCTTTGTCTGGGTGGCCTGCTCTCAGAATGGAGGCCTTTCTCTGCCGCCCCTGGGCCTTGGGGGGAGGAAGGGGTGCTGGCGGGGGGGGGGTGAGGCAATGACGTGACCCCCTGCAGCTGCCCTAGCAGGGGGCCACTCCTCCCCCCGTGGAGTTCAGTTTCCTGCCTCAGGGCCTTAGAACATGCTGTTCCCTCTGACTGCCACACCCTTCCCCACCTCACCCGAGTGTTGGACACCCCATGGGGCCCAGGGGCTTTGCTCAGCGGCATTCCTTCCTGAACAGCCTCCCATTCCCTGAAGCCAGCCAGAGGCGGCCCTTCCCTTCGTCACCCATCGGTGACTTGTCTGCACAGGTCCGTCCCCTTGTCCTGGGAGCTCCCTGGAGCCGGGACCAAGGCTGACTGGCCTCTCTCTCACCCTCGGACCACGCGGCCTGGCTGTCACCAAAGGCTGAATGAATGGACCGATTAGAAAGTTCTGACTGGTTTTTATTGTTTCAAAATTTAAAATATAGAATTACTTAAATCAAGCATTTCATTTGGTAGACAAAAAATCTTTTAAAATCCGGGGGGCGGGTCCCAGGGACAGGGGAAGAACAAAACGGCTGACTCTGTTCGCAGCTGCCAGACCCGCCCGAGGCACCACCCCCCAGCGCGCCGGCCGCTGGGCGGGGCCGTTGTTCTCCGTTCTGGGGGCCGCCCGTGCACTGGGGGGCACTCAGCAGCATCCTCCGAGTCTACCCGCTCGATGCCAGCAGCAGCTTCCCAGGTGTGACGACAGCAGTGTCTGCAGACACCGCCAATTGTGGTGGCTCCTCGGGGACAAAACCAGGCCCGGGGGGATGGGGGGTGGGCACCGCAGGGCCGGCCACCCGATGCGGGCTCCGTGAGTGCTCCCTGTGGCGCCTGGGCGCCTGCCACGGCTGCAGCCCTCGGGGTCTGCGAGGTGCCGCCCCTTCTCCTCCCCAGCTCCGGCAGCCACGGAAGCCCCGGCGCCGAAGGCAAAGCCACTTGCCGCCGAGCGCGGCCTTTGATCGCTGCCGATCTCTTAAAGCGTTCTCCGAAGGCTCCGCTTCAAATATTGATGGAGTCCGGGACACGGCCCCGGCGAGGGAGCGGTCCTGTCGGGGTTACGGCTCCAGCGGTGATGGATGGGCCCGGGAGCTGCTGCGGATGCTGTGCCGCAGCTCTCTGTGGAGGGCCAGGATCCTCGCGGGGCTCCGGAGCTCGGCGGCTCGGGGGGCCGGGGGGGCCGCTCCGCCTTCTCCTTCTCCTCCTCCGTGCGGACGCCGGGCAGGGGGTCCCGACGTCGGGGTGGCCTCGGCCGGGTATCGTCCCGGACCCGGGGTGGGCCCCGGAGGCAGAGGGAGCTGGAGGCAAGAGCACAACAAAAGGGTGTCCGCTGCTACGCGTCCATAAGAGCCCTCTGGCCCCACGCGTTATCCAGGGACAGATGGCACCCGGCACCCGGCACATATGGGGCACCTTCTGCGTCTGACACCACACCTGCCCCCCCGGCACTAGGGCACCTCCTCCTGCGGGGCTCGGCGAGGCCCACGCCACCACCGCTGCTGCGTGGTGGGGGGCAACCGGAGGGGGGGTGGGGGGCGGTGCTCACCCCGTGCCACCCAGCAAGCAGGTCCCCGACAAGACAGCTGGGGGTGTCCCCACGGAGTGTGTGTCCTCTCTAAGTTTTCTTGTTCCCAGTGACGACAGAGAGTGACCCCCCCACCCAGAGGGAACCAGCGTCTCCTGGACGCCAGCCCCCCTGCCCCCCCCCCACCCAGCGCTGCCCTCGGCTCTCACAAACATGCCCTTTCACAGGGCCTCACTCCGTCCCCCCGACGGGGGCAGGTCAGAAACACGTCACAGAGGAGGGAATGGTGACCCGTTTCAACGCCTCTGAATAGCTCGGAAGTGGCCGGGTCAGCGTGCAGGCCCCAGCCCATCCGATCCCAGCCCTCGTCTCTCTGGGTGGCGACCAGCAGCGATTACACGGGGGTTAGCCCTTCACGCCCAGCCTCTCCCATTCACCGAGCGCTGTCCCTGCTAGCCGCGGGCGGGCCCCTGTGCTCAGCAACGGGTCCTGCTCATGGTGTGACCTGTGCGTCTGGGGCCTGACCAGTGGCATCAGCAGAACGGAGCAAACTGCCCCAGGGGCCCCCGGAGGCAATGACCCTCGAGCTGAGCTCAGTGCCCCTCCCTCGGCGGCGGAAGCTGCTGCGAAAGGTGCAGCCGGGGAGGAGGGGACTGGTGATCGAGGAGCAGCTCCCTGCACCGCCTCACTGGGGCCAGTCCCCGCCCACAGGTGCTCCCGACCCAGGGGGAGAGGCTGATGAGCCCACGAGTGATGGTGCTCCGGACGTGGGGCTGAAAGGTGCCGTGGGGCTCCTGGGCGGGGTGGGCAGGGGGCAGCGACCTCAACCTCGCACTGTGGAGGGGGAGGGCCTTCTGGAGGAGGCGGAGTCAGAGCTGGATCTGGGGGTGGCGCAGGACTCTGCTCCGTGTTAAAAGCCGAAGGTCATTCCGCACAGAGTAACGTGCGCACAGAATGTCCACACCAACGTAGGGAATCTGGACTCTGGTCAGTATGCAACGCTGGCGCTAGTTGAAACCACGGGGAACCACTGGTTTCACAGGGACGGGGGGGGGGGGTGTGCACAGCGGCAGTCGCACGTGGTTCAGCCCGTGGCGCCGAGTGTTCATGGAGCTCCTGCGGCGTGCCGGCCGTCGTGCCAGGCCAGGTGCGCCCAGGTATTCATTTAGTCTTTGACCCAAAGAGGTAACGTGATCATCCCGTCACACAGATACAGACACAGAGGCCCAGAGAGGCAAAGTGACGTGCCCGAGGCCACACAGCTGACAAGGAGGCAGAGCCAGGTCCGGAGCCCAGGCCGCCTGGACCCCGAGCGGCACCGCTGCCCAGCACAGTCTGCTGCCAAGCCCAGGGGCGGACGCAGGGTCTTCCGTGGGAGAGGGACAGGATCCGGCTCGTGTCACACAGGGACAGACACTCAGGTCCCAAGGGGTGACCAGCCTCTTCTGGCCGTTTTTGTGTATTTGTAGTCTCCCCCAACCTACCTTGTTTTCCCCGTCTGTGAGCCTACCACGAAAGAATATGACTGTGACATGTGACAGTCATACTAAGTTACTGCCCTTCTAAAATGACCTTGTTTTGCCTGCGGGTCGCTAATGCCCTGGTGCAGCGATTGAACAAACTGGCTTTGTTAACCGTGGGAAGCTCTCGCCCAGAGCGGCCCAGACACCCAGCTCGCCATCTGGCTTCCCTGGGGCACAGGGCTCTGCGCCCCCACGTCCTTTCCACGCGACCTGAGCTGGGGCCGCGGTGACAGTGCAGTGTGGGCGGTGAGGACAGGATGCCTGCCCGGCCCCCTGGAGAAGTGGCCCGACAGTGCCCTCTCTGGCTAATGATTCCCCCAGGAAGGCCCTGTGGCACCTTCCTGTGGTCCAGGCGCTATGTAAAGCATGGTGCGGGGACGGGGGGGGGCGTGTCCAAATGGACGTTCTGTCCTCTAGCCACAAAGAGACCAGAGCAATCCCATGGACTTGAATGAAGTCCAGCCGAGGAAGAGTTCTCATCGGCGGCATGCTGCGTCGGCGGGGTTAACTGCGAGGACAGCTGAACAGGGAGAGACTCGGAACCGGGGGCGGTAAGACGTGCTTTGGGCGCAACCAGTTATTTCACTTATGCTCCAGCCACGTCCCCGAAAGCTTTGCTACGGGCGTCCAGCCAGTGTCACCCGGAGCCGACGTTCGAGAGCTTTCCACGCACCGAACTCCAGAGCGGAGCAACCAGGGGGACCGGAGGGACCTGTCCTGTCTCCCGGCCCCGCCTGGCACTTCGGCTGGGCCAGCTGCTTCCCTGCCCCACGCCTCACCTCCTCTCCTAGGGGACATGGGGCGAAGGCTGACACCCCCATGGCGGGCCCGTATGAACATCACTCGGATACGTTAACGCATTGCATACATAGGATGGCACAGAGAAGCATGCACAGGGCCCTGGCTGGCGTAGCTCAGTGGACTGAGCTCGGGCTGCAAACCAAAGTATCGCAGGTTTGATTCCCAGTCAGGGCACATGCCTGGGTTGCAGGCCAAGGCCCCCGGCAACCGCACGTTGATGTTTTCTCTCTCTCTCTCTTTCTCCCTCCCTTCCCTCTCTAAAAATAAATAAATAAAATCTTAAAAAAAAAGAAGCATGCACGGAATGGGAGTGGTGTGTCTTTATCCTCCCATTCTTATCAGCACCATCGTTGCGACCTCTGCACCCCCCTCCGCACCCTCAGGCTGTGCACGGCAGCCACGCCCCGCTGCCTACAGCACCCCCACTACTCCCCGGGCGCTTGCCCCTCTGTCTCTGCAGGTCCCGCTCCCTCGCCTAGACTGCCTTCCACCTGCCTGGGGCCACAGAGGTCAAAAGTCCAGGGTCGGCGGTCATCTTCCTGGGAAGAGAGCAAAGCGGGAAAGGAAGTCTTGCTATCGGCAGTAAGCCCCGCAGACACGTCCTTTGGAATGAAAGTCACCAGTCAGGGAAAGACAAGTTTCAGAAGGTCAGTGCCAATCGCTGTCACTGACCGAGCCTGTCCCTCACGCCAGGTGGCACCTGGCTCAGGTCCCGAACACACCAGGCTCTGCTCACCCGGCCCTGCCCTCATGGGGGCGTAGGCAGCGTCTGCCCCTTTCCCAGGCGAGGACAGTTAGGCACAGACACCTTAGGAGCCTGCGCAGCCACCTGCTGAGTCACGGATCAGCCCGAACTCGGGCCCGTCAGACTCCAAATCTCAGAGTCAGTAAAAAACACATTTTCTCTGAATGCAGGGCGCTGCTCCGGCTCTAACGGACGGACTAGGGCACTCTGGGCCAGACCTCCACCGAGGACGACCGGGAAAGCTGGACAAAATGTAACCAAATGCCTACTCACACCGTCTGAGAGCACCTAAGCCCCCGAGCACGTGTGGGGCCGACACGGCAAAGGGGAGAGATGCCGCGAGCAGCCGGCTCAGTGCCGGGCCCAATGTCCCCGGCGGGCGAGGGCAGAGGCTGTCCATGGCGGCGGCGGCTGAGAGGTGGGAAGCCCGGCCCAGCTCCGGGGGCTCGGGGAGGGGAGGCTGCCGACACGTACAGGCACGACAGGCTCTGCTCCGGACCCCGGAAGGCTGTGCCCTCGGCACGAGAGTGAACGGGAAACGAAGCAGACCCCCCACGCGCCGAGACCACTGATGGGAGGAGGGGTCCGCACCCGGCCGGGCTGCCCGTCAGAAGCCACAGAAGCCCTCTCTGGGCGAGGACAATGTCACGCTAAACCTCAGATGATGTTTCTGCACGAGGGTTCGCACACGATGCCTAGCACTCACTGAAAAATAACCAGACGCGGAACACGTGATTGGATCAAACGCACAAACGGAGAAACAGATCATAGAAAGTGACCGGGAGAGGGCACCAGGCTTTGTGGAGTTGATCCTTTTCTAGTTCCTGACCCGCCACCGACGTCACGGGTGCCCAGCACGCTCCGACAGCTCACTGAGCTGCACGCCCACATGCTGTGCCCTTCTCCCTGTGTGTCTTACACCTTCAGTTAAAAGGATCATTTAAGAAACCAGGTGACAGATGTCCTCTCACCTCCAGAGAAGCCGGTGGAGCTGTCTGTGCCGGCCACATGGCCTCAGCGAGGGGCTGGGACTCGGCGCACGCAGGTCTCGGGAGGACGCTGTCCGTCTCAGGGTTTAGGAGATACTTCTGAGCTGGAAGAGAATATGCTCGGTCAAGCCTCAGCCCAGACGTCTACACAATCAGCAAGAGTCTGGGCCTTGTCATGACCTGTTTCATTCTCTTCCACCCCCACTCCCGTGATCGAGAGCCCCTTGGGGGTGCCTTCAACTCGCCAAGCACCCATCCACACACCCCTGAAGGTCCCGTCAGGGTCATGCACGTCCTAGAAAACTGCCTGCCCACCTGCCTCACCTTCCCCTGCAGGCTCCTTCTGCCCAGGGGCCGCCAGCTCCACCAGCCGGCTCACCTCTGCAAACCCACAGCACCTGCCTGGGGGGTGGGGGGGGACGCGCACGGCAGCCTTGCAGAGAAGCCGAAAGCATTCGCAGCTCAGTCCGTCCAGTGCACGCCCTTGTTTGAGAGGCGAGGGGGCTGAGCCCAGAGAACGGAGGAGCCTGGCACACATCAGAGGCGGAAGCGGGGACAGCTGAATTGATCCCCCCCCCCGCCCCCGATTGTGAAACGGGTCAGCTAGAGACCCAAGACAGATCTGCTTCCCTGTGCCAGGCACCAGACACCCCTGAGGAAGGTCGTAGTGTCCTCCCTTTGGAAAGTCGGAATCGAGGGCTCTGGGGGGGCTATTCAACACATCCAGGATCACGCCGCCAGTAAGCACAGAGTCTGGTGGTAAGCAGACCTGCCGAGGGGCTCAGTCACCTAGAGCTAACCCCACCCACCCCTCCCCCACGGTTTTACTGAGCACCTGACCGGAAAGGAACCCGAAACAAACCCTCAGAAGCTCACCCCGCCCACGTGCAGGTGGTACACGGCACTTGCACAGGAAGTTCTGTCTGGCCAGGTAGCGTCCTAATTTCATTTTTTTAATAATAAAAACAGCAGCAGCACAAAAAGACCACCCAGGTGACCACCCGTCTAAGAACCACTGCTGGGGTCTCGGTTGCTCTCCTTCCCAAGGCTGCCAGTCGCACAGGGTCACTGGAGGCATTTGAGACATTTCCTTTCCCGTCTCTCTCTCTCTTTTTTTTTTTTAATATTTTATTTATTTATTTTAAGAGAGGGAAGGGAGGGAGAAAGAGAGGGAGAAACATCCATGTGCGGTTGCTGGGGGTCATGGCCTGCAACCCAGGCATGTACCCTGACTGGGAATTGAACCTGCGACACTTTGCTTCGCAGCCCGAGCTCAATCCACTGAGCTACGCCAGCCAGGGCTCCGTCTCTTTTTGATTTAGCGGCATATCGTCATTTCCGTGGCATCGCACGGCGCTGCGCAGCAGCATCTTAGTGGCTGCTGTTTCCTGGGGTATATGAGTTCATGAGCCATCCCGGCGTTTCTTTCCTTTTCCCCCAGCTCGTCACTATTATAAATGCCCTGGCGTGGACGTTTGTCCCTTGAGCCTTCCTGCACACAGGATTGTTTACTTAGGGGGGAGTCTCACGGAGCCCATCAGACAAATAACGAACCCAGCCACTGCACAACGGAGCCGGAGCTGCCGGCCCAGGGGACTGTCTGGCACCTCTTACGCCTCAACACGTCTGGACTGGGCCCGGGGCCGCCCTGTGTGCTCCAAAGACACGTTTGCAGAGATAACAAGCAGGCCGTTGTTGGGGCTGCTGGTCTGGTGACTGCCCGGCTGGAAATTAGCAACACTGTTTGGAATCTGCGTCACCGTGTTGGCGCATCTGCGCCAGCAGCACCCACCGCCTCGGTCCCCCGACGGACACCGTTTGCGCTTCTGTCTGAAGGGGCGCTCTCCTGAATTCTCACTGACCTCAGCTCAGGGCTGGGTGCCTCTCGCTCTGAAAGGCCTTTCATTTCTGGGCCCCCCAGTGCAACCGCAGGCTGAGGGCCCGGGCCACTGCGGCCGGGGCATTTCCCTTTTTCTCATCTGCTCTCCGGAGCCTGTGAACTGGGAAGGCTGCGGAAGTGGGGGGGGGGGGGGAGGGAGCGGGCATGGTTCCCTCATCGGCCGCACTTGACCGTGGGCCTTCTCCCGCCCTGGCCGCCTGGCAGACTGTCCCGCTGGCTGGGACCCGGTCTGGGCCCACAGGCTGCTCCTCGTGGACGGTCGCACTGACCTCTTACAGCCGCTGCCTCCTCAGGCTGGAAGTCCAGGCGGTGGGTTGTCTGGAAGAAAAGACCTCCGCAGTTACTCTGCACGACACGGGAGGAAAAGCCTCACACAGGCGACTGCGACCGAGCAAAGCAGGGCCACCCGCCCCTCCCTGCCCATCTGTGAGGACCAGCCGTGCAGCCACAGAGGGAGCCACTCACTGGGAGTCTGAGCCCTTGTGCCAGGCCCCTCGCAGCTGCCTTATTCCCCACAGTGCCATGCGGCACCTGGCGCCCGCTTCTCACATGATTACAGGGGTGCCAGGTTCAAGTGCAGGCTCTGCTTGGGCGACAACGCAGCAACGTCTGGGCTGGAAACCCACTTACAGACGCGTGCATTGGGAAAGATTGTCCTCGGTTTCCTCACCGGGAGGGGGTAATAGGATAATAAGAGTGATAAGGGAGTAATAGTGATAATAATGGCCCTGGCCAGGTGGCTCAGTTGGTTGGAGCATCGTCTCGCACACCAAAAGGTTGTGGGTTCGAGCCCCGTTGCGGACGTGTACAGGAGCAGCCGATCCATGTCTCTCTCTCACATTGATGTCTCTCTCTCTCTTCTCTCCCCTCTGACATCAGTGGAGATATTCTCAGGTGGGAAGTACAAAAATAAAATAAAAATAAATAATAACGTAAGGTAGTGGCTTCCCAGAGGACGACTTGTATTGTCCCATCACACACAGCACACGGAAAAATGCCCGTGCCTGGCGGGTGGCGTGTGCGAGGGTCCCCTCCCGAGGCCACACAGCTCGACGGCGGCAGAGCTGAGATTCGAACCCGGGCTCCTTGTGCCCGGGGCCCACCCGGTCGACAACGGCCCACACAAGGACCAGGTTCCCACGACACTGGACATCCTCATTCAGTCTGTACGACACCTCTGCCGGTAGGTGGCGGTGTTCCCACTTTACAGGTGAGAAAACTGAGAATCAGCGTCCCTAAGGGCCTTGTCTAGAGACTCGCACAGGCGTCGTTGGCTTGTCTCAGCCCTTCCCCGGCTTCTTCGCGGTGCTCACTGCGACTTGCGGTGCCTGCCCGCTCCTCGTTTTGGCCTGTCTGGTTTGCCGTCTGGCCCCAGCGCCCGGGGGCCAGGCCTGGCTCGTGGCAGTGGGTGCTCAGTATTCTGGGGGAGCCTCCCTGCCCGAGGGGCGATGTGCCCAGGCCCAGGGACATACCCCCACGGGACATGGAAGCCTCAGACTGATGACGCAGCCCCTGCTCCCCTCCTGGCTCCCCAACAACCCGTGATCGTAGAGACTAATGAGTGCATGAATGAACGGGCCTGGCTTCCAGGGGAGTGGGGAGAGCATGCTGACGTTTCCCCATCCGTCCACCCGCCTCCAGCCCGTGCGTAGTTGTGCTTCTCAGAGGAAGTGACTGAACTAGTGTTCGGGTTTGTACATCAGTGTCTGTGAATCTGGCCGCTACGGGTCGGCCCGTGCGATCCCGGTGAGCATCTCTGAGTTCCAGCCGCAGAGCCTGCAGGGCTGAGGAGCGGCCGCGGAGGGACGGGCTCTCACTGCCAAGGGTCCTCCCGGGCGACGCCGCCAGCTGCATCCGGTGCCCTGAGACTTTGCTTCGTCCTGCCTCAGCGCCAGGCATCTCCACGGCGTGCTGACCCATTTCCCCAAAACTCCGCCGGCTCTGAAGAGGCTGGACCCGCTCGGGCATGCCCCCTCCGTGGCACGTCAGGCGTATCCGTGGGCCACGGAGGAGGGCAGCGGGATGGGGCTGACTGTGGGCCGTGGGACGCAGAGCAAGCTCCCCGGGCGAGGCCGCACGTGAGCTGTGTCCGGGGGTCGGAGAGGAGGCCCAAGGGCGAACCGGAATCCTGCCACAGAAGCAGCAGGCGCTGAGGTCCCGAGGCCCAAAGGAAAGAACCTTCTGGTGAAAGGAACCACAGTGCCAGCAGGACACTGAACCCAAGTGGCTGCGTGTGTGTCTGTCCACCGTGGTGCTGTGGGCGCCGCAGGGGACACACGGCCAGGCGCCCTCCCCACGTCAGCCCGGGCACAGGTGCCGGTGCGGAGCCGGGGTGCAGGGTGCATTTCCGGGGGGGGGGGCAGCGGGCAGAGGGAGGGAAGAGCAGTGCGGGTCAGGCAGGCAGGGGCACGGGCGGGTCATGCGCCCACAGCCCCCACGGGACAGGGACAGCGCCGTCCGTGGGACCCTACCTCCGGGAGCCCTGGCACCAGGAAGGCGGCCGCGTACTCGGCCAGCGCCACGTCGTCCACCATGCCGCGCACCACCTCGGAGAGTAGGGCGTCGGCCGCCCCACGTCCACGCAGCTCCTGCAGCAGCTGCACCAGCAGCTGGTTCCGGTCCCGGCACTTCTGCACCAGGGAAGCCAGCTTGGCCTGCGGGAGCAGGGGCATAGCCGGGTGGGCCCCTGGAAGCAGGGCTCCCACGGGGGCCGGGCGTTGGGTCCCCGCTCTGCACCCCTCTCCCTGCAACCCCCCTCCCCCCAGAAGCCAGAGACAGCGTTGACACAAGCTGCCCCCCGCTGCACCCCCAGGGGCCCCCCGCTGCCCCGGCTGCCCTCCGGATGGGTCAGGGCATGGGCTTCGGCGCTGCCACCGGCCAGCTACGTGGCCAGGCTTCTCTCCGACCCCGCCTTGCTGGTGTGTGTGCCGCGGGTGTTGCCAAGGGCACCAGGACAAAAGGGGGCCGTGTAGGCGGGGCCCTGCCATGGGCCACACCCTTGGGAGACACCAGGCACATTACTGCCACCAGCACGAGTGACCTTAGACCCGTCCCTGCACCCTCCATCCCCTTCACGGTGACCCCACTTCTCACTCCTCCTGTTCCAGCCACTCCGGTCCCTCCCCCTCCCCAGCCCCCCGAGTCCCCCCGCCACGGCTCTGCGGCTCCTGCACGTCCCAAGCCCAGACAAGCCCGGTCGGTCTGCTCAGAGGCTGGCCTGGGCCGCCTCCCTGATGTCCAGGGCCTGGCGTTCCTCTGTGCCAAGATTTTATTTATTTATTTTTAGAGAGGGGAAGGGAGGGAGAAAGAGAGGGAGAGAAACACCAATGCGTGGTTGCCTCTTGTGCGTCCCCCACTGGGGGCCTGGCTCTCAACCCAGCCATGTGCTCTGACTGGGAACTGAACCCGTGACCCTTTAGTTCACAGGCCCGGACTCAATCCACTGAGCCACACCAGCCAGGGCTCCCTGCTGTTAATTCTATATTTGTGGGTCTGTCTCCCACACAGCCTGGCAGCTCCTCAAGGTCAAGGCCGTGTCATCACTGGGCACCGCGTGGCCCTTAGGATGGATGACATGAGTGAGTGACTGCCCCCCCACACGAAATGTCTGCATGTGTGTGTGTGGGGGGGTGACAGACTTGTCCTCTCAAGGGCGGCCCTCCCAGTGTGCCCTCCTGCTCCATCAGAGGAGGAGGTGATGACCCCTGCGCATCCCAGAGGTTCAAGGCCGTCTGCACATCAGGGCCCAGGCAGTGGAGTCTGGGCACCCAGGAATGACAGGCAGGCAGGACAGGAGGACAGTGACATGGAGGTGAGGCCCCCAGACTGCGTCCCCTGGATCACACCGCACCTGAGAACGTCAGGGCCTCATCCCCCCGCCGCCCCGGCTGACACACCTTGTGCCCCTTCCCCAGAGAAAGAGGCCACCGCTGATGGCGGCAAGACCGTGGAGGGACAGTGTGGCTGGGGGGAGGGTCCAGGCTGTGACACCGGACAGAGCTGGGTCCGAAGCTCGGCGCCGCCGCTGACTGTGCAACGGTGGACAAGTCACCGCATCCCTGTGCACCTCAGTTTCCCCACCCATAAAGTGCGCTCATGTCCCCCCGTGATGTGCTGTTGGGGGACTTAGAACGCAGCAGGGGCGGGGGGTGCCTGGTACCCCCCCCCGCAGGTGTTCCACAAGGGTGGCTGTCGTCGTCGTCATGAACCCGCACAAAACCGTCCTGCCAGGCCGGCGCCATGGTTCCCATAGGCCGCTGGGTCCCAGCTGACGCTGGGGGAGAGGAAGCGGCAGCCCAAGGGGAGGCGGGGTTGGGCCCCAGGCCGCCAGGGCCCCTCCCGTCCAGTCCCCCCTCCTCTGCGCCGGGCCGGGCGTCAAGGACGCTGCGGCAGGCGCCCGGGTGTTATCTGGATCTCATGCCAGCACTTCCCAGGGCGCCAGGGGTCACGGGCCTCGCTGAGGCCCCCGGAACGCAGCCAGGGCCGAGAACCAGAGAGGGCAGCGCGGGAGGGCCTGACGTTCCGGGGAGTTTCCGGGTTCCCCTGCACTTTCCCGGGGACGACACGGGGCACGGGGAGCGTCAGCACGAGCTGCGGGAGCGGCCCCGCGGGAAGGACCGTCTGGCGGAAAGGACCGCTGTCCCGCTCCACAGACACAGGCCCGAGGCTCAGGTGGGCGCACGCGGGTTCCGGCCGGGAACGTGAACATGTGCCGGCGTGGGGCTCACGTTTCCGGTGGGACAGCTGGGGGGAGCGAGGCCCAGACGGGCGGGACTCGGGGGTGAGGGAGTCCAGAGGCGGAGCCCAGGCCTGCGACCCTCTCTCCCCGCTCCCCCCACATTCCGGGGAACAGAAAGAAAGGGCAGGCCGTCTGGGGGGAACCACCCAAATCCCAGCGCCGGTTTTGAGACGGAACAGGCCACCGCCATCCCACCGCACCTTGGACGAGCAAAGAACCGGCGCAGGGAGTCCTGTGGCCAGGAACGCCGTTTCCGGGAATCTTGTAAAGAAATGTATATAGATTGTGGGGAAACCGTTCAAATAAAAAGTGTGCACCGCCCTGGCTGGCGTAGCTCAGTGGATTGAGCGCGGGCTGCGAACCAAAGCATCGCAGGTTCGATTCCCAGTCAGGGCACATGCCTGGGTTGCAGGCCAGGTCCCCAGTAGGGGGCGCATGAGAGACAACCACACATCGATGTTTCTCTCTCTCTCTTTCTCCCTCCCTTCCCGTCTCTAAAAAATAAATAAATGAAATATTTTTTAAAAGGGTGCACCATGCTGTTTACATACAGTAAAGCGAGAGAAAGAGCGGGAGGAGAGAAGGAAGGAGGGACGGACAGACGGACGTGAGCACACTGAGGGGTGGCGGCAGTGGCGGTGTGGGAACCGCCGTGTCTCCAGGATCACCCTGCGGCAGGAGCGGCCCCTTCAAGGTCGGCGAGGGCAGGACGGCCCTCCTGGGGGGCGTGCTCCGGTGGGGAGAGCGGGGTCCAGGTGTGCACAGGTGGGGGGGGCAGCCACGTGCACGGTGCACGGGCTGCAAACTCTAGGCTCCCGTGGGGCTTGGGGTGACCCTTGTCTCTTTCACGCTTCTGTCCAGCCCTTGCACAGAACAGAGACGGGTCACCTCTACAGTGAGCAAAACACTACACGTTTTTTCGAAGGAGACACTCTGCATGGATTTCACAAACGCATTACCTTCAAGGGGGTCACCGCCAGATCTGCTTCTTGCTGCTTTTGCTGAAGGTCCTGCACCTGGAAGGGAAGGGTTTGGACGAGGCTGCGCCGTGGTTCACGCGGGGCGATGCTTCCCCGGCCGAGCGGGCCCACGGGCGTCGGCTCTGGTCCCCTCTTTTCCCGCAGGAGGTCTCGGCGGGGAGCAGGGGCCTTTCCTGTCACCCGCTCGGCCGGACCGGGGAGGGGGGAAGGGTGCTCTGGGTGCCGGAGCGCGGGCCCCTCCTCTCCTGCGGGAGGGACGCCTGCCCGCGTCCCCACACAGAGGTGCCAGAGTCCCCCGGCGCCGTGTTACCCCCGTGGGTTCCCAGGCCAGATACCCCGGGTCCTTAAACCAGCCCAGCCACTCACTGCCACTGGGGCCTTGTGCGAGCCACTCTCCCCTGTCTCTGCCTTCTCATCTGGAACGGGTGGGTGACGATCGTGCCCGCCCAGTGGCGGCCAGTGTAGCAAGGACTCCATGAAGGATTCCGGGAAAGGGCTCAGGCCGAGGCCTGGCACACGTCCGCACCCAAAGCTGTGAACCCCGACTACCGGCTGGGGCAGCGGCGCCGGGCACGGGAGTGACGCCCAGCGCCCAGCTGAGCGCCGCCAGCAGGTCCCCGCTGACGTCTGGTGGGGCGGCCCGGCCCGGCCGAGTCCTGCCTGGGTGCCTGACCCACAGCGTCACAGGAGGTAACAACGTGGGTGTCCTACGAGCCCCCTCACTCACTCCCCCCTGGGGTGGGTGCAAGAATGCCACATGAACTAAAGTCCTTCTCCTCCCAGGCCTTTCTGACCTCTGACCCCCACACCCATGATCGGAATGCACACGCGTGTGCGTGTACACATAAGAAAACACACTGCACAGAATGTTTCACGGCCTGTCTTTGTCACCTGACTTAACACCGTGGTGGTGTTATCTCCTTATCAGCACAAATCGGTCATGGCCTTTCAAAGTCTTGCACATTTTTTCCCCATGAGGCTGAAACATAGTTTATGTAACTAATTCTTTTCTTTTTTTAAAGATTTGTTTTTTAAGATTTTTATTTATTTATTTTTAGAGAGGTAAGGGAGGGAGAAAGAGAGAGAGAGAGAAACATCAATGTGCGGTTGCTAGGGGTCATGGCCTGCAACCCAGGCATGTGCCCTGACTGGGAATCGAACCTGCGATACTTTGGTTCGCAGCCCGTGCTCAAACCACTGAGCTATGCCAGCCAGGTTATGTAACTAATTCTTATTTACGAAAGCGGACATTGTTTCCGCTTCTTTGCTTTACAAGCGACGCTGAGGCTGCGGGGACCACGCCTGCCGGTCTGTCTGCGCTGGCATGGCCCTCGGAACGCGTCCAGGCGCCGCGCCAGGCCCAGCAGACCGTCTGCGCCGGGAGGCGCGCAGTGACTCGCGCAGTGACACGCGCCGGCTCGGACCGGATCTTCTCTCCGCTTCCGGTCAGGGCACCGCAGGGACCCGAGCCGCGAGCCGTGCGCCGGGTCGTTTCCGGTGAGCGAGTGAGTGAGAGCCAGTGAAAGGGCAGCGGGCTGAGGGGCAATGTTTGCGGATCGGACGAGTAGCGGGGGCCCTGCCTCCGGACCACGTGACAGACCCTCAGGGCCCCACAAACCGCCGCTCGAGCAGCGACCAAACGCACCCAGGGTCCGAACCGACGTTTCTCCGGAGAAGACCCACGCGCGCGGCCAACAAGCACGCTGCTAACACTGAGACAGTCACAGACTCGCGTGCAGCTGCGAGAAGCCGTACAGAAGGCCCCCCCAACGCTGCGCTGGCTCCCCATCAGGAACATTCTGGAAAACTGCAGCCTGTGACAACCACGTCATGTCCATTTTATCAGTATGGATACAGCCCACCGATTTTACGCGGGTCTCCAGCGTAACGTGTTCTTGCATGTGGGGTGTGTGTGTGTGTGTGTGTCTGTGTGCTGGGCCCTGTGCAATTTGGTCACCCGTGTGGGTCCACGTCCCCAGCACCGCAGATGAGACACCGCACAGTTCCGAAGCCACAAGGGTCCCCTTCCGCCCTTTCAAAACCGCGGCCACCTCACTCCTAGGGGACTTCCGGTTACGGAGCACTGGGAAAACTTGGACCTTCTTTCAAAAAAACGTGCATGCATTATTCTTGCCAGGTTTCGCAGGCGAGCTGGGTGGGGTTTTCCTCTCTACGCTGCTCTATACTTCAGAAATCTCACAGCCACTGACCGACTGCGGGGAGTGCCCAGCGAGCTCTCGCCCGGTTCTTTCCTCTGTTCTCCCATCTCCCCGGCCGGCCGGCTGGCGGGGACGTCCCTTTGCAGAACCGGGAGCCCTGCCCCGCCCCGCCTACCTGGGCCTGCAGCTGGTCCCGGAGGCGGAGGGCCTCGTCCCGAGCCGCCTGCAGCTCCCGGCCCGCGGACGCCTGGTCCCGGAGCTGGCACTGCAGCGTCAGCACCTGGTGGCGGAGCCGCCGGGCGCGCAGCCCCGGGTCCTCCTTCTCCTCCTCCTCCGGGTCCTGGAGCAAACCAGACTTGAGTGAGATACTCTGAGCCGTTCTCCTTAGCAACTTAAATGTTTTTTTTTTCTGCTTCCATTTTTCCCAGTTAAAAACTTCTCGAGAAAACGAAGGAACAGACATCACTCTGCATCCCAGGAGCCCGTACAGTAATCATTATTGCCCACATATTTCCTTCCACGTTCCCCCTGTGCGTTCCCACAGGTGCTCACAGGAGCGGGGGTGGGGGGGGCTTCTTGAGCGGGGTGTGGAGGGGGTGACCTTCCTAACCCGGGCGTGGGCAGGCAGAAGGGGCCCGAGCTCCTGTGCGCGGAGAGAGCTGAGAGGAGGCCGAGGGGACAGTGGGAGGCCATAGCCAGCCGACCAGGCAGCTGGTGGGCACCCTCCTTGTCAGCAAGGACGGCGGCGGAGCATGTGGGTTTTTAATTAATAGAAACCCGCAGAGCGCGGGCCCGGAGTGGCAGGCTGGGCCCAGCTGAGGGCAGGTGGGCACTTGGAACGGCCCCACGAGGCCCCGCTCCGAGGCTCGGGAAGCAACGCGGCCTTTCCGGGAGGTCTGGCGCCTCTCTTCGCCGCCTCTGCCCTCCGCAGGGATGCCGACGGGGCCCTGTCCCCGTGGTCCTGAGGGCACCACGGCGGGTTCTAAGGAGCATGGAAGTGTGTGTTGGGGGGGGGGGCGGCCCCGCCTGCCACGTGGGACCACATAGCAGCCACCGGGAGCAGCCCCACGACTCACGGACTCCCTGACAGACGTTAGCACACGCGCTCCGGTCACATGTGCGGCCCCGGGGGAGTCCTGCGGGGGGGGGGGGCGCAGAGGGGGCGGAGACCGAGGCAGAGACAGGCCCTCAGCACACGGACGGGGGGAGGGCTGGAGGCGGCCGGGGTCTGGGGGAGGCACTAGACCCCCTTGGGTGCCCGGGAGGGGTGGCGAATGTGTACCCACCCTCCTCTGAGCCGGGGGAGGGGCCCAAGGATTAGCAGCAATTGGCAGTTCCCAAGGTGTAAGTGCTCCCATGCAGCCAGCGGCCAGCTACCGAGACGGCGTCACAACGCAGAGCTGGGAGCAGCCGCACGGAGCCGCCTGTGCCCCGGCCCATCCTGGGCACTGGGAGGAGACGCCCCAAAACGAGACCCAGAGGATGGGCTGGGTGGAGGGAGGGCAGGTCAAAGACAGGCGGGTGGGAGGTGGGGGCACAGCACGGGGGGCGGTGCAAGTGGCAACAGCCGAAGTTCCCCCGGGGCCAGGCCACGAGTCACCGGAAGGAACCCGGGTTTCGTGCCGGGTGCCACAGGGGGACACGGCAGAGGGTGAAGCCCGGTAAAGTCAAGGGCAGTTCGGGACTGAGGGGAGGGAACACAGGAGCCCCCTCCGCCTCCCGCTTCCGCCTCCTGTCCGTCAACGGCTCCCACGGGGTCCACCTCCGTGGGTTCTAGTCTGGGACCCTCTCCCCCTTTAGCCCCACGTCCCGCTGCCCCGTGTCACCTCCGGGCGACAACCTGAGAAGCCCCCTGGGCCGTCCCCCCCGCCCCCGCCTGCCCTCCGCCTGCCCCCTCTCCTCTCAGCGGATGGCGGCGTTTCCACAGCGACACTGGACCGTGGTGTCCTCCGACGCAAAGCCCTCCAGCCGCGTCCCGGGATGGACCCCCGGCGATGACCGCAACCGGGCCCGTATGACATTTCCAGCTCCATCTCGCACCTCGCCCGACCCCTGCCCACTGGGACCCAGCTGCCCCGCCACCGTCCGTGCCTCCGATGCCCAGGCCCGTGCCCGCCTCAGGGCCCGGCCACTCGCTCCTCCCTCCGCCTGGAATGCTCTCCACCCGCTGCCCTTTCCCACCTGGAACCCTCAGCTCGGCAGTCACCTGCTCCGAGTCCCAGGTCCCACCGGGTCTGCTGAGCTCGGGGTGGACAGCTACGAAATCTGGGAAGAGCACGTAAAAGCAATTCTTCGGCCCTGGGCAGGTGGCTCGGGTGGTTGGAGCATCGTCCCACCCACCAAAATGCTATGGGTTCGATTCCCACTCAGGGTGCGTATGGGAGGCAACTGATAAATGTTCCTCCCATTTACCTTTTTCTCTCTCCCCGCCCCATTCCTCTCTCAAAAAAAATCAATAAAATACACTCTCGGGTGACAATTTTTTAAAAACGCAACCCTCTGTAGGTGCTGAATGTCGAACAACGCAGGGCTGCCGTCCCTGAGGAGGACGCACAGGACGGCCTCACGCTCTCCTTGCATTTCTCTCGGGGACACTCCCCAAACCAGGGCTCGGCCCGAGCCCCACTGGCAGCCCTGCTGCGGGGAGAAGCAGACCGGAGTTCAGGGGTGCTGTGAGAGCTGCCGTCTGGGGGGCAAATCAGCAGGGAGGAGAAACCCGGACACCGTCCTGAAATGCCCCTTGCGCCCTCGGCCGAACCCCACGCTGGGTGGCTGGGTGGCCGGGTGGCTGGGTGCAGGACTCCGAGGCCTTGTGGAGAACAGCAGCCGGGGGTCAGGTCCTGAAGGGGTGTCTGGGGTCACATGTTGCTGCAAAGATGGCCGGGCCAATGTGGGGAGTCCTCGGGGGTGTTCTGGGAGCTGACGCCGCTGATGGGCCACGCCCCTGGGGCAGGACCGCACTTCAGGAGGGAACTCCAGCTCGGGGACAAGGGACAAAACCGAGACACGCCTGCGCAGGAATAACAATCTGCTGAGCACTCCAACCCACCAGGGCAAACCTCGCCTAAAATTCTTTAGAGGAAGATGATAATCAGGAATCTCGGCAACGTCCTTCAAAATGTCCAGCATAAAATTTTTTTAAAAAATTACTAGACATGTTACGAAGCAGGAAAATGGGACGTAACCAAGAAATAAAAGAGTCCGTAGAAACAGACCCACAGGCGATCCCAATACTGCGGTCAGCAGACAGGCCCTTCAAAGTAACTGTGATCATGCACACGTTTTATGTGCAGAAAACACAAACTGAATAGACAAGAAGATGAAGTATTTCAACAAAGATTCAGAATCTCTTAAAAAGGATAAAATAGATATTCGGCAACTGCAAAGTGCGATACATGAAATCAAGAACTTGTTGGATGGATTTATCGGAAGAGAGGACACATAAAACACAGAACCAGCAAGCTGAAAGACAGGTGGACAGAAATTTCAAACCAGTGCAGAGAGAGAGAGAGAGACAGAGAGAGAGAGAGAACAGTTACAATCTATGTGAGATATTATGGGGGAAAAGTCTGGATTTTTAGAAGCAAGCAAAATAGAACAAAACAAAGTATTTAAAGAAATAGCAGCCAAGGATTTTCCAGATCTGACAAAAGCCACGGATCTACCATTTAAAGACGCTCAGGGGGAAAGCCCAGGAGTAGAACCGCCCAAGCGCATCACGGCCGCGGTGCCAGAACCCAAAGACGAGCAGGAAGGCCCCCGGGCAGTTGGAGACGAAGCAGCACGTTTCTTTCGGGGAGACAAACCAGCCAGCAAAACGCAGCGACAAATGCAGCCAGCTCTGCCAGAGCACACCGGGGCGGGCGCTTTACAATGCCGAGGCCGGGGAGACGCATGCCTACCCAAACTCCTAAATCTAAAGGAAAAATAAAAAACTTTCGGGAGGTGCAAACTGGTTTCCTGAGAAGAAAGATGAGAGTTTTTAGGCAGCACCCCCTCCCCAGGAGGAGCAATGGGAAGTTCTCCCAGGGGAAGGGAGGAGCGGCCGGAGCGGGGGACAGCGGGCAGGACGGACAGACGGCCCGGGGCGGGCGGAGCCGCAGGCGCACACAGAGACTGTGGGCGGGCCGTTCTGAACCGCAACAGTAACGACCGCCTCACATGGCTCAGCCTCAGCGTGCGTGAGTAGGAGTGAAACATACGACACAATGAGTAATGAAGAGAAGACAGAGTGGTGGAAGTTAAACTATTAAAGGATGATTGCATTGCTTGTAATGTGGTAAGAATACGAATTTAAGGGAGATTTTAATAATTAATAGACACATTCTGGAATCTTTGGAGTAACCATTTAAATAACTATACTAAACAATATACTAAAAGAAGCTAAAATGAAAGAAGATAAAATGAAAGGAACGGTAGAAACTATTTCATCTGTAACCAAAGCAAAGCGGAAAAGGAGAACTAGGAGGAAACAGAAGCAGCGAGACCAACAGAACAACTACTCAGGGGGGAGGCGTAACCCCAACGGCGTCTCACGCGTTTGCTGTTCCGAAGAAATGCCCTTTATTTTATTGTATTTTTTAAAGATTTTATTTATTTATTTTTAGAGAAGGAAGGGAGGGAGAAAGAGAGAGAGAGAAACATCCATGTGCGGTTGCTGGGAGCTGTGGCCTGCAACCCAGGCATGTACCGTGGCTGGGAATCAAACCTGTGACACTTTGGTTCGCAGCCCGAGCTCAATCCACTGAGCTACACCAGCCAGGGCAAGAAATGCCCTTTAAATAAAAAGATGCAGAGCCATGGCTAGCAAACAATGAATGGTATAACAACCATGTACACCATGGTTTTCCATCACATACCATGAAAACACCGAAAAATAAATATTATCATACAGATAATGATAATAAGTAGGAAATGATATGATGAAATCATGAAAAGAAACCAGTGTGGCCACGCTACCATCAGACAAAGCAGGTTTTAGGGCGAGAGGTGGCGAGAGCTATTCCATCACGATGAAGGAGTCACTTCAGCAGAAATACATGATAACCCTAGATCTGCGCGTATCTCATCAGTGATTTCAAAGTGCACGAGTCGAAGCTCACGTAACTGAGAGAGGAGAAACCCACACGCGCACCATCGGAACCGGAGATTTCAGAGGGCGTCTGGGTAAGGGGTGATGGACGCCCCGTCAGTGCAGATGCCGCAGGTGTGACCGGCCGAGGAGCCGGCCCCGCCTCACACACACACACACACACACACACGCACCTGCCGCGGACCGTCGCTCTTTACCGGCGTGTGCCATGTGTACCAAACAGACCACAAGCTGGCCAATAAAGCGAATCTCCACAAATGTTAAAAGGTCAAGATCAGGTAAGGGTATGCTCTCTGGCAACAGCGAAAATAACACTAGAAATCAGTAACAGAATCGTAACTTGAAAAGGCGCTGGGAAATCCAGCAATGTGCTTGCTTCCAAACAGCCCGTGGGCCAAGGGGAAACACCGCGGTGGGAATGAGACGCTGCTCTCCACCGAGCAGACACAGAGACGCGGAGCCACACGTCGGGACGGCGGACACGGTGCTCGGAGGGAAAGCCATCGGCCGCTGAGGCAGACTTCCAAAGCCAGGGATCGGCACTGTCCACACAAGAAGCAAGGGAAAGAACCACCAGTTAAAAACCAAGAGGAAGTGGAAGAAAGTAAATAAGGAAGGTATGAGAAGAAACCAATGAAATGAAACAGGTACACAATAAAGAAAACCCACAAACGGAAAGAAATGACTGATACAATTGCTGAGAGAGGAGGAGGAGGAGGAAGGAGGGAGGGAGGGAGGGATGAGGCAGGAAAGGGGTTGAGAGAGGGAGAGAGAGAGGGAGAGAGAGAGACAGGACTCTAATGGGAAGGGCTGCAAAGGGCCAGCCCTCACTAACTGCCCCACTGGCACCGGCGGCCGCCCTAGGAGCCCCGCGAGCTCTCCGTCCCCGGGGCCAGGTGAAAGGCCGGCACGGCCCACAGGTGAGGCAGACGGCCCCCTTGTCCGTGTCTCGGCTCAGAGTCACGGCACAGTAAGCGCAGAGCTGGGTCCGGGCCCTGTCCGACGGAGCTCCGAGGCCCACGGCTCTCTCCCTGGCACCGGCCAAGCCCCAGCGTGCAGCGTGACGACTTGGGCTGCCGGACAGACCCCCGGCTCTGAGCACACAAGCCCTGGTCTTACCGGGTGAACACGCCCCCCAAGTCCCACCAGCCTCCGGTCCGCACGGCCTAAGGGGCGGGGCAGGCTTGCGTCTCAGGTCACGGGCGAGAACGACACCAGGCCAACCAGGGGGCACGCCCCAGCAACACCCCTCCCAGCTGCATGTCACTGGCCTTCCCTGCGCCCGTGTTTTCCCGGTGGACAGACGGGACGGTGACTGTGCCCCCTCAGGGGCTGCTGGAGGGTCACTCGAGGAAGGGCTTGCTCAGCAGCCCGGGAGGTTCCCAAGAGACGAGGACGCGGCTGAGCAGAGTCAACCTACCTGGGGGCCGTGGCGCAGAGACCTCCGAGCCGGCCCTCGGTCCGCAGGCCACCGTGGCCTCTCCTCCTCTTTCTCCAGGTGTGCCCTGTGCGCTGCCGCCCCACCGAGGTCTCCCGGTGCGCCGGCGTCTGTCCCGGCCGGCGACGGGGCCGCAGACTCAGCTCGGCATCCGGTCTCCTCTGTGCCCAGGGCGGGTCCCGTCCACCCTGCAGCTGGACCCTGTGCCTCTTCCAGGGGCAGCCCGAGGACTCGGGGCGCCGGGGGCTCTGGAAGCAGGGTCACCTGCACCGCCCTCTCCACGGCAGCCACCTTGCCTTTGCCCTGAGCTGCCTGCAAACATCCCCCGTCCGCGCTCACGCTCACGCTCACGGCGACCTCCCCCTCCAGGACCCGGATCCTGTGCAGAAGGCGCTCGTTCTCCCCCCGCAAGGCCCGGACCACGTCCTCGACGCCCACCACCACGTCCTGGATCAGCCCTCTGTAGCTGACTCCGAGCTCCGAGATCAGCGCCTTGAGCTCCCGGTTCTCCCGCGTGACGTCCCGTACCACGCCCTTGCACTGCCGGGCGCTCTCCGCCGTGGCTCTGCGCAGCCGGCCCAGGCACCCCCTCAGCGTGCCGTTCTCCTCCTCGAGCTCCGAGATCTTGACGTAGCTCTTCCCGTTGCAGTCCTCCAGGTCGGCGATGACCTGCAGGTACTGGTCCAGCTCCCCCCGCAGGCGACGGACGTCCCCCAGCAGCGCGCCGTTCTCCCGCGCGAGGGTGCAGGCCCTGGTGGCGCTCCTCTCGCCCTCCCTCTGGAGGGCGCGCATCCTCTGGTGGCATCTCTCCCGGTCTCTCCGCAGCCTGAGGTTGTCCTGTAAAACTCTGCTCCTCTCCTCCTTCAGTCCGGAAACGAACCTGCGGAGGCTTCTCCTGGCCCTCTCCAGGGCCGCCGAGGGCTCCCCGAGGCTCTGGCCCAGCTCGGGGGGCTGCCCTGGCCCCGGGCGCAGGTCCCCCGAGTCAAGCCCCAGCTCTGGAAGGACCTGGCCGGCTCCCAGGGCCTCCCCCGGCTCCACGTCTCCGTGCCTCTCCTTGGCATCGCCTTCCCTCGCAGGACGAGTCTCCAAGCCCTGGCTGCCCAGCACCTGCCAAGGGTCCGCCAGCTCCCGGCGCCCATCCCTTCCTGCCAGCATGGGAGCTGCCCCCCTGCGACCCCCAGTCCCGACGAGCTTCAGGACACACAGCTGCTGGAAGCAAGCCTCCATCTCTTCTGCCAACACGTCCAGCGTGGGCACCGGGCTGCCGTGTCCTTGGCTCGGAGCCCTTGGGGGACGGGTGGGCTCGGCCCCCTCGGGAGACAGGGCCCACGTGGGAGACAGTGGCAGACCTCCCTCTGCCACGAAGCAGAGCACTTCCTGGGCCTCCCGTTCCTCAGAGCTGGGCCCTTCTGTGAGCTCCAGGCAGCCTGGGCTGGACCCCGCCGGACACGGCACCTTCTCCGCCTGCCCTTGCCCCCCGTCCCCCGGGCTCTCCCTGAGCAGAAACAGAGCGTCTCCAGCCCACATGCGGCTTTCCTCCTGGCCCCAAATGCTCCTGAGGCCCCCGGCCTCCTCTTCAAGTAGCCAAGCGCCGATAGGTGACCGTCCTTTCGCGCTAGGAGCTCTGACAGAGCTGGCTGGGGGCGCCCCTTCCTCCTCTGCGAGGGGAAGCCCCCCCAAGAGGCCCCAGACTTGCTCCTCCGCCATCTGTCTCCCACTTGGGGGTTCGGGACCCTCCGTGGACACGGAGCTCCCACCCCACGGAAGAGGCTGGCCGGGCTCCCGCCTGGGCCACATGCAGGAGGCAGCGGCCTGGGGTGCTGCGGCCCTGGGTGGGCTCCACAGGCCTTCTGGTCCCCCAGTGCCACCCTCCACGCTCGGATGCTGGTGGCTTTCCTGATGCCGCTGGCACCCATCACCAAGGTCTTCGTCACTCCTGCCCCAAGTCCTCCGGGCCCCCCGTTCCTCGGGTCTCCACTCTGGGGCTCCTCCTCCCTCCTTCCAAAGGCTGTTGAGGTCCCTGGGCCCCGTCTGAGGACATCGGTGGTATGACGTCGGTGGGGACTCCTCGCAGAGTGGGGCGTCATGGCTCTGAGTCTGGTGGTGCTGCCAGCAGGGCTGTCTCCCGGCTCTGGTTGCCGGCGAGGGCCCGGCGTCCAGCACCTGCTGGATCCGGAGCTGTCCCAGAGCCGCCCCCTGGAGCAGCAGGGCAGCCACGTCCCCAGTGGGCCCCCAGGGAGGGGTCGTGGGCATCTGCAGCACGAGGCAGGGCTCCCGGGCTGGGGTGGTCGCTGGCCTCTGCTCCGGGATCCAAGCCAGCTCCACGGGCAGCAGGGGGCCGGCTGGGCACGGCCCCACGGGGTGGTAGCCGCCGATGAGCAGAAGCGTCTGTTCGTGCCAACTGGGCTCAGCGGGAGCGGGCTGTGGACGGGGAGAGAGGACAAGGTGTCAAACGGCCCCTTCCGCCACTTACCGCCTCCCCACCTCTCCGCCCCCGCCCCGCCCCCAACGGTCCCGGGGTTTCCTCACCCAGCCACACAGGCTGCCCTCGTGTGCCGCCCCTGCCGCCGCCCCGGGGCCCGTGCACCTGCTCTCCTGCCGCCCAGGTGTCCTTTCCCCCGAGCCCCGCATGGCTCCGCCCCTTGCTGCACTCAGACTCCACTCACATGTCACTTCCTCAGAACAGCCCCCCCCCGACCCCGCCGCTCTCGTCTGCTGACCCCGCCCCACGTCCCACATGGCGCCCTCCACCTCCCAGGCCACGTGCCCACGCGCCCACATGCGCCAGATGCTATAACTCCCCACGGCCCACACTGTCCGGTGCGGCAGCCACGGGCCACAGGGGCTCTGCCAATGGGAAACCACGAAATGACAGTTGGCGTTTGGTCCTGTGGTTGTACCAGCCCCGAGTCACACGCTCAGAGGCCGTGGGGCGCCCGGCCTCCGTGCGGCACAGCACAGATGTGCGCCGTGCCTGATGTCACGGAAAGCTCTAGTGGGCAGTGGGGTGCAGACTGCTCCCTAGGGGCAGGACCTGGCCTGGAAGGGTGCCGGCACACAGGTGTTCTGTGGGTGATTTTTAATGTGTTTGTGTGTTCCCTTAATTCGGCACACTTATCCAGAGGGGAGGGCTGGCCCAGCTCACAGAGGCTGGGAGGGGAGAGGGGTGGCCCCCCGGGCTCACGAGGCCCCACCCCACTGCCCAGCCGGTCTTCCCACTGCTTGCCCCTTGCCGCCTGTCCTGCTCTCCTGTCTGTCCAGCTGCATCCTCCCACCTGGGTGCAGCCAGAGTCTGGCCTCTCCGTGAAGCCCTGCCACCCCTCAGGGTGGCTTTCGGTGTGGCAGCACATGCATGTGTACATGTGCACATGCGTGCACACACTCATACACACGTGCACACTGTGTGCACACACACATTCGAATAGGCACACATGTGTAGACCGATATACACATGTGCGGGTGGAGGCACACACACTCTCACACACACAGCAGTGCACGCAGTGGTCCACACGTGTGCACATGAAATCACACATGTGCACATACAAATGCACATGAATGTGTGCACGTGTTCACACAAAGGCACACACATGCACATTTGCATGCACAGGCACACAGAAACACGCACGCACAAACGCACACACATACATGCATACGCTCATGCAGCACCTCAGGGCGAACGGAGGAGCAGGGGAGACCCCTGCTGCCGGGAGCCACAGAGCCGCCTCGGGGCCAGCGGGCCTGAGCTCTGCTCTAGCCTCTCTGGCCTCTGCCTGCGGGAAAGGGGACACTGAGGGAGGCTGGGACCCAGAGCAAGCCAGGCAGGGCCACTGGGACCCAGGCTCCCAACCCTCCGGGCACAGGGCGGGGCAGAGCGTGGGCCACTGAGACAGAGCTCAGACACCGCCCCAGGGCTGTGCGGCCTCAGGGACCACAGCCGCTCTGGGAGTCCCAGACCCCAGCCCTCCAGACGGGCCCCGGCCCCTGCCTCCCAGCTGGGTGGAAGTCCCGTGGGATGGAGCACAGCAGGTGGCTGTGGGGCCCGGGCACTCAGCTGGGATCCCTTCCTGCCCATTCCCCACCCAGGTCTCAGGGCATTCCCTTCCTTTCCCTCAATTCTCCTTCTCAACCATTTCCAGAATATTCTTCCAAGCCCAGAGGGTCTTTACGCCCTTCCCCCACCCCCCAAGCTGCGGGCCCACACAGGGGCCGACCAGACCCAGCTGGCACCTGGGGCGTGCAGAAAGCCTCCGGCCTTACCTGTCCGAGGGCGGGCCCAGCCAGGTGTCTCAGGAGGCCAGCCGGGGTCTCCAGGCCCGGCACCGGCACCAAGGGGCCTCCTCCTGCCCCGATGCTGCCCCAGGTGTGGGGCCCCTCGGCGGGCTGGCCTGGAAGGGACAGGACCCCGAGGGTTAGAAGGACCCTCCCAGGATTGTCACTAGTGTCCTTGTCCCTGCTGTGAGGGCTGAGAGCACCACTCACTAAGTCAAGGCCACCTCCCCAGGGGCGGCCTGACGGTCATCATCACCCATCGGGCAAGGAAACCGAGGCTGGGAGATGGGAAAGGCCCGTCCAGATGAGCCTGGATCTGGGTCCGGAAGCCACTGCCTCCAACCGCAGAACTCGCGCAGGTGACAAATCCATGACAGCTGTCTCCCCAGCCTTCCACATGGGCCACACCGGGTGGTGGCACCTCCCCCCAGGACAAAGGAGCTGACCCCTAGGCCGCACTGCCAGGCAGACCCGGGGCCCCTTCTCCCGGAGAGTTTAAGCTCAGCTCCCCAGAACGGGGCAGGAGGGGAAGCTACCTCTGCAGGCGGCAGCGCCGGAGGGTATAAGGGGCCCCTCGTCTGTAAACCGCACTTGGCCTCGGGGGGCTGTAAGCACCCCCACAGACCCCCAGGTGCATCCGGTGGCCTGGGGGGCTCCTGAGTGCTGTGGCTTGTGCAGAAGGGACCCTGGGAGCTGTGGCTGGGACTGTCATCACACACACAGGTTCCCATCAGGGACAAGTGCGGGACGGGGTGGGGGTGGACACAGAATGGCTCCCGGTCAGCATACGTCCTTCTGTGAGGACAGCGCCCCCCACGAGGCCCCTGCTGCCCCGGGCTGGCATGCACGTCAGGGACATTGTGGACTCGGACCTCCCCTTTACCAGCTGTGTGACTCCAAACAAGTGGCACCGCCTCTCTGAGCCTCGGCGTCCTGTCTGCAGAGTAGGGGCGGCCACCCCTGCACCATCAGGACGCCGTAAGTGCCGTAAGTGAGCTAACGGTGTCCATGCAGACAGCCAGGGCCCACGCACCGGGTCCCCCACACACCTGCTGAGGGCCCCGGTCCCGGGGCGCCGCCGGGGTGGGGAGAGGTCGGCCGGCCGGGGCGTCTGCGGGCCTCCAGCGCCTCCTCCCAAGGCAGAGACAGCCACTCGTCATGAATGTGGCCCGGCGCATCCTGCAGGAAGACACAAGAATCAAGAGAACTGAGCATCCTGGGCTGAAGTGTCCACTCCAAGCCTGTCCCCACGGGTCTGTCCCAACGACCCCCAAAGGGAGCCCAGAGGAAGCCGAGGCCTGGGCAGCAGAGGGCCCACGGCCTGGACCTGCAGCCCTGCCCCCGGCGCCTGGTCGGAGGGGCCGACGCCCCCATCAGCTCCCTGGCTCCCCCTGCAGGCAGCAGGCAGCAGGTGCATGTCTGTCCCACCGCCACCGTGCCTCTGCGGTCTGAGCCCCGCTCCCTCCCGTTCCCGCTGTGTCCCACCCACAGAGGTGACTGCGTGCTCGGGGGCTATGGGCAGTCCTGTCCCTCAGCTGTCCACAAATCCCAGATGCTGCAGCAGGTGTCCTTGGGCGGCGCCCCTCCCCTGGGCCTCTCCCCAAGGCGCGCGGTGCACAGCGAGGTGCTGTCCCTGCATGGCGTTACCACAGATGCAGCCTCACCCCGGCTGCTGCAGGGGCGTGCGGGGCCGGCAGGAAGGCTCGGCCCTGCCCCACCGCCTACGGGGCCCCTGCCCCAGGCCACCGCTAACCAGTCCTGCCCCGTGCTGTTGGCCGTCCACCTGCCCCCCACCCGACCCTGAGGTCCTGAGCGGGGGACCTTGGCTCTATTTGGCCTGTGCCCTCCCTTAGCCTAGCACACAGTAGGTGCTTAACAATCGTGTGACAGCTGGATGCACAGACCAGCTGCAGAAAGGCAGGTGTTTCGGACTCACCGGTGCATTTATGGGCAACCACAGGGTAAGTTCCTCCTATGTGCCAGGTGCCGTTCTCGACGCGGAGGAATGGAAGGGAACAGGTAGTGCCCCACAGCCCCAACCTGACCCCCAGGTCCTCGCCTGCTGCCAGCAGACCCCTGCCTCAGCTCCCAGCCCGGCCTCCTGCGTGGAGCTGCCGGGGGACCCTCTACAACGTGCCAAGGCCACTCTCGGCCCCTCGGACCACAGGCCCGGCACCAACACGGAGGGCGGGCACTGGGGTCCACTGTGGCCGTGGCGGGCTGCCCGGCCCCCCTGGCCCTGGCTCCAGCCCGCACCGCAGGCCTGTGCCTGCTCTTCCTTCTGCCTGCGGCCACGGTACTTACAGCCACGTCCCCCCACCGCCGCCCCCGGAAAGGGTGGTCATCGCCTGCTGCTTGCTGGGCCAAGCCCCAGCTCCCACCCGACACCCCTCAGTCGCAGCCCCTCCCTTCCACACCCTGGGCCTCCCAGCAGTCCCCCTGACCCGGACACTGGGATGCAGCTACACCTCCCGGGGGCGAGGAGGGAGGAACCCTCCCCACCCGGTTTGACCAAATAACACCAAATAACAAGAAAAAAGGCTGCCCGGTGTGTGTGTGGGGGAAACTTCAGACGCGTTGACTGTCAGCTCTCCCCACAGACCGGGGTCCCCACCCCGGCCGCACCTCAGGGTGGCCCAGAAGCTTCACCAGGTGCCGAGCTACAGCCAGAGGGGCCTGGGCACCAGCATTCTGCGCCGCGTTCGGCCGGCGTCTGCCCCGCTGCGGCGTCCTCCCGCTCGCAGCCCCGTGGGTGCCTGCCCCCCGTTCCTACCCATGGGCTCCCCGCTGGACCAGAGACACACATTTCCGTCGGCAGCTTAAGATCGTGCTTGGAACGAGGCGGAGAAGAAGAGATGAAGGGGAGAGGGCAGGCGGGACAGCGAGCCGACGAGAAAGGAGACAGACAGACAGACAGAGGGCGCCGGGTCGGGAGAGGGAGAGACAGAGATTCAGAGTGAGCGGCGAGGGGGCGCGGGGAAGGAGAGAGGGATGGACAGACGGACGTGGAGAGGCGGGAGGGCCGTGCCCAAGGCCCCTGTTCTGCTGTTTCCACTTGGGCGTTTCCAGCACCCCCGCTGACTTCACTTCCGTGTAACAGCTACTTGCTGAGCAACTGCTACACAGCGGGCCCTGGGGCGGGGCTGGGGCACGGCCAGGGAAAAAAAACACATACAGACCCCGCCTCCAGGAGGTGCTGCCTGTGGGGGGCAGCCCAGAAGACAATGCTCCGCCCCTTCCATTTCACAAGGGGTGGAATCAATCCTCAGAGAGGGAGAGTGACTTGTCCAGGGTTGCACAGCACACAGCGGGCGAACAGGCCCGGAGCTCGGGGCTCTGAGCTTGACCCGCGCTTGCTCCCCCCTTCGAGCACCTCTGCGCTCTGCCTTGTCTGTCCTTCCTGCTCCAGCACCCATGGGAGCACCTGCCTGTGACGCCTGCGTGGTTTGAGCTTTAATGTGTGACCGTTTTGAAAGAGGAGCAAGAGGAAGAAAACAAGGAATTCAGCGACACCCAGACACAAACATCATTTGTGGGTTAGACTGTGTCCTTCTGGGCTTTTTCCTGCGCGTAGACATTTAACCTCTTGCAAACGTCTGTTCCTGCAAACTGTCGGTTTCCGCCTTGTGCTTTTCCCCGTGGCGGTTCTGAAGGGTTCGTTCCCCGCGGGTTCTGCTGTCACGCGGCGCTTTGTGGCTGCAGAAACAAGGACGCCTCGGTTTTACCGAACCAGGTGCCCCATTGGACGTTCCGGTTGTTTCCGGTCCTTACCGACTGCGCCGAGTGCAGAGGGGCGTCTATCGGTGGAGAAACGGACAGAGTGGGAGGCGACCTGGAGCGTTTGCTGGTGCGTGACTGTGCCCAGTGGAACCAGGGCTGACCTTTTTGCATAAGACCGCTGGCCGCGTCATCTGGCCCTTATGTTAGTTTCACGTCCAAAGCTTTCGCCTGCGTTTTATTTCTGGACGCTACCGACATGATGTTTTAAAACCCTCCCTTGCCGCCAGAGTGTCAAGCGGGAAACAGCGTTTCTGCCGGAATGCAGGCGGTCACGGGGAGGGGCGGCCTTACAGGTATGGGCTGCACAACGAAACGATTCCTGTAACTGCCACCAGGGGTCGCTCTCCTCACGCTGCCGTGGCTGCCGTGCCGAGGCCGGTGGAGCGCCCTGCATTTCCAGACGCCGCTGTCACCCAGATCGTGGTCTCAGCTCTGAAACAACTGCCCGACACTGACGGACACTTCAAAGACGGCGACTTTTCATCTCCTGGTGTACCCCTCCCTGGTACGCTCTGGGCCAGGCCACCGCCTCTGGGCCATCCCCTGCCGCAGCAGCCATCGTCCGCACCCGTGTCTGTCTCCCCCTGAGCTCCGGAGGGGCAGGGTTACCCCGCAGCCCCGGTCCCCGGCACGGTGTCTGGGGCGCGGCAGGGCCCGGGCACACCTGCTGCAAACCACTGGGGGGCGGGGAGGCATCTGCCTGTGGGTGGGAAGCGTGGGGGCAGAGGTGAGGGCCCCTTGTGTTTGCACAGCCACACAAGGGTGACGCGGGTCAGGAAGTGTTCTCCACGTGCTTGCTTGTTGCCATGACAACCTCCCTGCCCTGGGTCTCTCGGGCGACTGCTGCTGCAGCCTGAGGCACAGTGGCAGGCCATCCCCAGGGCTTCCCCCAGCGCCTGCCCCAGGCTCCACCTGGTGATGAGGACAGACAGCGCCCCCTTCAGGGCTGAGAGGGGAGGAAGCCCAGGAGGCGGGATCGGGAGTGCCGCCCGAGGCAGGGGGAGGTGGAGGAGGCGGAGGAGGCGGAGGAGGCGGGGCCACAGCCCTCACCCGCCCTGTGAGAGGTACTACAGGCTGAACTGTGGCGCCTTGAAGGACGTTCACACCCTAACTGCCCCCTCCCCAGTACCTGTGACTGTGACCTCGTGTGGAAGCAGCGTCTTTGCAGAGGGACATCAAGGTGACGTCCAACCGGTGCAAGCGGGGCCTCGCCCACCTCGCCGGCCCCTGCAGGCTGACCCGGCGACAGGGCCAGGAGGACCACACCAGGGAACAGCCCTTCCCAGAAGGCCAGTGGCCACGTCCACTGCAGACCGTCAGCCTCTGCCTCCACCAGCAGGTCTGGCTGATGAACGGAGACACATCAGTCACATGGAACCTTCTCCAGTCAAGGGTCAGCCCTCAGGACCAACAGATAAAAGGACAAGAGAGGCAGTGGTGGGGGGGACTACCGTGTGTAAGTAGTGTGGGTGAGTGTACCCAGCCTCCCCCTGGACCACACAGGCCCAGAGAGAGAGGATGATGGAGACCATGATGATGGTGGTGACAAAGGTGGTGAGAGACACTAAGTCTCGTTGCCCACTCACGACATGCCCGGCACAGTGCTGCGAGCCTTCCCTGACCCTGTCATTTTGTCCTCGCGGTCAGACAGGGAGGCAGGCCCCAGTGTCACTCCCAGGTCACACTCGGGAGCACGGGGCACGGGGAACGCAGTGACAGCCCAGAGGCAGCACCGCGGCCAAGAGGCAGAGCTGTACCGGAACGGCCCTGGCCAGGTCTCTGGGTCCCTGCCCCTCGCGCTGTGCACGGCCCACCCCAATGCCCGGGGCTCACCCCACTGCAAGGCCCACCCCACTATGCGTGGCTCGCCCCACTGCGCACAGCTCCAGTGTTTAAGGGTCGAGTTTTCTATCTTGCGGCCCCTACACAGCAGCCTCCACCGCCCACTCCGCTCCTGGGCCGATGCGGGCCAGCTTCTCCCAGCGCTAGAGGCAGCCTGGCCAGGGACCGTACTTTATGGGCCGTCTAGGGAATTTTCTAGAGAATTTGGACTGTGCACAGCAGACTCCAGCAAGGCCTTGAGAGCATGCGCCTGGCGCGCAGGGACCTTTAATGGTGATTTGTGAAATGCAGAGAAGGTCGCTGCGACGAGGGGCGTGCAGGCTGACGCCACGCAGCACAGGCGCTGCCCCCGGACGCTGCCCCCCACTCGACAAGAGCACCCCCACCCCGGCATCTCCGGGCAAGGGCGGCGGCGTGCAGTCACGGCGCTGACCTGGCCCTGGCCCCGCTGGCCCTGGAACTTGGGAGCTGGGTGCCCACGGCCAAGCCACTCAACACCTGGGCCCGGTTTCTCCATCGAGTCGGTGGGGGAACGGCATCCGGCCCGCGGGCCGTCTCAGGACTACATGGGCGCACAGAAGGCACAGCGTGTCGGCGGGAGTCTCTCGGACATTCAGGCGTTCGCGCCCTTTCTCTTAGGTAGTAGACACACGGCGTCGCGGTACGTGGGCGGGGGACTGGGAGAGCAAGGTCTTCCACCAACAGCCTAAACGAAGGCCTCACGTTTCGGAGAATCGCAGAAAGAATTCTGAATGACAACGTCCAGCGGTACACGATTTATTTCCCAAAATTACAGTCAGGCGCTGGTAGCAAAAATACAGTTTTCCTTCCACCCAAGGACTTCGATGAGGGGGGAGGAGCCGGGCAGGCAGGAGAGGGGCAGGGGCAGGGGCAGCATGGGGGCGGGGCGGGGGGGGGGGAGAGCCGAAGCAGGCCCAGCCAGCCCACCGCAGAGGCGAACCAGGCGGGACGCGCCGCCTCCTGCCGACCGGCGCAGAGGTTTGCCGTCCCAGTGAACTCAAAATAGATTGTTCGGGTCCGAAGATAAATTAAAAAAAAAATTTTTTAATGAGCAATGTCACTAGAGCTAAGGTTGCTGCTTGCTGCTTTCTCCTTAAATGCCCGGCCCCGTGGAGAGAAGCAGGCGTGTGGGCCCCTGGGAAGGGGGCTGACCTCGCTCCGTTTCCAGGGCGCCGTGAGGAGGGGGAAACAGAGCTCACATAGACTGGGGTCAAATTCCCGCTCTGCCTCTGCCTCTGCGTGGCCGCCGGTCCCTGCGCCGCCTGCTGAGCCGCGGCCTCCGTCCGCACAAGGGCAGCGAGGGCACCAACCACCCTGCCTGCCTCACGCCCTTCGTGAGCCTTAAACGGCATCACCCCTTCCAAACACCCAGTGGGGCGCCGAGCACAGGGCAGGTGTATGTCACAGGTGCGTTTTTTACCGTTCTGTCCGTCAAATGAGTAAGTAAGTGTCCTCTGCCCTCGCCTCCAGAGCTTGCCAAGGTCACACAGCCCCGGCGAACAGGAGAACCGGAAGGTCCCAGCCCTGCGCGCTCCCTGCTGCACCGCCCTGCCCAGCTCCAGGGGCAGAGGCTACCGGCCCCTCAGACCCGGGCCAGCAGAGGACAGACATCGAAGGATAAAGGGCGGCGGCTGGCTGGTGCCCCGAGCGTGGCTGGAAGCAGGGGGTGGGGTGAGCGAGCGGATGGAGCGGGGTAGACCCTGGGTGGGTGCGGGGGTGGGTGAGGAGCACCGGCTGGGTAGATGGGTAGACCGGGCGGGTGGGGTGGGATGGGTGGGTGAGGAGGGAGACTGGGGAATGGAGACGTCGGGGACTTCACCAACAACTGGCTGTCCGAGGAAGAGAAAAGCCATCACTCCTGCCCTGGGGTGCCGCCACTTACCGGGCTGCAGGGACCAGCGGCGGCCACGCTGCGCACCGTCTGCCCGGGCGCCCGGGCTCCCAGCTCCTCTCGCAGGCACCTGTTCTGCTCTGTGAGGTCCTCCACCTGGCCCTGCAGGCCGATCTCCGACAGCTTCAGCTCGAAGATGTAGCAACGAAGCTCCTCCAGCTGCACGCGGAGGCTGCACTCCCGCTGCTCCCGCTGCTCCCGCTGCCGGCGCGCCGCCGCGTCCCGCTCGCTCTCGCCGAGTTCCGCCCTCGCCTGCAGGGCGCACCACGCCGCAGCCTCCTCCTCGAGGGCTTGCCGGGGACCGGTCGGACCCAGGGGCGGGCGACGGCCCGGGGCGGGGGCGTCCAGCTCCGCCAGCAGGAGACCGGCAGCGCGGCAGAGGCGCCGCACGTCCCGCTCCAGCCGTCGCACCTGCTCGCGCAGGGCCCGCTCCTGCTGGCGCGCGAGGCCCAGCTGGCGGCGCTGCGTCCGCCGGCAGCGCTCCAGGGCCGCCGTCTGCTGCCCCAGCGCCTCGTCCTTGTACCGCAGCTGCTCCCGCAGCCGCCGCAGGCGCCACCGCTGCCGCCGGGCCGCGCGCTCCTTCTCCAGAACCTACAGGTTGGTGGTGGACGGGGGGTGCGTCAGGGAGCAAGCCCAGGGGGGCACCACCGCGGCTCATGCTTTATGTTAAACTCAGCTACTTTGTTCATCATGGAATATCTTTGCATTAAAATGTTGCATGAAGATATTATTTATCTCAATTACTGAGTTTTTTGGCGCCCCCTCAAATTTTGCGCAGCAGGCGAGCACCTCAGCTCCCCGCCCCCCCCAGGGGCCCTGCACACCGGGGGCCATGGAGGGAAAGCCCGCAGGGGCAGGGCAGGGCAGGCATCCGCTGGCGCACACCCGGGGGCCCTCCAGGGGTCCCACGCCAGTTTGTCAAGAGCTTCCACCCAGACCCCCTGAAGGTCCCCACGCCCACCCAGGACCTCTCCACGTCCCAGTGCCTGAAGGGACAACGCTGGCCCAGCAAGGGTCAGCTGGCCCCAGCTGGTGTCCCAGCAGGCATTCTTTATTGTGAACACCCAGCGCCGTGGAGTACAGTACAGTAGGTGACTGTCTCCTCGGGACCCTCAGGAACGATTTGCATACAATCATGTGGTATTGACTGGGGCTCAAGGTCACGCAGCCAGGATCCCGCCTCCACGCCTCTGACTCCAGGCCTTGTCTCCGGGTAGGGGGTAAGTACACCTTGCCCTCCACCCACCCCTGCGCTGCAGGCTGCCCTGGGCCGATGGGAGTCCATGCCGCGTCGAAGCCCACGGTGGACCTGCCTCCCTGTGAAACTCTCACCAGCAGGTGCCTGGCGCTGCTCCCGCAGGACAGCGTGCGGAGGACTGCCCCAGCAGGCAAAGAGCACACGCACACAGGGGAGCCGGCGAGCCACTCCGCAGGCTCCGTCTGACAGCCTCACCCGGCAGCACGGGCGCACAGACCTGCAGCTGAACTCCCTGCGAGGAGACCCCGGGGTGGCCCGCTGGCCCAGATCCTGTCATGGGGACAGGTCGGCCTTTATTAGGCAGAAGCACCACGGGTCCCCACGGGAACGAGGCGGCTGCGGTGCAAGTACACGCTGACCCAGAACGTCGGTCACAGGGCACGCCGCCGTGGGTCTGGCCACCGCCAGGCGCCCCGGGCAGAGCGAGCTCACGCCCGCACTCCCGAGGGGCCTGCTCCGACACGCACGGGTCTCTGGGGAGAGACCCAGAGTCAGAGGTCCAGGCGGGGCTGCAGCTGGGCCGAGGGGTCCCCGAGGGACCCCGAGCAAGCCCCCCGTCACTCCGAACCCCCAAGCCTCGCCTGGAGTGGGGTTGCCTGACAGGTGTTTCCCAGGGGCACGCAGGTTCCCTGAGACAGGTGCGAGGTTGGGGGGGAGAGGCCTTCTGTGTCTGCGGAGCTCCGGCCCAGGGGCACCTGAGCCCCACACCGCGCCCCCTGCCGCCCTGTCCCCCTGCCCTCCGTCTCCCCGCCGCCCTGTGAGCACCTCACGGTCACAGGGCTGCATCAGATTCACCTGGGAAACCCCACGTGTACGTGGCGCGTGGCTCAAAAATGTGTACTGACGCGCTTGCCACAGAGAGATTGGTGCTGGAGGAACTGCTCCCGCCACCGTATCTCGCGTTAAAAACTCCTCCCGGGACACGGATGATGGGGCGCTCCACACCGAGGAGGGGAGTGAGCTCGACTTTCTGCACCCGAAGCTCCCTGTCAAGGGGCAAAGGCCACGCCTGGGCCTCCCCGGCACCTCAGATCTGTGCCAGCTTAACGGGGACACCGCTCCTTTCCCCTCGGCGCTTCTGTTCCAGGTAACGGCTAAGGCGGTGTTCCTGGGCTGTTTGTGCTACTTTTTGGACTGTAAGGAACCCATTTCAGCCGTGTGCCCCGTCACACACACACCCACACCCCCCCCCACAGGGTCAAGAAACAGCTCCCGCTCAGACCCGTGAGGTCCTCTGTCGTTTCCTAGTCGATTCTGTCCGCAGAAGGCCGGCTGTGACTCGCGGAACTGATTTTGCAGCCCGCCGACAGGCGTCAGCCTGCGGTTTGCCCACCATGGCGCTGCCCAGCAAGTTGAAATCCACTGAGACGGGCGGGCCCGGGGCCCTCTGGGCGCCGCCCACAGCTGCCCCCCTCCCCGCTGCCCTGAGCCACACTATCTCTGCCTCTGCAGCGTTCCCTGACCGTGTCCTGCCCTCCCAGCCATGCACCTCCCCCCTGGAATGGTTCAGTGCTGATCACAGGAGCGGCCAGGGTTATCTGCAGGCCTGCTATTGTGAGGGCGTTGCACGCATTAACTCACTTCAACTCGTAACACTTTGAGGGTGTTGATGCTAGATCGTGCCCCTTTCACAGGTGGGGAAACTGAGGCCCAGAGAGGCTGGGCCCCTGGCCCTAGGTCACACGGCCGGTGAGCGGTGCAGCTGGGTTGGCTCCGGGATCTGCCTCCAGAGCCCGCCCCTTTCTCCGACAGCACCGAGCTGTGCCCATCTCGGCGGGCTCTCCCAGGCACCCAGACTGACACCCCCACACCCGGCCCGAGCCCCCCCTGCCAGCGTCCCTGAAGCCCGCTCCCCGTCACCCTCCGGGTTCGGTCCGTGCCTCGGCCCTGGCAGTCTGGCCCCTCTGGAAGCCTCCGGCCTCACCGACTGCCCCTGCCCACCCCGCCCTCTGCCGGGTCCCACCGTGGTCTCCAGGCCTCCGTGCCTCTGCCCAGGCGGCCACTCACGCCTCGCACGCCCTTCCCGCCAAGCCCGAGCCTCCGGGCCCAGGTCTCCGTCGCTCCCCCACCCCAGGCACACGCACAGTGTGTTTGCATCCCCCCTCGTGACACCGGCGTCCAGGTCGGAGTTTCCTGTTTCCTGTCTCTGTCCCCGCCTGCACTGTAGCTCCTGAGGGGGTGACCCTGCATCAGTCACTCCCCTGTCCTTAGGCCAGAGCTGGCCCCCCGATCCCTGGCCCACAGACCATGGAAATGACCTCTGCCCGGAGCTCCCAGTGAGTGCACAGCCCCCCAGGTCACCCAGCGCTCTCACACCCCCCGGCAGGTCCCTGCGGGAGCCTCGTGAGGCAGGCAGGGCAGGGTGGGGATCCCATTGTACAGACCGGGCAGCTGAGGACCAGAGGGTCCATGTAACCTCGCCCCAGGCCCCACAGGGCTCTCCCGGCAACCCCTCCCCCGCCCTGCCGCATTTGCTTCACTGCAGGGGCTGCTGTGTCCAAACCTGGGGGTGTCCCTGCTGGGACCAGAAACCCGCACCGGAAGGAAGGAGGGGCCACACCTGGCTGGCGAGCTCCCCCTGCAGCGCCTCCAGCTGCTCCTGGGCCCGGAGAGAGGCGCCCCGCTCCTGGCACACGCGGGCACGCAGCTGGTCCACCTTCCGCAGCAGCCTCCGCTCCGACAGCTCCAGCTCCTGGATTCTGCGGCAAGGGGCAGGGGGCGCTTAGTGGGGCCGCAGGAAATGTGGCCAAAGGTTTCACACGCACCAGGCAACGTTTTTTGTTGTTATCGGGCCAATTTCATCTTCTGACAAAGTTACATTTTGTGGAACAGCCACACGTATCTTTCCAAGGATGACCTATGATAATACTTCCAAGACCTCTTTGGAGTAGGAAGGAAGCCTGCGTTAGAAATCTTAACAGCTTCCTCATCTCTGAGCCAGTATCCCGAGCCCGGGTGATACCAGTTAAAGACTGAGCCTGAGGCAAACATCTGCATTGTCCTCCTTGACTCTTCCCTGTACCAGCCCGGGAGGAAGCGGAAGATCAGAGAGGCCAGGCGACTTGCCCAAGGTCACACAGCATCACAGAGGGCAGGCCAGCTGAGTCCCAGTCTCCATCCACCCCGCGCTCCGCCGCCTCCCGTTCCAGCTGCATCCCTGCGACTCTCTTCCGAGGAGGTGACTGAAGTTCAGAAAATAACTTTCTGCTGTTGAACCAATCTGCGTCGCTTTTGAAAGTAGGAAGTTGGAAACGACCTAATGTCTCCCTGGACGGCACAGCCCTGTGAAGGCCTTCTCGTTATCCCGGGGAGCATGAGGCTGAGCCCCAGGCTGCAGCACAGCCCGGGCACGGCCACGCGGAAAGGGGGAGCATGAATGTGGGGGGATGGGGGCCCCAAAGCGGAAGTCTGGCTCCAGTCCCCTCGGGAGAGAAGATCGTCCGGCACTTGCCTGTCACCTGGCACCCAAGTCTCCTTACTGTGCCACCCTCACCTCTAGAACGGAAACCAGGAAACACAGGGAAAGGGCTCTCCCGGCTTCCGTGGACAAGCTCCGCCCACCGCCACACCTTTCCTCAGGTCCACGGGGTCACCTGCTCACCCAGGACAGACCCAGCTTCCCCGGGGGAGGACACGGCTTTGCGTCCTGGCTCTGGCCCTGACCAACCACAGAGCCAACACCGGGCTCACTCACCACTCCGACCCGCGGTATCTGTGTCTGCGACAAGCAGAGGGGACTCTGCTCAGAAGGCTGTTGTGAAGGTGACATAAAATGATACATTATTGTTACTGATACGGCCAAGAGTTTCCTCTCCCACTCTAGCCGAGGGGCTCGGGGGAGGGCCTGGGAAGTGACAGAAGGGAGTGTGGATCACAGTCGGGTCCCTTCCAAACCCAACGACAGGGGTGGCCTCGGATCCACCGGTCACAGCGTCAGGCTGACTGGTTACAACATGGGGCGACACCGAAACAGGGCGACACCAACACGGGGCGAGAAAAGCCCATCTTTAGTTTCCGAGGCCAACCTGGAACGCTGACCGTGAGATGGGGTTAGTGCTGACCTTGTCCCTGCACTTGAACTACGCGGAAAACGACCAGTCTTGCCGGGGCAGGCAGGCTACCGGCCCGCCCACCGGACCCAGTGGTGTCCCCTGCAAGTGCACAGGAGACCACAGGTGCGGCTGGACAGGACCCTAGACTATCCGGGTGGCCCGAGCTGCAGCCCCAGCCGTCCCCGGAGAGGGAGGCGGACCGGGGTGCCACAGAAGGCGGGGGCCACGCAAGATGCCGGGCTGCCGGCACGGCGGAGGCAGGGCCGGAGCAAGGGCCCTCGCGGCAGATGCCGAGGGGCCGGGACAGACGCCCCTGCCGCCCCTTGAGAGCTCGGCCGGCTGCCCACCCCTGCCTCGGGCGGGGGGCCACTTCTGGCTCCGCCTGCGGTCTGAGCCGCCACGCCGGGGGGGCCTGGGTGTGATCCGCCACAGAAACGAGCACACCCACGGACGGGAAACGGACACTGCAGCGCCACGCCGCGCCGAGGAACGGCGAGCATGAAATATTAACGGGCAGGGCCGCGGAGACTGCCTGGAGCCTGGGGGGCGCCCTCCGGGACAGGGCGGATCTGTCCCCTCGTGGGAGGCCATGCCGGGCAGGCTGCCTGGGCTCCAGTCCCAGCGCTGGGGGTGCGCCCCGCCTGCAGGGAGCAGAGGACACAGCCCGCGTGTCCCCACCCCCAGGACGGCCTGCCCCCGGGCCCCAGCCCCAGAGGCCGCTCCTCTCCATCACTGACAGTGCCCCCAGGCTCTGTCCCCCCCACACACAGAGGGGTCTCCTATGGCCGGGGTCCCCCCCCCATCTGCCCCAGGCCCGTGGACCTTCGGGTCCCACTGCCGGCCTCTTTGGAGGGAGATCCGAGCTCACAGCCGGGTGGGGGCTGCACCTCTCACCTCCCCGGGGCCACGGCCTGCCCCGCTCCCTGGCCCTCAGCCCCTGGACTCACATCAGGGGATGCACGGGCCCCCCTAAGTCCGTACATTGAAGCCCGAACCCCAGTGCCGCAGAAGAGGGCCGTATTTGGAGATGGGGTCTTTACAAAGGCAGTTAGGGGAAAATGGGGTCACTCGGGTGGGCCCTCCCTTAAACTGACTCAGGTCCTGGTAAGGAGAGGGGACTGGGACGCAGACACACAGACAGAGGCAGCCCCGTGAGGACCCAGGGAGAAGAGGGCCGCCCATCAGCCCGGAGAGAGACCTCGAAAGGGACCGACCGACCACACCTCGGTCGTGAACTTCCAGCCGCCCGCACTGTGACGAAATGACTGTGTTGTTTATGCAGCTCAGCCTGTGAAACTGGGTCGCGCTCATCGCTGGAAACCAGCCCAACTCCACACGTGACTCGGGGGCAGTGGGAGCAGGTTTAGGATGAGCGGGTGGGTGGGTGGATGGGTGGAGAGATGGACGGACGGACAGACGGACAATCACCCCGAGCGACACAGAGAATAACAAAATAACTGTTCTGATACGTGAGTCTCCTCACGTGGAAAGTATCACAAAGAGGAAAGAACAGGGAAACAGACATCGAGTGACCAGCCTGCAGTAACGCGAAGGGAAGCAAGGGGAAATGGCCCGTCCCAGACGAGTCCCGGACACCGGCGGCTGGGACACGGGTAGACCCGCCGGGATCGACCCCTGCACTCCCACGCCGGGCTTCTCCCCAGCCTTACGCGAGAAGCCCCACCCTGTTCTGGGGCCCAGTGCTAGCGGATGACCGAGAGCGAGCACAGGCTTTGGAGAAAGACCCAGGTCCAGCGCCCAACCTCCGGGCCACGGCGGTTCCGCCAGGAACGCAGCCCACACCAGGCATTCGGACTCAGCGGCACGAAACAAGCCCCAGGGATCTGTTGCGAAGGTGAGGGGAGAGCCGACAGCCAGGCAGAAACCAGATCTGCCGAGAGCCACTCGGTCCCTGGGGCCGGCGGGGCACACGGGGGCCGGGCCACCAGCAGGAGGAGCGGGACCACCGAGGAAGCCAGGAGTGTGACCACATCGTAGCCACAGGAAGACATGTCACCCGGGGCAGAAGAGAGGGCAGAACACCTCGCTTCCCCCGTCCTCCTCCTCCCCCCCAGACGTCCCATCGGCCGGGCCCAGGTGGAGGCCAGCGAGCCTGGGAGACCTGCCTGCAGGCTCAGCCCCCGGGGCCACGGAGAGAAGGAGCCAAGGCGGCAGGTTACGTGACGTGGGGAGCCCACGTCCTCCGCCGCAGACACGAGTCCCACCCCCTCCCGACACGAGCCTGACGCCCCGGGATCTACGAAATGCGCACAGCGGCCCGAGCCACACGCTCACCTGCTCCTGAGCCCAGACTCCGACCTCACGTACTTGTCCACGGCGGCCAGCAGCTTCTGCTCGGAGAACTCCAGCTGCTCCCGGAGCACCCCGGTGTCCAGGTCCGGGCTTGCCCCAGCGGCGGCGGCGGCCTCGGGAAGACACCCCCGCTCCTCATCGCCGCCCTCCGCGTCCTGGAAGATCCAGGCCGTGTCGATCTTCAGGTCCACGTTCATGACATCGAACCCGTCGCCGCCGGGCGCCCTGACAACGTAGCTGAACGTCCTCTCGGCGCGTCCTGTGGCCGCTGGCTCCATCCCGGCATGGTTCACGGGGCAGGACTGGACGCCACGGAGCGAGTTCGCGGCGGCGGTGGCCCCTGGGAGGTTTCGGGTGGGTGCAGCGCCTTCAGATTGTGAGGGAGAGCGTCCCTTGGGGAGGGCGGGGAGAAGTGGATTATTTATGAGCGGGGGCGCTCCAGTTTCTCGGGCGCACACACGTCATGCAATGTGAATGAGGGCCTCTCGGGTTGCAGGCCGGCGTGCCGGCACGCGCCCAAAGCCAGGCAGCATCACCGGGAAATCACTCGGAGTTAAAGGCCCGATACACTGCGTCCGGGGAGGGAAAAGGAGTCCCAGGCGGGCCCAGCAGCGAGCCACGGGGCGCCGGCAGCGAAACGCAAGCCGACACCCGTGAGGAGCGAGGCCCGTGCAGCAAACTCTCGTCTGGGAACTTCCCTTCGCCAGGCGGGACCCCCTCACCCCGCCCCGCTCCCCGGTAGCCCTCAGAGGTCGGCACCAGCATACCCATTTTACAGACGATGGAACTGAGGCTCTGGGAGGTGGGAGGAATGGCTGGTCCCGGCCCCCAGATGGGAACAGGCAGAGTCAGGGTTCAAAGGTGAGTCTGACTCCAAACCCTGAGAGGCGAGGGCTGGAGGGCCTTCTGGGGCAGGAGGCGTGGCTGACAGCTGACTGCGGAGAGTGGGAGAGGGCCCAGGGAGGCGGGTGCTCTGGCTGTTTCTTAGAGGAGCAGCCTGAGGGGAGGCGCATCCTCCCCGATTCCCCACCCCGCCCGCGGGTAAAGACAGAAGCCTCTCCGGTCGTGGGAAGGAGCCCCCTGCGGCTGAGGGACACGGGCAGAGGTGTGGCCTGCCCCGCCCGGCCTGTCCGTCAGCTGCACGGCGGGAAGGGGGCGCGGGAGCAGTCAGGAGGGAGCCTGCACGCGAGGGAGGCTGAGGGTGGTCACCGGGAGGACGGCTGCGGAGAGCGGAGCACCGGGAGCTCCCGTCTGAAATGCAACGGCCCCCAACAGATGGCAGAGGGGCAGAGGGAGGGCGAGGGGCTGCGGCTGCACCCTACCACGGAGCTGGAAGGGGGGCACCTAGTTTAGGGTCTGCAGAAGCCCCCAAGAGTTCTGAGACAACCTCCAGGACGGGGACCCTCTTTGGCAGGCCCCTGGCAGGTTCTGGTGAAATGTGGGACAACAAGCAAAACCAGCAGGCGGGTCCTGCAGGTCACACACCAGCTCCGGGACGGTGCGGAGGGATGAGCAGGTGCCACGGGCTCCGAGGCCCTCGGCCTGCAGGACGGCAGGACGGCAGGGCGGAGACGGACCAGGAGCTTGCTTAGAGAGGAGCTAGCCCAAGGCAAGGCCCCGAGTCTAACACTCCCGGCCACCACGGCCCCCTCGAGGGGCCGCCTGACCCTGCCCTCCTCCACCCGGCTCCTTGCTGGCCGAGCTGGCCCGGTGGGAGGGTGCAGAAGCCACTTCACACGTGCTGGCTGCGCGGTGACCGACCCTGTGCCAGGAACCCAGCAGGGCACCCCTCTCGCCTGCCCGGCAGAGCTGCAGGGAGGAGCGGGGTGGGCGAGGGTGGACCCAAGCCTTCTCTTTTCTGTGTGAGAAAGTGACCTTGGGTTCAGCTGACCTTGTAGCTCTGCTACCCTGGAAACCACACACACACGGAGCACTGGCTGTATCACTAGGCAACCACCACCACATCCGCGAGGGGGCGCACCTCCTCACCTGGGCCCAGAGGGCGGTGGCCGCCAGAGCTCGGAGCTCCCCTGGGAAGACGGCTCCTGGACCCGGGCCTGTCCCTGGCAGGGGCCCTGGGAAGCGACGTCTGCAGCTGTCACGAGAAGTGTTGGCTCCCGTTGGGGACTCGGGTCTTCTCAGCCAGGGCGGCGACCACACCTGCCTGCGGGAGCCCCGTGCCCTCACACCTGAGCTGTCCAGGGGGTGGCCCCTGGTCCCGGTGGGCTGTATGGTCCCTCTGAGGACGCCTCCCGCGGAGGGAGCAGCGGGTGCACCTGCCGCGTCTCCCGCCAGGGAGACACACTCGGGTCTGCCCAGCTGTGCCCAAAGAAGCCCTCTTGTGCGGCACCACGTGGGGACCACCCCCACCCGACAGCCGAAGATCAGAGTGGCCGGTACTCTGCCGGCGCCCAGGGCAGGGCGGCGTCAGGGCTGGGAGTGGACCCGGCTGGGTCTGACTTCAAGTCCACGCCACTCCAGCCCTGCGGTGTGTGCGGGCGAGCAGACGGAAGGATGGACACCGGAGGACGTGAGGACCCCGCTGCCGCACCCTCCGGCAGCGGGGAGAGTGCGGACACTGGGCGCCCTGGAACCGCTTCCCAGAGGCCGGGCCGTGCCTCCCGGGGGTCCGCCCGCCGAGTCAGCAAAGCGGCGTCTCCCGGAGTCCTCGGCGCCCGGAGGAAGCGGGCGTGCTTCTGGCTTCTTCCCTCGCTGGTGGCTTCCCCCCTAACCCCACCCCCAACCTGAGCGCTCAGGTGCGATCTTTCCGGCAAAGCCATCCGCTCATTCACATTTGGCCACTGCATGTTGGTAAGCGCTGGGGGCTGGTGCAGTGCGTGCTTTGGGTCTGGATTTCAGAAGAGAAGGGTCATCTCTCAGCCGTCCTGGTGCGGCTGCTCCGAGCCCCCCGGTCCTTTGGTTTGGTTGGAGCGCCCCTCCCCGTCTGAGCGGCACGCCCTTCCTGTGCCCGTTCACACTCCTCCCCGGCCTCGGGGCCTCGGGCGCCCCCGTCTGGGAGCTCCCAGCTCCCCTGCTGGGCGCCCTCGCCCGCCGCTTCCTTCCGCGGCCTGAACGTCGGTCACGTTAGTGTTCTCCGCGGTGCTGCTCGCCCGCCGTTCTCACGGGTTGCTCCTGCAGGCCCCCAGGCACACAGCGGGGGCTCTCGGCCCTTGAGACCTGCCCTTCCGGGCCTTCAGCCGCCTCGTCCGACACGGGCTCGGCCGTCCGTCCCTTCGCCCTCCCTGCCTCCTCCTTCGCGGGGTCTGGTCTGATTCCAAAAGTCTCCCTTCCAGACGTTCGGGAGGCGACAGACACGTGAGCAGGTAGCTTCTCCTGGAAATGCTCCCCCACCCGCCCGCCCGCCCGCCCTAGGAGAACCGTAGTTACGGCGCCTGAGTGTAACCTCTCCAGGATTCCCGCCCGGACTCGGCTCTCGCCAGACGGCACCCTGCCCTCCTCGGCCGCCCCCCTCTGTCCTTTCTCCTGGGAGGCTCGGTTCAGGGGCTGGTCTCCGAGGTCAGGGAGGGCGGCCTTCTTCGCCGAGGCCGTCAGAGCGGGACCTGGTCGCAGGCCACAGACCCTCCAGGATCACTCCGCATCCCAGCACCTCTTCCTCCGCAGCCTCTTGCCGATGAAAACCAAGATGCAAAACAGCCCCGATGTGGCCGAGTGGGGGCCGTGCCCACCTCTCAGTCCCCGCTCCACACGGCGCCAGGCACTGTCATGCTCTGGGAGTTTGGCCGGGCACACCATGACAGCGGTGGAACCTTAGGCTTCCGCCTTGGACATCTGAGTTCCCTGGGGTCCGCCCTCCGGAGTGGGCGGGGCTCCAGCCCCGCCCCCCGCTCTGGCCATCAGCTGCTAAATCCGCTGCGCACAGACCCGGAGGTTTTGGGGACTGGGGCTGGACTTTGGTTCAGGCCACAGGGGCCATTTGCAAGTCACCCTGGATGCACAGGACACAGCTCACGGAGACATATGTACACGGTCTGCGCCCCGCCGGGCGCGCGCACCTTGGCCAGGGGAGGCGCACGGTGCGGGGACGCGGGCGGTCCCCAGAAGTTGCGGACGCTACCCCATTGCTCAGCTTCCGCTAATTGCACTTAGTTTCCTGGTATTCGGGTCTCTGCCCCTCGGGCTCGGGAAGGTGCCGCGGTGGGGACTCAGATGTGGCCCCGAGCTTGAGAAATTCCCCTTCGCCCCCGCGGAGGGCCTGGGGCTCGGCCGGGCCAGGACCCACCTTCAAGCCAAAGGCCTCCCCTTCACGCCCCAGTCAAGTGCTTGTGAGTTCTGGTTTCAGGCTCTGGGCTTGGAGCAGCTTGTTTGGCTGTTGAGTTTGGTTTGAGCGGGGTTGGGGTTGCCGCAGGGACTCAGTGTATTCCATACGCTCTGTTTCCATCCTGTGGAGGAAAAGCACTTGGATAGGACGCGAGAACCAAGGGTTAGAACGGTGGGAGGGGCCCCTGGCTCACGCGCCCCCACCTGCCCCAAGTGCTGAGCTGGGCCTGCCAGCTGGACCCCCTGAGGGGCGCCCCCTGCGTCCAAGGCTCCCAGAGCCTGTCCCCCAGCCCCCCACCCCGGCCCCCATGGCTCCCCACCCCTGGTCTGACGACGCCTGGCGTCGCCCCTTGGCTCACTGCACAAACACTGAACGAACACCGACCCTGTCCCACTACGTTCAAGCGCTGACCTAGGCGCGGGGCCCAGACGCTACGAGGCAGAGCCCCTGAGGAGGGCAGGGGTCGAGCGCAGGGCGCCCGCGAGGACATGGGGCGAGGACACGGCTCAGCCCGGGGCTCCAGGCGGCTCGCAGACGTTTTGGGCACCCCCAGAGCTCCCACGGCTCTCATTCGGGGCTGGACTCGGGGGCGGGACTCTAGATGCTGAGGGCCCTGGCAGACCCCTGCCCCTAGGTGGGGGCTCAGAACTGGGAGAATGGGGGCGGGCCTGACGACCGAGGGGAGCTGGGAGTGAGACACTCAGGCCCAAGGACCAGAGCAGACCAGCTGCCCAAGGGCGCCCCCTGTGGCCCCCGGGGCGGCGTGGGCAACACAGCCAGGCTGAGGGTGGGGCAGAGGGCGGGGGAGGGGCCGGGGCTCTCTACACAGGCCTCCTGGGCATTGGTGTGCAGGTCACAGCGCCCTTCAGCCTCCTGCTCCTGCAGACCCCGCCCCCGCCGGAAGCCCACTCTGGTGTGGACCCCACGGCAACAGGGCACCCCAGGAGCTAAAGCCAACGTGGGAAGAACCTCAGAGAAAAACCATAAATCCCCTTTTCAAGATGAAATACAACAGGGGGCAGCAGGGGGCGCCGTTGGGTCTTTTTTACTTGTGCTCTCCACCCCTACCCGGCCGTCTGGAGCCCGCCAGGGACCTGGACGCCCCGGCCAGAGAGGCCGAGCCTCCGCACGCTGCCCGCCTGCCCAGGAATGGTGCTGTCCACACCAGGGGGTGCGCCCCTCGGTACAAAGTTCTCGTTTCTATCGGAAAGGAAAGGATACCAACCCGAGTTCCTGGCTCACGGGCGTCATCAAGGCCACAGAATGAATGCTAGTGAGAAAAACAAAAAAAGGAACAAAAACTATAAAATAAGACCAAAATAAAATGAGGCAGAAAAGACAAGAAAAGGAAAAACAGAGGTAAGCTATGTAGTTTGGAATTCAGTGACAGCATTTTATAAGAACTTCAGCCCTGAGGTTAGGTTCGGAAGGAGGGACGGGAAGCAGCGGGGTTCAGGGGCTGGTGTCCCCCCGGGAAAGCCGCCACGGGGCCGTGGGCGAACCCCTAACACCCGCGGATCCGGACGGGGGGTGTTCACGCCAGGGACCAGCACACGGCGGGGCTGGGACGGGGCAGGGAGTCCCTGTGACAGCCGGGCCTGCGGTCCGCCTCGGTGGCCCCCACCCAAGGGTGTGACAGATTCCACCCCACGTCACCGGTCCCCAGTCCCACCCGCCCGACTCCCGCCCTGCCAGGGCTCCCTCTCCCGAGGGCGTCCCTGTTTAAAACTTTTTCTTTTTGTTGTTGTTGTTTTAAGATTTTATTTATTTATTTGTTTTTAAAAGATTTTATGTATTTATTTTTAGAGAGGGGAAGGGAGAGAGAAAGAGAGAGAGAGAAACATCAATGTGTGGTTGCCTCTCACGTGGCCCCCACTGGGGACATGGCCTGCAACCCAGGCATGTGCCCTGACTGGGAATCGAACCTGCGATGCTTTGGTTCGCAGCCCACGCTCAATCCACTGAGCTACGCCAGCCAGGGCCGAAATTTTTTCTTTAAAAAGAAAAAACGGCAGGGGAAAAAAATGACCTTAAAGGAAAGTCTGGTCATTTTGGACCAAAGGAAAGGAAAGAAGGTCGGTTTGAGAGGGGTTCTTTTTTCCCCCTAACTTATTCAGGACCTGCTTTGTCCAAAAGGAACTCCTGTTCATTAGGTGGCACACCTCCTCGTCACCTGTGACTTTTAAAAATAATTCTTGCAGGGTTTTTTATTCCCCAAAAGAAGGTAATAGCTTCCTAATAATATTTACTGAAAAAAACTAAAACGCCAACAGACAGCCAACTTTGAAACAAGTTCGGCAATCACTGGCGGTGACAGCTGCTAGGGAAGGGGGGGGGCGCTAAGGAATGACCTCACTCTTCACCCTCTCCATGGGGAAACTGAGGCCCAGGAGAGGGAAGGACTGGTCAAGGCCATGGGGGTGTGGCAGGGAAAGGGTCGCTGATCCCTGACAAGGAGGGCCAGTCATGCATCCCTGGGACAGATGTCAGGGAAACGACAGGGACACACTCGCGTCTCTGAGGGTGCCAGAGGCCTGACCAGGAGCCCGCACACTCTGGTCCCCACCCCGGCGGCTCCTGTCCACGACCAGAGGAGACAGGCCCGCCCACAAACATTCGCCTGGAGAGGAGAGTTGTAAAAGGAGCCGCCCCGAGGGTTCAAGCCTTTCCCAGGTGCCCTCCCTGCTCAGGGCTCATCCCTCCTGACCCCAGAATTCCAATCGGCGAGAACCACTGTGCTGTGCTTTAGTCTCTTCTGTGTCCTGTTTTGCTCAGTGGCCCATTTTGCGGAAACAGGGGTGAGGCTGGCTGGGCGACAGGGGAATGCACGCTGGTGGCCATCTGGCCTGGGCCGTGGCCTCGCACGTCCTCAGCCTGCATCTCCTCTAACCTCATTGAACCCATTCGGCTCTGCGCCCCGCCCTGGGAGAGGAGGCGTGAAGCCGCCCTTCGCAAGTGGGAGCTGAGGGGTGCGCCCCCAGGGCCTCAGAGCCCAGCCCAGCGAAGTCAGGACGGGGGGGGGGGGCGTTGGGGCAGGGGCGGGGTGCGCATCTGTCTGTAAAGCCAGGTTTTCCCGAGACATTCTCCAACTGCATTACACCGGAGAGCCCCTTGGGTCCTCAAACCCGGAAGGTCTGGGCGCGAGGGTATTGGGCAGACGTGAACCGGAATTCCCACGGGGCCCCCGTCCCCAGGACCCCTCCAGCCGTGGCCCTCTGCTGCCCCCCTGAGGACACCCCGGGCTGCGCAGTCCTGGAGGCCCGAGGCCCCACCCAGGTGACGCGCCTCCCCAAGAAGGCGGTCTAACCTGCCCGAGAGTGGGAAGAGGCAGCTTCCAAAGCTGGGGCCGCAGCGGAGAGCCGCCCCCGCCCCGTGGGCACGTGTTCGACCCCCGCCAGGACAGGGCAGGCTGCCACCTCGTTTCTGCAGAACCCTGAACCGCGCCCTCTGGTGGCGGCGGCGCTACTTAGTCCCAGCCGGTTTCCTCGCTCACGAGATGCGCCTCAGACATGGGGCCACGTGTTTGTGCCCTCCCGCCTTCCTCCCGAGGTGACCGCCGGTCGCCCTTCAGGATTCAGCCTGGGGTCGCCCCCTGGGGCACGTCGTCCCCCACTGACCCTGCAGAGGGGGCTCGAGCCCTTCCCCCTTCGCCTCGTGCACACCGCCCGCTCACCGCGGCGACGGGACCCGTGCGACCACGGGCTTTTTCTCTACTCGGGAGCCGTTCCTGCGGCAGCACTCGGTGACGCCCCCTCTCGATCGTGGACGAAGAGGCCTACCAGCTGGTCCCCATCCTAAGGGATCCACGGCCACGGAACTGGTGGCGTGGGGACCAACAAGCCACCCACGCGTGGTCCTGAGCGGGACTCTGTCTGCCCGGACCAACGGCGTGGGAGGGGGGCCGCCCCTTCCCAGCTGGGGGACCAGGGACGAGTGTCCGAACCCCCCTCAAGCTCAGTTTCCTCTCCCACAACATGGGGACGGTGTGGACAGACGAACAGGGACAGGCGTCCCATGGGGCGGGCCAGCCTGGCTTCTTTCTGGGGGGGGAGGGGACTTCCAGGGACGCACGGCCGGCCTTGGCGGATCGAGGTCATTGAAGGGGAGCGAGTCCCTGGGAGGAAACCCATGTCTGTGGCCAGTTTATCGCTCAAAAAAGAGGGTCACCTCATCCTCTCTTGTGGAAAAAAAAGACACCCCCCCCACCCCCCCCACACGAAGTTGGTTCCCAACTGCACTCTCCTTCCCTGGAGCGGGGCTCGAAGCAGCTGCCTGTTTTTGCACATGCCGGTTTGGGGGCGGGGGAGGGGGCAGACAAGGGGTGCTGGGGACAGGTCTGACCTTGGAGGAGGGGCAGGCCAGGGAGAAGCGTCCAACCCCACGCCCCGCGGGCCCACCCCCAGCGGGAGCCGGGCTCGGGACACCCACCTTTTCCTCCAGCTCCTTCAGGTGCCGCCTCTGCAGCTCCAGCTTGTCCTCCAGCTCCCGCACTCTCTGAAACACAGCGGGCTGCGCGTCAGGAGAGGTGGCCTCCCGGGTCCTTCCCGGCCCCCCAGGAGCGGAGCAGGAGCCTCAGGGTGTGTGCACGCATGCCCAGCGGGCAGCCCGGCTGGCTGGTGGACGCGCACACAGACCGGTGTCCCCATCCCCCCACCCCCGGACCAAGCTCAAGGGCGCATCCGGCCTCCCGGAGGCTCCCTGGGCCCCCAGAGGAGCTCCGTCCTGACCTCGGTCACTGAGACTGATTCTGCCTGCTCCGGAAGTGCATGGAAATAGAATTATACGGTGTGTGCCGTTAAGACAGGGTCTCTTTGAAACATAAACATGAAGACTGGGCCAAGGCTTGGAGGCGCCCTGGGCAGGATGCTGGGATTGCGGTGGCACCGAATTCCGTGCTTTTATGTAGCCGGACCCTGGGGGGGAGCGGGGACAGAGGAGGTGGAGGGGGTGGGCACAGCTGCAGCGCCCCTCACCCTCTCGGAGCCTCACTGTCCTCACCTGGGGACCGGCATCACTGTCCCCACTCGCGGTGTGGGCGTGAGCTTCCCAAGCCCCTCCTGTGCCGCGTGCCAGCCCCGGCCTGCACCCCCACACTGGAACTCGAGCTTCGAGAGGGCAAGGGCTGGGCACAGAGATGTTAGAAAACCACGGACCAAAGCGGTGTGACGAGAGAAGGGGGTGATGGGTTTGTGCAGATCTGCATGGGCCCGAGGGCTCAGGGCGTCGGGCTGAGGGACCCAGACTCTGTCCTCTGGGCTACGGGAGCCGGGAGGGTCTTCGGGGTGGAGGGTGGCGCGGCGCTGTGTGTTAGGAAGCCGTGTGCTGGGGGAGAGGGGTGGCAGGGAGAGGGACAGGATCCCAGGAGGTACTGCAGTGGCCTGTGGCCCCAGCAGATGGCTCTACAGGCCAGCCGGCGCTGGGACACTGGACACTAAGGCGAGGCGTGACACCCGGGCCCAGTGGGTGCAGGAGGGGAGGGGCCGTCGCCGGTGGGGGGGGGGCACCCGCACCTGCTGGGCCTGCTGCAGCAGCTCCATGCGCTCCCGCAGCACCTGGCTGTCGAACTCGCGGCTCTGCCTCAGGATCTGCCGGCGCACCTTCTCCACCGAGGCCTGCAGGGCCTCCCGCTGGCCCGCGCTCAGCGCCTCGTCCGCCCTCTGGCCCGGCTCCTGCTGCAGCGCGTCGTACAGCGTGGCCTCCAGCTCCTGGATTTTCTGAGCGGCCCGAATCACACAGACAGGGGACAGTCACAAAGGGGTGACAGGAACAGCCAGTGCTCCGGCGGCCGGGACCCCGCAGCCCAGGGAGGCTGAGCCAGGCGGGGGCGGGGGGGGGAGGTGCAGGCCCGAGCAGAGAGGCCACAGGCACAGCTCGGGGTGAGGGCGCCCCCGCGCACAGATCTCTGAGAATGCGGCTTCCTCGATCCAAGGGCAATAGAACAAATAAACCGAACCCACGTCCCTCAAACTGTGCAGTTCGGCTGGTCCTTATTCCATCCCTGGCCTCCGACTCACCCCCCGAGCTTGGGAACACGTTCCCCCTTTATGACACGGGCCGAGGGGGGTCCGTCTCAACTCCCTCACTGCCGGTTTTCAGCCGGCCACTCAGGATGCTGTTCTACCCCAGAGCAAATAGCAGCCGTGTTCTAACTGCCTCAGAGCCCAGACACGAGGGCCAAGGGTCACTCGAGGTGTCCAGCCTCACGGCCCGGACCTCCCGTCTGGGCTAAGCCCCGGCGACCCCTCTCTGCCTCCCTGGAGATGCTCCTGGAAACGGGGTGTGAATGTTTCCGGTTGTTGGCCACGTTTCTGAGGCATAAACCCACGTCGCAAATGCTTTGAACCTCGAGGGATCTGGGCAGAGACTGGCCCCGGGCTCCGTAGACGGCCCAGCTTCTCCCCGCGAGGGGCGGCACCGAACCCCGCATGCTCGCCGCTGTGGGGGCGTCCCGGATGGCCCGCCACCGCACCATCTCACCCCCACCCCCACCCCCACCCCCACCCCCGGAAAGAATTTCCCTCCAGAATTTGAGCGCCCTCAAAACCCTAGGACCTATGAAACGTGTGACAAAAACACAATATGGCAGAAGACTGCAAAACAATTTCTGTCCTGATGGCCGGTGCCCACCCCACCCCAGCCGCCATCAGCTCCGTGGCCTCCTGTGGCTGTCTCTCCTTCCTATCGGCAGGAGCCCTGGCTTTGAGGTTTCAAACATGAATAAATATTTCAGTATAAACACACATAAGAAAGACAGGTTTTTTTTTCCATTCGTCTGAAACGATCACCAGAACGGAACAAGCACGTCTAAAGAGATCTGTCTAGTTTTGAAAACCATGAGTGATTGGGAAGCCGACAGTTTATCTGCACGGTCGTTCCCATCACAACGGGAAGGAGGGGTTTTTGTGGCTCCCCCAAGGCGCGGGCGAGGACCCCGAAGGACCAGGCAGCCGCCGCCACCGTGGCGCCCACAGGGGCTGGACGCCCGCCCGCGAGGACCCCACCTGGTAGGCCTGGTCCAGGGCCTGCTTCCGGTAGTCCAGCTCCTCCTCCAGGTAGCCCTTCTGCCGGCTGAACAGGGCCTGGGAAAGGAAAGGCGCCCGAGGTCAAGGGCAGCCCGAGAACCGGCCCAGCGCGGCTCTTCAGAGCCGCCTACCCCCCTCAGCCACAGTGATGCCCTCCCCCCACCCCTCCGGCTGGGGACTCGAGCCAGCCTCGGGGGACAAGGGGTGGGCGGTGTGCCCTGCCGGCTGCCTGGGGAAGCCCCCGGCCCCGTGGGCCGAGCCTCACAGGCCCCAGAACCTGGATCAAACCTGCCCCCACTCTCAGCTTCCTTCCCCGTGGGCTCTGCCTGCAGGGAGGGCCCCCCACCCCCCCAGCAACCCGGTTCCCAGCCGGGACCTCGGGAATCCTTCGTGTTGCTCTTGCCGCCGCCTGGTGGCTCCTGAAGACCGGCGCGTCAGTTCCCAGGGGCAGCTCCCCCCCCACATAAATGACACCACCCACATCACCCACGTGCTGATTCGGGTCACTGCCCCAGGCTCCCAGCCCGCCCTCCAAGCCACACTCCCGGCCCCCAAGCACTGTGTCTCCAGGTCGCAAATCTCTGTTCAGCGTGAGTAGTGGGGATTCGCAGCTGGAGCTCATACACTGCAGCCGCTTGGTTTCCCAGACGAGGAGACAGAGGGTCTGAGAGGACTGGGAGGGGGCGGGGGGGGCTGGCCCGGACACCCAGCTGCCTGGTCACAGGCAGGACTAGACGCCCAGGCCTGTGCTGTCCCTCCCACCCTGTCCTGGCCTCTCATGTCTACTAAAAAAATTCCAGAGGCCTCTGAGGGCTCAGCAACTCTCTCCCGACATCCCCGCCTGGGTGCGCTGGCACCCTGCCCCATGCGCCCGCCTGCAGAGGCTGGGTGAATAGCCACCCACAGGGGGCCCAGCACTGCACAAACACCGGCTGCACCCTGGGGTGCCCCTGCCTGGCAGCTCAGCGCAGCGGAGGCTAGAACCCTGCTTGCGAGGAAGCTGAGGTCCAGGGTGTCTCTCCTGGGTCCTCGAGGCCTGCAGGGCAGACCGTCAGACCGGAGGCCTGTCTCCGTGTCGCTGGAGCCACGGGCCCGGGCGTCTCCGTGTCACCATGTGCCTCTCCCGATGTCACGTGGCACGTGGCTGTCACTCGTGAGCACACGGGGCCGCATGGGCTTGCAGCGGGGGCCCTGCTTATGGGGTGCTGAACCCTAAACCAGGCAAGGAGAGTGGAGACTCCCAAAATGCATGGTAAGTGAATAACGAAGTGGAAGGTGGATAATTCGTTCCCAAAGCGACGCCAAGGCAACAGCGATGGAAACATGCACAAGTAAATAACGTGAGAGCAGGTGCCAGCCTTCGGGGGGGTGGGGGCAGGCCCCGGGCTCCGTCCGCCCCTCCTGCCTGGGGGTCGAGCCTTTTACCTTCTCCTTCTCCAGGTCCAGCATCTTCTGGGTCAGGGCCGCCTCAGTCACCTCTATTTGCTTCAGCCACTGGAAAAGAGCAGGCACAGCGGAGCAGCCATGAGACCCAGAGCCTGCTGGGGCTCCTCCTGAGGCTGGGCGTGCAGGGGACCGCCTCCTGGGTGGGGCTCCCAGCTGCTGCGGGGACCTGACTCGCACACGGCAGACTCGACTGTGGAAGGAAGGTCTCGAGTGTGGGTGGCGGAGACCCAGCAGCTGGGCAGCGGGGGTCACCGCGGCTCCCATGCCGGGTGCTGTCCTGGTGGCTTCCTCACCTGGCACCCCCGCCCCCTGCCACCCCTCCGGGCAGTGGCACTGCCCCGTTTAGCAGGGGAGGACTGCTCGGACTTAGTCCACTTGTCCCAGATCACACAGGCAGGGAGCAGGGGTTCTGAACCCCGCCCCCGGCACCGCCCCTCTGCAGCCCCCCGGGGCGTGTCTGAGCAGCTGGGTGCACCCTGGGGTGCAGGCAGAGTGAAGGTCAGGCTGGGCAGGGGTGCTGGCTGGGAGGGCCTGGGGGCCCCCCACGTGCTAAGTACCAGGGCGCACCTGCCAAGGGGCAACGGGAGGCAGGTGTGCAGGCGAGTCCTCGTGAGGAGCCCACCTGGGAGACGGGAGGCAGCCCGCCCGGCTGGGTGCCCGGGCCTGTGAGGGGGCGGAGTGTGGGGACCCAGGCTGCACCTCAGGCAGGAACATGTGTGGTCGCCTCGGCCGCCTCCCTGCCCCCTGCTGCCTGGGAACCCTGCCCCTTTCCTGACACCCAGGCCCCCTCAGCTGCCCGCTGCTCCTCCTCCTCCTCCCGGAGCTCTTGGTTTCCTTCGAACCCCGCCTGTGAGCATCCCCATTCACCTGCCACCACCACCCCCACTGCTCCCTCTGCCCCTCTGAAATGTCTCCCCAGCCCGGCCCGCGGCACCACAGGCCTCCCCAGTCCCCCTTCACCCATACCCCGACTCTGGGGCCAGCCCCACCCCTCTCTTCCCATAAGTTCCCACCACCTCTCTCTCGGAGCCCCCCCCCCATGCTCCCCCCTGCCCGCTGCCCCCACCCGGCTCCAGCCTGCTCTCCACCAGCCCCCAGCCTGCAGGTTCTCTCGGAAACATGCGTCCACCCCTGGACCTGCCCATCCCATCTCCCCGGCCCCCCGGACAACCTCCGGCCCCCACACAGGAGCCAAGCCGCCCTCCACCTCGGCCTCCCCCTGGGCCTTCGCACTGCCGGCCCTCTCCGCCTGGACCGCCCCGCCGCGCCCCGCCCCACGCTCAGCCCCAGGCTCAGCCCCAGGCCCTCCAGGCCCACCGCTGCCTCCTCCCCGAGCCCAGTGCCCTGGAGGGGCCTGTGTCACCGCCACGGTGTGAATGCCTGTCACAGCGCCCACCTGACAGACCGCCGGTGCCTGTCTCCCCCCCACACTAGCCCCTTGAAAGTGGGGACCACGTGGGTGCGTCCTGTCCAGTTTCCTCCCCCGGGAAGAGGCGGCTGCCGGACACAGGTGGGGGTGCGGGTGTGGCAGCCCGGGGGGTGCACACTGGCCCCACAGAGGAGACCAGACTTGATGAAGCTGCGGTCCCAGAGGCTCCCCCACCAATGTCCCGGGGCACCCCGTCCCCAGGGCGGCCCCAGGGCCAGCAGCAGCAGGCAGCGCCCACGGCGCTGGGCCAGACTCGGCTGAGAGGGTGTGCAGGGTCTCGGATGCAGGTGAGCGTGTTATTGGCGGGGGGAGCTATTCCATGTTGAATACCCCCACATAAGCAGTCAGGAAGCGAATAAAATTAAAATGGGAAAACCCAGTGTTAAGTTCCCGTGACAGGCTACTCTCTGAACGGGTTTTATAAAACGTAGTGTCAGGTTCCCCCATTGTTCAAGAACAGGTTTGCGGTGCGTGTGACGCGTCCGGTGAAACACCTCGACCGGTCCTCTCCGGCGGCACGTGGGCGAGGGAGTGGGAGCAGGAATTCAGGCGCGAGCACCTCGGGCAGGCGAGGTCCTGGCTTCCACGTCAAGGAGGCTCCCACGTCTGCTGGGCCTCACTCCAGGGGTCAGACCCGGAATGCTCAGGTTCTGCGTCTCCCCCCGCAGGGAGGAGGGGCAGGGACCCCCACCTCCCCCGAACCCCGGGGCAGAGGTGGGCCGGCCCAGAAGGCCTGGCAGGGGTGCCCTGCCCCCGGCAGCTCTCACACGCCCACGGGTGCAGGCTCTGATCCCCAGGGCTGAGGGGCGGGCTCCCTCCCGGACCCCAACTTCTCCTGCAGAGAAAGGTCCCGAGACTGACCCCAGGCCACCTGTTAGAGAGTTCGACCCGGCCACCTGCCTGAGCCCCGTCCTCTGATCCTGTTATCAGCGGTGACATGGATTTTTAAAAAATTTTCATCTTTCTGATTGGCTTTGAACTTGAGGAAAAAGAGGAGCGACTCACCGTCACCTGTAAGCCCTCCTGCGTCCTGTGTTCAGGCCTCTCTGCCGGGCACAGGCCGCGCGGAGGGGCGGGGTCAGTGAGAGCATCCAGGAACATCGTGGGACATCGACTAGCCCGAGTGGCACCCCGTGCCCCCGCCACAGGGCAGCCTTGCGCCTCTGACTAGGAAAACTGAGGCGGACCTGCTCGCTCAGGTCCCAGTTTGAGTGACACTTTTTAAACTGCGGAGGGGGCTGACAGAGGCGCGGAGGGCAGGGCTGCTGACCCCCCGCCCCGCCCCGCCCCAGGGCTGTTCTTCGGCTGCAGGGCAACGCGCGTATCCCTGTTTGCGGGGGACGGTCCCTATTTCAGCACTAAATTCCACGTCTCAGGGAAACCCCCGGTCCTGAGCCACCTGGACGGGGCATCGTCCCAGCTGTCTGCCGCCGCTGTCAGCAGGCCCAGGGACCCCCTGCCCCTTCGGGGCCCACTCTCGGCACTGACAATCTCTCTAAGGGGGTGATGGATGGCACCTCCCAGACGTTTGATTGTTACTCACAGGCACAGGGCAAGAAGACACGGATGTAAGTGCAGTCCCCAGAACAGTTCCAAATGGGGCGTCAGGCCCCCTCCACACGGGCCCCAGGCACCCCCCGCTGCTCCCACCCACCCTGGGGGGGCTTCGGGAGGAGCTGGCAGGGGAGGGAGGCTGGCACAGAGCGTGGCGCCAGGCTGAGCCCCTTGGCAGGGTTTGGGGCTCAGGGGTAGACGGGCAGCAGACGGGAGGAGCCAGAGAAAGCGGGTCGGGGGGTGACAGGCACAAAGCCGGCAGGAGCCCCGTGCCAGGCAGACCCCCACTTCCTCCGCTGTCCGGGGGGCTGTGGGGCTCATCTCACTGGGCGTGGAGGGGAGGAGAGGCCCTGAGGAGCTAAGCTCGGGGAGCCAGGCTGTGGGTCTGGAACACCTAACATTTGCTGGGGTGCGGGGAGGAGCCCACCGGGAGGGACCCCAGTGGGAGAACCCTCAGCAAGGCTGTGAACTGCCCAAGGGACCGCCCTTGGGGGACTCTGGGGGTTGCAGAGAGGAAGACCCCCTCCACACATGCCCACTGCCCGGCCCCACCCCGAGCCAGCCACCCCTTGTCCCCCGCAGTTCCGCTCCAGCGCCTCCAGGCCCCATGCTCCCCCCAGGCCCTCCTGGCAATGATCCCTCTGCTCCCGTGGGCCCCACCCTTCCCCCACACTAACCCTACCAGGCTCACAGCGGCCGCCGAGGCTCAGGGACGGCCAGAGCGCCCCCTGCCGGAGGCCGTGCTGCTGGCAAGGGCTGGGCTGAGATCCACCCTGGGGGGCCGCTGAGGACGGGGAGGGACTGGGGGTCGGACACGGCCACATCCTCCGGGCGTGCAGGGGGCCCAGAGCCCCCTGTCGGTGAGCGTGTGAGCAAATGCTGAGTAAACCGCGCCCCAAGTGTCCGTCAGCACTCCCCCGGCCAGCGCCCGGGGCCCTGTGGCGGGATGAGGGCGGGTGCACGCGGGTTTGTCGGTGAGAGGGGGGTGTCGCTGAATGTACGCCGTGCGCTTGACGCCTGCGCCCCGTGGGCCCCCGGCCAGCCAGGTGAGGCGCCGTCCTCCCCCTGCTCACCTGGGGACACAGACTCAGCCCCGTGAGCGACTCGACTCGGAAGTCCCCACTCACAGGCTGCGTGGCCCTGGGCAAGGCTCTGCCGGAGTCTGCTGCTGGCCCCTCCTGCCCCTTCCATGAGGGGGGAGGACGGACACTCTTTCCATTTGAATCCCCCGCCCCGAAGACTCCGGGGGCGCCCCGACTAAGATGGTGAACACCTCATCCCTATAACACTGGCGCTTTCCAGTGGAACTCAGGCTTTGAAGGGGAAATACCAGTGGGACGACATAAAAAGTTGTGTGCTCCTACAATACCCTAAGCCATGTAAACGGTCAACAATCCAGGGCTGTGTTCTCAGCACAGATGGCAAACACTTGTTATCTTAAATGTGTACAGCACGCAGAGACGTCAGAAAGAAAACCCATAATTATGACAAATACGCACTGAGTGAATCGATGAAAGACACACAAACCCAATGGAAAACTGCCCGACGAAATGGAGTCCCCACCCGCAAGGAGGAAGGAAACAGATAATACTCAGCCGACACTCAGCAGCCCCAGCACGCAGAGAAACGAGAACGAGAGCGATGACAGGGCGGAGCCTCCGCCGGGGCCCTCGGCGGCGCTCCCCGCCCCCCACCTCCCGCTGGGGTTTCACGCAGCGTTGCGCCGGGAACCAGCATCGCGGTCCCACTCGGGGGGCACCCGCCCCGAAACCGGGCTGAGAGTTTCTAGGTGCTCACAGACTGTCTTGCCCATCCGCCCGGGGAGCCACTTCCAGAGTCTACCATGCGGGAGTGTTTTAAATTGTAGATGGAAACTCAGGGGAAACGCTGTTCACGCTGCATAAAAAAAAGTGGGAACGCCCTCCTTGCGCCTTCCAGCGGAGGGAGGACGGAGTGACTCCGGGCATGGCCGCACGCAGGGACGGGGCGGGGCGCGATCCAGGACGTGGGGGAGGGGCTGCTTGGGAAGCAGGACAAACGCTGGAAGTCAAGTACGAGGAGTTCAAGTACGTCTAGAAAACAGGCACGGGGAAACCTGGAGGAAAATGCACCCAACATTGGGGGCGGTCTCCCGGACGGGGGTTCATTTCCTTCGGTGGGCTGTAAGTTTTCCACCATCGGCGTGAGTGACGTGCCGTCAGAGAACAGAAAGGCGTGCAGGTGCGCATGCAGACGCGGACGCACACGGACAGATGAACGCGCATGCCGCCACGCAAAGCCAGACACCGGCGCGCAGCGTCCTGCGCGGTGCCGCGCAGCGGGGGCCGGGGGGACGCACAGAGACGCCGCCGCGGGGGGGTCTCTACCTTTTCGCACAGGGCTAGCACGGTCCCGGCTTGGATTATGGCAACCTGCTCTTCATTCCTCAAATTCTACAACACAGAAACGGGCAAGGGCGTCTGAGAGCGGGTCGCCGGCAGGTCCTCCCTGCCGCGCCCCCCCGGAGTCAGCCCCCACTGTCTCTAGGGCCAGACTTCACAGCAGGGTCACCCTGTCTGACCTGAGGACCAGCCCTCCACTTGGGAGTGGGTCCCCGAGGGGGGCACCAAGCCCATCTTTCCGGAAAGCAAAAACATCGCCTTGTGATGGCGGAGATCTCGAAGGGTCTCTCTTCCTGAGTGTTCCCTTTAAGGCTTCTCCCTCACCACTCACGGGCTAGAGGGGGGCCTCCCTCAAGAACCCCACTTAGGACCAAGGCAGACCCGGCCACCCCCACAGGGACACGGCCCTACAAAAGCCTTCCATTGCACTTAGGAGCTCCCTTAAATCAGAAAGAAAGGGAAATAACAAAACGAAAGCCACACAGAGCACACCCAAATCAAAACGCGAACACGACACTGGGGCCCGGCCGCTCATAGTTACCCCGTTATCGCCAAGGATATCTAATTTCTTCATAAGTTCAGAAATATTCACATCCTGGAAGAGATGGCCAACGTTCAGGTGTGAGTGAGTCCCGGGGGGCCTCCACGCCTCGTGCTACAGCCACCGCCTCGCGCCTCCCCGACGCACCGCGCCCTGTCTCCCTCCGGGCCAATGGCAACAGCCTAATCCAGCAGCTCCTTCGGGGGCGGAGGGGGATGGGGTGGGGGAAAGGGTGGGAACAGCTGCTCTGGGACGGAGTCTCCGTCCCTGCTTTCTCGAAAGGCCAGGGCATTCCGTGGGTCCAAAGGACCCCCGAGGCGCCCACGGGGCCCCGGGCACGGGGTGAACACCCAGCTGCCAGAACAACCACAGCTCCCCGGTCCGAAGCACCCCTGGGTGGCAGGCACCACAGTGAGCGCTTCTCTAGGGGAACTGACCCCCCACTTCCCGGTGGGGGCGCTGCCATTGGGCCTGCCCCGTGGAGAGACCCGGGCTCACGGAGGTTCCGGGCGCAGCAGGGAAGTGGTCGAGCCGGGGTCCGCCCTCCAGGCCGCACCCCAAGCCTCTGTTCCTTTATCGCGGGCACAAACAGAGTAAGAGGTGGTGATTCGCTAAAATAACGAACTTCCGCAATAGGGTGGGGGGCAGGGGTCTCCCTCAACTGAACTCCAGCCCAGGCGCCAGGACACGCCCCCTGCACGCCCCGCCCGGCGCGGGCGCGGGCGCGGGCGCAGCCGCGGCAGAGCCACCCCGCCCCGGGCACGCTACCTTCACTCCTTCCTGGTGACAGAACAGCTGGAGGGCGCTGCTGTTGTTCTCGGGGAAGGTGGCGATTTGGAGGTTAAATGCTGGCGACCTCCGCTCTCTCTCCTGGGGAAAAGACTTGCTTTAAAAACAGAACTTGATGGAACCGTTCACCGCCTGCCATCTCTCCCCCACGTTACTCGGCAGAACCGACCAATTCCAAGTCGGCAGCGATGGGACTCAAACGCGCACATGCAGACTACAGTATCCTCGTCTGCAGCGCGGCGTGACGTCGGGCCTCTGCGCCCAGCGGACCTCCTGGGGACACCTGTGTACCGCTCGCCTGTGCGGCTGGGGAGACACGGTCGACAGAGGGCCAGGGGCGCGGAGGAAGCCCAGAGAGTCACACGCCACCAGGAAATGCTTGGTAATAATAAGGCCAGAGGCCGCCAGCCACGGTGGTCCAGGTGCCCTGTGCCCTGGGCACTGCGCCCCCTGAGGTAACCCTCACACTGCCCCACACGGCGGGTGTGACCGCTTTCCTTTTGGAGACAGAGCTGGGGCCAGCGGCAGGGCCAGGACCCCGGCTTCGAGCATTGTTAAATACCACTCGCTGACTTTGCTCACACTGCGTTACTTCTTCATTTCTGGGGGGACCACACAACACCAGTGGTCCTTCCACCCCCAGATGGACAATGGGGTCTCCATCACTAAGGAAGGACAAGCAAGCATTCTCCCAGCAGAGATGCTTATTGGTCATCACGAAGTGACGCATTTTCAGAAAGGACGGGGAGGGGAGCCCAACGACTAGCAGGAATGAAACATGGCAGCCAGCAGCACCCCGCTCTCAAGGGCTCTGGCACGGCGCCACCCTGCCACCTCGAGCCTCAGCCCGGCCTGCCAGCAGAGGAGAAATCCAGGTGCTACTCTGCTCCCAGAGCTGCAGGAAGGCAGGCAAGCACACTTCGGGCATGCCTGCAGAACCCAGCCTGCAGAACCCGGCCACAGAACCCAGCCTGCAGAACCCAGCCACAGAACCCAGCCTGCAGAACGCAGCCACAGAACCCAGCCTGCGGAACGCAGAACCCAGCCGGCAGAACCCAGCCACAGAACCCAGCCTGCGGAACCCAGCCGCAGAACCCAGCCTGCAGAACCCAGCCTGCAGAATGCAGCCTGCAGAACCCAGCCTGCAGAACGCAGCCACAGAACCCAGCCTGCAGAACGCAGCCACAGAACCCAGCCTGCGGAACCCGGCCACAGAACCCAGCCTGCGGAACCCGGCCACAGAACCCAGCCTGCGGAACCCGGCCACAGAACCCAGCCTGCGGAACCCAGCCACAGAACTGACGGCTCCCTGAGTCCCTAGGGGAGCACAGTGCCCTGGACCAGCGCTGGTTCTATGATCTCAAATAGGCGAAAGGAGAGAGGGAGTCATTGGTTCAATTCCATGTCCAGGAAGCCCCAGCCTGGCTACGCTGGGCTTGAAACGGTTTAGAGAGAAAACCTGACTTCCCTTCTCAGCCGAGAACAAAGCTCGCAGCAGCTCGGTCCTCGGGGGAGGTGGGGGGGGCTCTCCAGGGACTGAAACGGAATCTCCATGGAACAGGTCGTAAGAGAATGCCAATAATGCGAAGTCAGAAGGTTGGTTTCTAATGCCTCCAAAGGATGGTGGAGACAGTTAAAAGAAACTTCTAGTAAACTGAGCCACACTTACAGAGTTCTCACGGGAAAGAAGAGTAACCAAGTCCCCTGAAAGCTTTTCTAACAGAGGCAGATGCGCCAACAACCGTCTCGGCCGCACACGACTCCCGATTTCCGCCACAGGAGCGGACACCATGCGCGACACTGGGCTCTGACACAGGCGGCCGCGGTGCGCGCCCGCACGACCAAGTACGTGGGGTCAGGTAAGTCCTCGCACCCACGGAATCTGGACAGAAGCCAGGAGGAGAAAACAAGAGCAGAGACGTTGTGCCTGTGGGTCCCTTCCGTGTCCGCCACTGCAGGTGCTGAGAGAGACCAGGTGCAGCCTCAGGCCAGGTTTAAAATGCCGACGGCGACTCAGCGGAAACAAACAACGGAACTCGGGGGTTATGAAGTAGCAACGCGGCCGCGGGGCACCACGATCACACGCCCGAGGAAGACCTCCGGGGGAGGCAGGGAAACCATCGCCGTGGCACGCGGCACGCGGCCACCTCTGAGGGCAGAGCGGGGCCCGGAGGGTGAACACAGCTGCCACCCGGGGACATGACTCAGGCGCCCTCCCAGCCAAGGAGCACCCCTGAGTGGCCGTTTGAGTTACGGGCAGCCGTTTCCCGGGGCTGCACGGCAACGTCCAGGTCCGGACCCACCAGAGAAAAGGGCCGCAGCAGCGGGGCGAGTGTTCCTAACTGCCTGCGCCCACGCCTCCTTCCACCAGGTTCACTTACCTGCGCCGACCCTGGCAAACAGAAAATGGGTCAGACTAGTGGTGAGCGCACCAGAGAGGCGGCGGCGCACCGGGTCAGAACCTGCCCCGTCAAAGGTGCCCCTCGCCGCCCTGCGAGGCCCCGTGAAAAGGTGTCTGTCGTTAACGACAGCCACGCTTCGCTCCGGGGTGCAGAGGGCACCCCGGCTGGCTGGGCATGCAGGGAGGAAGTCGTTATGGAAATGAAACACAAATAAAAAAAGGCAAACTATTGCAAAAACAAATTATTTTTATTAAGTGCAAAACAAGCCGTAGGCAATAAATATATTAGCTCTGGTACATGTCCAAAGACTTGGGTGAGCATTCTCTCCAGAACAGTTAAGGCAGTGAAATTATTCCGAACATACAGATTTAAAAAGAAAAAAAAGGGAGGGAGGGAGGGAGGGAGGGAGGAGGAAACAGCTACCGCACGCCCCCCGGACACATGCGTGCGTGGACACGTCTGGGAGCGTCACACGAATTTCAGTTTGGGCTCAAAGAGAATGTCGGTGCCGTTCGAGAGCTTACAACACAGGGGGTCTCTTACTTCGAGCTCGAGCACTCGGAACTCGAGCAGCTCATTCTGGTCCTTCGCGTCTTGCATTTCACTCTTCAGCTGGTGCTCCTCCATCTCCAGCCTGGAGATCTAGGGCGGACACACGCTGGGGTTTAACGGGAGGGGGAGCCGCTGGCCCTCGCCGGGGCCACGAGGGGCGCGTCCATGACCGTGGGCCGGCACAGGGCAGGGCCTGTCCCCAGGGGAGAGGGCCTTGCAGCTGAGGAGCGGGGTGGGTGGGTGCGGCGCACGGGGGGGTGGGGGGGGCTGCTCCTGGGCCGTCCCGCGTGAGAGCTTCCCGGGGCTCCCAGAGTTCCGCGATCAGGACGTGGAGAGAAAACCTCTCCTCATGCACAGGGCCACTCTCACAGCAGCGTCCAGTCCTGTCCCATGTCCCAACCGCTGTCCAGTAGCACAGGGTGGTGGACAGACACACAGATGGGGCTGGACCATGGCCCCTCCCCAGCAAGCCAGGCCTGGCCTGTCCGGCTCTGGCATCCGGGACACTTAAAAGCCAGGCCGCCTACGCCAGGACCCACCCCTCTAGCATGCGAGAAGGAGGCAGATCAGCAGGGGCAGGACAGCCACGGTGGTTGCCTGGGGCGGGGGCGGGGGGGCAGGGGGGACGGGATTGGTGGCAAGCAGGCCCGCGGGCCCGTTGTGGAGGGAGGGCGGAAAATGTCCTCAATCTGCACTGTGGTGAGGGCTGCACAACTCAGTAAATTTATGGGGGGGAAAAAACCCCCACTGAATTGCAGACAAGAAAAAATTTAAGCTAAGACCCTCTCCCAAAGCATTAGATCTGTTCCACAAGCCAACTCCTTGAGAGTTCTGGAAAGTTCCGTGACTGGAGAGGGAAGCGCAGACTCAGCTCTGCTAGCCCCGTGGCCTCCCGTCCAGGAATGGGACCAGGACGGCCTGAGGGCCGCCCGTCAATCAGTGCCATAGGCCCCGCCCCTGGGGGGTGGGAAGGGCTCAAAAGCCCCTCGAGGACAGGTGGCCCTGACCTCGTCTGCTGTCCCCTACGGTCCCCTCCCTGAGGACAGGACCAGAACCAGGACCAGCGGCCGGGAGCCCCCAGGAACAGGGCTCGGATAGCCACGGGGAAGATGCGTCCCTCTCAGAGCGGGCCCCGGGGGTGCTGCCAGGAGAGGGGCGGGGAGCCTCTGGGGGCCCCGACCTCGTGGGGCGGGGGTGCCGGCTCCACATACCTTGTCCAGCAGCTCTTGGTTGGTCCTCAGGAGCAGCTGCTTCTCTTCCACCCACTTGGAGTCCTAGGGAGAAGCACTCGGTAGGTTCACACATGGGGACACAAACCGAGAAAGTGTGGGGGAAGGGCCACTTAACGAGGAACTTCCAAACACACAAAGGGGGGGCAGCTGCTCTGTGGGGCACCCCTGCTCCAGGGCTCGTGGCCCCGAAAGCCCAGGACCTCGGTTCTGGACCGGTGACAGAGAAACGGTGCACGCAATGGATCGGCCCGCGGACCACTCTCTCCCGGCAGCCCGCGGGCCAGTGGCCACGCCCGAGGGCTTCCCCGCGCCGGGGGCTGCATCCTGATAGGGACGTTTGTGTTCGGCCCGTCCCTCTGCCGGGGCCGCGCTAACCACGGTTCTTTGCCTGGTCACATCCCCCGCCAGGGTCAGTTCCATGAGCCCACAGCGGGAATCCACGTGGTCACTGCAGCTCCCCCAGCGCCTCGAGCTGCGCCCAGCACACCCCCATGCTCAAGAAGGACCAGAGGGTGGGTGGAGGAACAGATGAAGACCCTTCCTTCTTCCCCTCTCTCTGGTCCAGGGGCCGCCGGGCTTCTGTTGACCCACCAGGACGCTCCCCCCGCCCACGCCGCCCCCCAGCGCAGGGGACAGGTCTGGGCCCGGCTCTGCCTCTCTGCCGTGCCCACTGTCACCAGGCAGAGCAGGTGCGCAGGGAGGTGACTCTGGCCTGAGAAGGAAGGAGCCGGATCCCCGAGGGACAGTCACACAGGGAGTCCCGGGCAGGGCTCTGCATGACTGACGGCTAGCGGCGGGCGCCGGCCACCTCTCTCAACTACACCTCAACCCGTCAACTGCGACCTTTCTTCAGGTTCAAGTCGAAACAGAGTTCGAGCACCGATCTGCTTCTGGAATTGTGTCCTATTTTTGTGCAAACAAAGGGCGAGCCAGGTCAGGGTTCCCCGGCTTGTTTTGAGTTTTCCAAGGTCCGCACGCAGGCTTGTTAGCTGGGGCGTTCTCGCCCGGGTTCCGCTAGTGCTCCGCGCGCTGACGCGTCTGGGGCACGCAGTCCGGTCCACGGAGCGGAGGCCCCCTCGGCACTGCGGCCCAGGGACCCCACCGAGGGGACAGAAATAAACGCAGGGAACCGCAGGGCCCACGCTCACCTGTCCCTTCTCGACCAACAACTTCTCCAAATCTTCGATTTTGGCCTGACACCTCAGCAGGTCGGCCTGCAGCTGCTCCCGAGTCTGGAGTGGAAAAGACCGGAAAGCTATGGCGGGTCACCCCGGCTGCCCGGCCGAGGCGGCGAGGGTCACGCTGCGGCCCAGCCCTTGTTCAGACTTGGCCTACCTGGGCGCACCCAGGTTCTACCACCTGCGTTGGCAGGTGCCAGCGTTCTAAGAACCGAAAGGCCTGGAGAAGCTGCCGGTCCCAGCCCTCCGGGTTTTGTGGACAAGGACACGGAAGCCTGGAGGACAGCCAGTGCCCCCGAGGGGCTGAGCGAGCCGGAAGCCAGACCTGTCAGGGTCTCCACCGGCTTTCGGGCCACGTCCAAGGTGGCTCACCGGGCAGTCACCAAGCACTGTCCCACTTGCCAGTGCACCTCCCGGGCCCTCGAGCACCCACGGCAGGGCCTGAAAGCTGAGTGTGGGGTCACAGGCAGTGGTGGGGACGGTGACGCACTGGAGACACACGTCCCGTCCCAGGGGAACCGCCCCCCGGCTGAAGCCTGGAGTTGCCGGAAGTTCGTAGCTTCTCTTGACTTTTGGATGTTGGCAACTAGATACATTTTCCAATAACAACTGCAGGGTTCAGCTCCCACCCAGCCCAGCCACGCACCTCGTCCGGCCCACGGATCACGGCCGAAGGCTTCTTTGGGGCTCAGCAGTGCCCTCCCCACAGTCTCCCTCACCGCCCCCCACAGCGGCCGTGGACCGAAACGGGGGGGACGCCCTGGGGTGCCGCACGGGCTCCAGGGCGTGCTCTCCAAGGCCCTGTCGCTCTCAGGCAGGAGTGCAAGCAGCCCCTGATCTGTGCGACTTCCCAAGGCGGAGTAAGAACCGTACGTGGAAGTTTCTGGAAGGCAGAGCTCAGCCCAGCAGGAGGGCAGGCGGGGCCCAGACCTGGGTGGCCAACAGGGACCAGAGGGCCTTGTGGGCCAGGAGCACCCCAACAGTCCCTCTCCGGACCCGCAGGGATGCTCCAGGGGGCTGCTCAGCCCCGGAGGGAGGAGGGTCTGACCTCTGCAAGGCTCTCCCTACAGAGTGTTAGCATCGGATGCTGCCTGCGCGTGGACCACACGCGTGGCCTGTGTCGGACGGGCTCACCTCCTCCAGCAGCTCCTGCTGGGCCCCGAGGACGCCAAGGCGGCTCCCGTCAGGCCTGCCAGATGCTGGGGCATCGCCACAGGGGGGCTTGCTAGGGGTCCCCATCACCCCTCAGAAACCACCCCCGCCGCCCCACCACAGGCCGACGTGGCAGAACCCCAGCGCCGGCCCCCTGGTTGGCACTCACCCGGGCCTCCCGCTCCGCGTCCAGCGTGCCCCCGACCTGCTCCTGCAGGAGGGCGTAGGCTCGCTGCAGCGCCTGGTACTCCCTGGTCAGCTGGCAGAACCTCAGCTCCGCCTCCTCGCGGCTGGTCGCCTGGGAAACGAAGGAACGCATGACTGGGCGTGGCTCCCGGCGCCAGGGCCCGGACGCTCACCTGCCGCCACCCGGCGAGTTCACGCCCCGGTCTCAGGCGCGGGTAACTGGGGCCCCGGAGCGAGGGGCGGCCGGGAGCACACGCGGTCCCCTCCCAGCTGCTCCCCAGCCCCCCGGGAACCGCCTGAGTCCCGTGCCCGGGAGACAAGGCGAGGGCGCTCCGAGCCACCCTGCCGCCCACGTGACGCCGTCCCACGTGCTGGAGAGAGGGCGACGTGGAACGGGGTTTCGGGGTGAAAGACGCCCGTCACGTGCGGTCGGGGGAAAGAGCACATCCAAAGCCCGTGTCCGGCGTGGCCGCATTGTGCTAAAGAACTCCAGCGGGGGGTCGGTGAGGGGCGGGCAGAGGCTGTGCGCCACCCCCGGTGAACGAGTCGGGCACGCGGGCGAGTGAGAGGCGGGGCCTCGGCGGGGGGAGGGGGACTGCAGGGGCTGTACTGCCCTCCTCACACCCCTCACAGTGTTTGCTCCTCTCCACCCACGGTGGGCTCCACAGCGCAAGTGCCAGCCGCGCCGCCTCCACTAGGCGGCTGCAAGCATGTGTGAGCCTGTGTGCTGTGTATGTACGTGGGTGTGCATTTGTGTGTGCACATGTGTGGGGGAGGAGGGGCAGACACCGTGTAGCAGTGTCACCCGCAAAGGGTGAGTCTCCCTGAGGTGGCCTCACGTCTCCTCTGGGACAGAGAAGTCGGGGCCGGGAGCAGAAAACCGCCCCGGCCCGCACTAGGGGCCGTGGCACCGCAGGTCCTCCGGGCTCCGAGCGCTCAGTGGGCAGCAGGGGCCGGAGGCGCCGCGACCAGCACCGCAGGGCCGAGCGCCGCTTACATCGTCCAGGTCCTCCTCGGGCGTGGCGGGGGCCCTGTCCGTCCGGTCCGTGTTACAGGACGTTTCTGACAGCGTTTCCGAGTCCACGGACTCCTCGTCAAATCCAAAAAATGTCTCCACAACATGCTTCTGCAGAAGACAACAGGAGCGGCATCAGGCACACACCCGGAACTGCCAGGTCCCCGAGCCAGGGCAGGCCACGCCCCCATCTGGGCCCCAGGGCCCCCCAGGGCTGGTGGGCGGGGTTCCTGGTGGGCGGGGTGGGAAAGGAGGCAGCCAGAGGTGGTGGGGACAGGCTGCCGCCGTGGGTGCTGGCCAGACCCAGGTTCTGGGCTGGGGAGCTGCTGACCTTGTGCAAGTCACTGGCCCCTCTCCAAGGGACACGGAACTCTCCCCTCATCCGTGAGCCAAAGCGAGGTCACGCATGCCCTGTGCCACGTGCTGACACTCAGCACACTTGTGCTAAGGGGTGGGGAGTGGGCCGGGGGTGGGGGGATCTAGTTTTAGCTGCCACACAGGGAAAAGTGAAAGACACAGCATCCACAGAGGGACCCGGGGACTCTGACCGGCAGGGCGAGCGTGGCCCAGGTCCCCATCGACCTGCACTGAGATGCAGTTTTCCTTTACCGTCTTATTACAGGACACTTACCCCATTTGCAGAATTAGAAGGAAGAGTGTCATGGGCCCTCCCGCCCCCAGCACTCAGTCACAGGTGACTTGAATGCCAAGGCGTCACGACCTGGGGCCACCCCACCCAGCCCCTCCCCCACCCCCTCACTCATCCCTGTGTGTACGCGTTCACCCAGCGACAGGTGGTGGGGCACCTTCTGCAGGTCGGACGCTGGGTTGGGGGGGGCTCTGGGGGAGACACCACGGTCAGAACCAGGCCTGGTCCTGGCCACAGGGAGCTTCCATCCCCAGGGGGCTGCAGACATCTGCCCGCAATCTCCAGGTCATCTCCTTCTAGGAACAGGGGCTTTTTCCCCAAAACAATCCCTGGGAAGAATTTCATTTGTTTTTTACAATCGGTGCATGCTTCTCGTGACCAGGAAGGAAGAACCGTAACTAAACCCAGAGCCCAGCCCCAGGCTCCCACGGGTTTGTCCAGGGCCTCTGCCCCATCCCCTGCCAGGACTGGGGCCCCAGGCGCACCCCACATGCACAGGGCGCCGCCCACCTGGCTGGATTCAGCCAATGCAAGTCTGCAACCTCATGCTCCGAGACCTGAGAAGAGTGGATCTGGACCCACAGCTCACAAGGTGATTGAGGGGTAGTTCCGACATCAGCGAGGGAGAGGGAGAGGGAGAGGGAGGAGGCCTCCCGTGTCACCTGCACAGTCAGAGCCTAAAGAGGCCTTGCCGGAGGTGGCCTACCACCCCCACGCACCACTCAAATGTCCTTGCGCTCAGCCCGTCTTCCTGCTGCTGCTGCTGCTTCCATCACATGGAAGCCGCATTGTTACTTTTCATGCACGCCGGGGCGGGTAGCACCTCGTGGACTCCTGACTCCCCAGGGGCTCCACGGGCCTCGTGGGCAGTGACGCACCCCCGCCACCCGCCGCCCACCGCCCCCACGATCTAGCATGTGCTAGTCTCAGAGCCCCGTCCTTAGAGCTGCTCGGGCCCAAAGCCTGGGTGCCCCTCGGCACCGCATGCCCTCATGCCTCTGGAGAACTCCCGTGGGCTCCACCTCAGCCCAGAAGCCACCCCATCCCTGCTCCGGCCCCTGCATCCTGGTCCAGCCACCACCCTCTCTCACTGAACTTACGGAGACCACCCGCCGGCTCCCACCCTGTCCTTCAGCCCGGGGGCCCGGCATGGCTGCGTGGAAGAGCCAGAGAGTGCACTGTGGTCTCACGCTGTGTGAGCCACCTCCCGCCCTGCTCCAGCCTCCCCTCCCCTGCCCCGTCCTGCACCACGGTGCTCCAGCCGCACCATGGAGCATGCTCCCAAGTCTCCCACGGGCCTGCCACGTGGGCCTTGGCCCTGCATGGCAGGGCGCTCTCCTCCACGACCCACGTGGGTCTCTCCTGCACTCCCCTCGAGTCTGCACAAGGGCCACCTTCTCACAAGGGCCTCCCCGCCCGCCACACCAGGGGCTTCGGAGCCCCGCCCCCTCTAACCAGCCTGCCTAACCTTTCTTTTCTCCCTGGCGCTCCTCGCCTCCTGACATAACACCTATGTTGCTGCTGTGTTTATTACCTGTCTCCCCCCGAGGTGTAAAAGCCCCACGGGGACGGGGAGCTTGCTCCCCGAGAGCAGGATGCGAGCTCTTTCGCTCGCACGGCAGCCTGGGGCCCGGCACACTCGGGAAATACTGGCTGTTAAGTGAGGGTCCACGAGCATGTCTCTGCAGTGACCTCGATGCCACACTGGCTCAGGTGCCTGCGGACAGCTTCAGGTGCTCCCAGAGCTGTGCCTCCGGTCCGCTCCAGCACCAGCGGCGCAGCCACCCGGCCGTGCGCCCAGCGAGTCTCACCAGTAGGGGGCGTGCGAGGACCGAAAAGGCTCCGTCGACTTCAAGAGCGTTCTTTCCTCCGAGCGGAGGCTGGAGACAACCACAGGCCCAGCGCCCCTCCGGACGGACAAGCAACCCACCCCCCACCCCTGGCAGGTTTCAGGCACCCTGCAGACAGTCCCTAGGGAGCAGCAGCCGCGGCACTGCAGCAGGGACACGCCTGCAGCCCTTGAGACACCTCGGCGGCGCAGGCGGCTCACCGCCCTAAGCCCCAGGCTCGGCATTTCTCCGGTCCGCCACTGACTTCCTGGGAGCCCTGCCGACCGCGCGCCCTGGGGACAGGTCTGTGTCTGCGGCCAGCGTCTGCTGCTGTGCCGGCGGCCTTGCTCGGTGGTGCAGGGAGCGCCCTGCCTGGCACGGCGGTTACAGCCCCGGGGACCATCAAGCCGCACACTCTCCAAGGGACCAGGAAAGGACCCCGCGCTGTGATAACCCTGTCAACGACCTGGGCCGTCCTGGGGGTCAGTGACCCCGCGTGCCACTGCCCCCGGCAGGTCTGACTGTTAAAGCCCGAGGGACAGCTGGTTGATGCCCCATCGTGGAGCCCTCATGCGGGGCCTTAGCTGGCGATGTGCCTCTAAAGCAGAGCTGCCTGTCCCCAGAGCCCAGAGGGCCCCCCGCCCCTCCAAGCACAGCACCGTCCCAGAGACCGAGGCCCTGAGGCGGCGGCGTCTGCCAGGAGGGAGGAGGGAGCAGCTCTCCTGGAGGAGGGCGGGTGGGGGTGCTGTGCTCCTTTTACAGAGTTTTCAAATGCAGTTTGTGGGGAAAAATGACTGCACGTACGTAAAGGACTCCAACCAGTGACACGTGGACTACACAGAGGTGAGGAAAAGAGGGGACCCCAAAATAACCGACCCTCAGCCTCCTCGCCAAGGCATCTCCCACGACCGCCCCCAGAGAGGGAGCCACCAGGCGCAGGGACGGGTGGCCCCCCGCCTGCACCCCCCCTGCCCCCCCAGCCCAGCCGGCCGCCTACCTTCGTGCCTGTAGGTGAGCTCCTGGCAGCCGGAGAAGTACAGGCAGACCAGGGTGCACAGGCAGAGGAAAAAAGAGAAGTACAGCACGAACAGCACGTACTCCTCCATGGCGCGGGGGCCCCGGCCCACCGGCGTCTCACGGGCCAGGAGCGGCACCAACGCGCAGGCCTCCCTGCGCCCAGGAGACAGCACCCGTCTGCTCCTGCAGCACGCTCCTCTCCTTTGCCTCGGCCTGCCGAGGAGTCCTGAGGCTGGGCGCTCAGCCGGTGTCCCTTCTGTGACAGGGACACCAGCTCTGGGGCAGATCAGGGGCCGAGGGGCCGTTTCCAGGGCCCGGAGCTGGGCGCATGAGTCACACGGGGCGGCTTGTGCGCCGGTTTATCCTCTGAGGGCTCTCCTCCCACACGCCGGGCTCTCTGGGGCACCCCTGTCGCCAAGGCCATTCCACAGGGGACCGGGCACGGTGCTAGCAACGAGACCCAGTGAGCTCCTCCAGGCCCAGCCCAAACCCAGGAGGCGCCGCCCACCTCCCATGCCCGGGGAAACGTGTCTGCTGCCCCCGCCCACCCCACACGCCCCGGCCTCCTCCACTCGGCCCTGGGCCGTCCCCCCGAGACACTGCCCCTGGAGCAGAGTCAGTCCCCCCGCCCACGGGGGGCACCCGCGAGTGTTCTGGAGAAGCCTCTCCGGGCATAACATCAAAAGCAAAAACTCAGCCCTGGCTGGCATAGCTCAGTGGATTGAGCGCGGGCTGCGAACCAAAGTGTCCCAGGTTCGATTCCCAGCCAGGGTACATGCCCGGGTTGCAGGCCATAACCCCCAGCAACTGCACATTGATGTTTCTCTCTCTTTCTCTCTCTCTATCTCCCTCCTTCCCCTCTCTAAAAATAAATAAATAAAATATTTTTTAAAAAAAAGCAAAAACTCTCACAGTGGAGGGAAAATTGGACAGACTTTTGCCATTAAAAAAGTAAAACATATACTTTGAAATCTAGCGAAACAATGTTAAAAGGCAAAGGATAATTCACAAGAGAAGAAAATAAATACAGCCAGGTTCATATACATGTATGTCAGCTTCAATACTGCTTGATTCTGTTCCTCCTCAAGTATCCGGGATGTGGCCTGTGTAGCCCTATCACGCAACGTATGCTAGTTGGTGCCAAGCCTTTAAGTCACACTTCCAAAAGGGGGCCACCCAGATGCAGCAGGGACTGGTTCGAGGATGGGCCCATGACCGAGGCGAGCCAAGGAGCGCCAGCCTGGGACTTCTGCTGGGACCGCTGAGGAGGGATGCCGCCCTGCCACAGAGGTTGCCAGGCAGCTGCAGTGCCAGCTGCCACAGGTGTGAGGGCCACCACTTGGGACAGCTGTCCTGAGAAACAGGCCCGCCCAGAGGAAGAGAGGCAGGTTCCTGACAATATCATGTGAGCATCTGGATCCAGCCGTGCCTGAAGTTGCCCCTCTAAGCTTCCCAGTTATATAATTTTTTTTTCTTAAGGGACTGAGTTTTTGATCCTAGAAATACAAAGAAACTTGGCTAATGGGGAGGGGAAGATAATCCTGGAACCAGCCATGCGCACACTGCTGAGTTCTGGGACAACCCAAAGACTGGGTTCTCTCCAAGCTACCCTGCACCGGGACCCTCAAGCAAAACCAAGGTCAGCTGTGCCTGGTGAAGGTCACCAGCTGCAACAGCTGCCTGAGCTTCCGGAGAGCCCTGGCTTTGCAGGAAGCATGAGAAGTGTCCAGTGGGCCAGCGCCTGGATCTACAGAGATGCCCCCCCGCCCCACACACTTCTTCCAGAAGCTTCTCATGGGCGGAGACTCCTCTCTGTGCCCTGTCACCTGACATTCTGCCATGCCTAAGACAGACACTCCACAGACGATGTCTACCGTGATGGGGGGCAGGGAGGGCCTGAGAGCCACACAGCCTTGGCCTTCACCGCTGAGCCCGCCGTGGGAGCGAACAGCCACAGCCGTGGGCCAGTTCAGACAGGGCAGCACCCGGCCCAGGGAACCGGACTGGAGCCCTCAGCATCAACCCCAAGTGCGGGGCCCAACTCTGCTCCTGGGGCTGCCTGGCAGACCACAGGGCCGCGATTCCAGCTCTCCTACGTCCCCGGACCCCTCCCAAGCACCGGCATCCTCTGAGTCGTCCCCCGAACTGAGCCCCAGAGGGACCCAAGCAGACAAGATGCTACCCTCCCGCCAGGCAGAGGAGCCAGGGCTGGGAGAGCCCAGAAGCCGTCTAACCCTGTGGGGGAGGGGTGGGGGGCGAAGGCCCGGGGTCAGCTGAGCCAAAGCAGGGGTCTGGAGGGGAGGCAGCTCGGCAGCAAGCCCCAGGGGCTGACGCCAGCGTGCGCAGAGGGGAATCACGCTGGTGGCGAGTGGTCCAGATCCATGGCATCCCCGGCGGCCCCGAGGGCCTGGCCAGGGAGCCCCGCCTTCATCCCCTGGGGTTTTAGGGGAAAAGAAGGCGGAGCCAGACTCGTGCCTCGGAAAGAAACGCTGGCGGCAGGCGGAGCAGCCAGGGAGCTGCTGCAGTGGACAGACCAGGGCCTGAAGGGGGCGCTGGAGACAAGAGGAGCAAGCAGAGGCCTCAAGGAGGGGCGGGGCTGCAGTCCGGGAGCCTGGGCCCCACCCCTCCCCACTGAGTCTGGGGTTTCCCCCTGGCGCCCAGCAGGAGGCCCAGGAGCCTGCACAGGGGCCTCCCAACCACTCCTCTCCAGTTTCCGGCCCCATGGGCATCCACCGCCTGGAACCGCCAGAACGGCCTGTCTGTTCCGGTCTTCAGGCGCAGCCCGGACGCTCGGCTGCATGCGGCGTCCTGGGCAGGCTGCACGGCCCGCTGTCCTGACTTCAGCCACTGCTCCGATGCCCGGTCCCTGCTGAGCGACAACCCTAAGCTACCAGGCAGCATGTTCAGCGGCCAGGAACACACAACTCACTGCCCACCCCGCGGCAGCGCGGTTTGGGGTCAGACCCCGATGCCGGACCTGCTGCAGAACAAGCCTCCGTCCACTAGGGTCCCTCTCCTGCAGCCCCTGCGGGGGGGGGGGGGCGGCTGACCAACAGTTCCCTGGGCAGAGGCGGCCAACGCCAGTCTCGTCCCAGAAGCCCGGCGGGGCGGGGCAGGGCAGGGTCAGCAGCCCGGGGGTGCAAAGGGCCCCGGAAGGCGAGGTCTGACTGCCCTGCTCTGCCCCAACCACACCGTCAGCGACCGGGGGCCGGGGAGCGGGGGCAGCAGTGGGGGAGCCCCTTCGGGGAGCTGCGGACTCAGGGAGCTTTGCAGTATCTCTTCAGAGATGGGCTGTCAGACTTCCAGAAAGTTCGGGAAACTTCGACACATTTCACCACGATACTCTGTTGAGCACAGGCCCAGGCCAAGCGGCCCAGCGCACTGCGCACAGGGTCGGAGAGTTGGGGGGTGGGGGGCGTTTGAAGGGAGGACGAAAGCAGAGACTTCCTGAGGCCCGGGGGCGGGAGGAGAGGGGAGCCGCCCAGCCTGCAGGTGGCTTGGGGACTGAGAAACCCGCTCGGGCCCCTGGTGGGTCCACCTTTCCGCTCCATCCCGCGGTGGACAAGTGGGCGGAGTCGGAGCTGGTGAGGACAACCGCCCCGACTGGCCCTGGAGGAGAGGGGAGGAGGCTGGTGGGCCACAGAACCGGTAAGTGGGAAGGACCCTGAATCTCACGGGCTTGGGTGGGGCAGGAACGGTTTTAATTACTGCCCCGATCCTTCTGGAACCATCCAGCGCTGTGCGCACACACTCTTCCAGGAAAAGCAATGCTCTCGCTCAGGCACCACGATCTGGGGACCCCCAGCCTGTGCCAGGCGGCCACCAGACACGAAGGACAGGACACGGCGGGACACTCACAAGCCTGACGAACGGCCAGCCGACCCCGGGCTTGTCAGGCTGCCCCCCCCACCCCCATGAACGCACTCAGGGGTCAGGAGAGGGAGACGGTCCTTGCCCACCCCGGGCACTCTGGTACCGGTTCCAAAACGCGGCCACAGCCCGACCACAGATTTCCGGGAACCGCCCCCAGAGGCTCCACGGGGTGCAGAACCCCACCGCACGGCCAGCCAGAGGACGGACGGACGGACGGACGGACGGGACTCCTTTCGAGCGCTGCTGCGTGCTCGCCCGTCCGCTGGCGGCGGTGGCGTCGTCCCCGGACACTCCGGGCGGCTGCGAAAACGAGACCCCTCCTCCCTGAAGCAGAGGGGGCGCGTCACACCCTCCGATCCGCGCACATCGGCTTCTGGGGACCCGTCCCCGGGAACAACCCCGAGGGGCACCCGGCCTTCCGGCCCAAGGGGGCTCACGGGGGCGACATTTACGGAAGCGGAAGTCCAACGGGAGGGGCGGGTGGTCACTCAAGACGCTCAGGGAAGGAGGGGGACGGGCCGGAAGGAGCGCGATGCAGCACGTGCTCCCCCACGGGGAGCTGAGCGGATGGTGGGCGGACACAGCGGGGCGGCGGGCAAGTTCCGCCGGTCTACTCCGCCGGCGAGGGCGCCCTAAAAACGTGTCTGCGATGTCGGCATCGCAGCGTGGGTAAAGGCACTACAGGGCAACGGTGAGTGAAAACGGGGCGCCCACGCGCATTCTGCAGGCACAGACGCGTCATACAAAGACGGAGCGGGAGGAGGACGAGACGGGGACGGGCAGGGTCCACACGGATCGCCTGCCGGTGACGAACCGCCTCGGGCTCCCCAGTCGGTCTGCGGTGCGGTCACGCCCCTTCCACGGTACCTAGGGACCAGTTCTCGGGACCGTGTCCCTCCCTGACGTCCTGCGGCCCGTGCGTGGGGACCCACCCCTCCTTCCGCTCGGCGGTGCCGCCCGCGGGGACCTGGACACCGGGACTAGACTCTCAGCCTCGTCCGCCGGCGCCGTCTCTGCGCCGTTTCTGTGTTCGAGAGCTATACGCTCCCTGTAACCCTAAAACGGGAAAAATCACCGCAGCCTCCCAGGTGTGCCGTGGGGACTGAGCGAGGCGGTGTGAGCGCCCAGGAGCCGAGTGCCCGGGACGTGGCGAATCCCCACGGAGCACCGGCCCAGAGATGTGCCCCTGGCTGCTGCCCCGGTCGGGCCGTATTCAGCGCGTGGAGCGTGTTAGCGCATTCGCACCAAAAGTTACAGCCCTTTGACGTCACATGAAGTGCGGTGCTATGAGTTAAACTGGGTCCCCCCAAAAGACGATGAAATCCTAAGCCCCGGACCTCAGCGTGTGACCTTACTTGGAAATACGGCCGAGGCAGAAACACTCAGCTAAGTTACCACAAGGTCACACTGGAGTGGGGTGGACCCCGACCCAAAGTGTCTGCTGTCCTTCTAAGAAGACAGCCCTGCAAGACACAGGGACAAGGGAAGGAGGCATGTGACGACGGAGGTGGAGGTTGCAGGGTCGCCGCGGCAACACCAGGGTGGCCGGAGACACCGGGGGAGGCGGCAAGGGCTCCTCTGCAGGGTCCAGAGGGCGTGAAGCCATGCGGACACCTTGGCATTCGGCTCCGGGCCCCAGAACCGTTGCTCTAGACCACTAGGCTCGTGGCACTTGCTCCAGAAGCCCCGGGGAACGAACACCCGAGGCCCCCACTTCTCTTAAAGCACCGACGCACCTGACCCCCTGGGCTCCTTTCGTTGCAGCGACTGGGAGTCGGGTCTGGGCCGCCCCGTGCCCTCCCCTACCCCCTCCCCTGCACCCGGGCAGCAGAGCCGCACCGCAGGGGCCGGCCAGCACCACCTGCACGCCGCTGTCTTTCACACGGAGAAGTACTTCCAGGCAGCTGTGCACACCTCCACCAAGGACAGGCCGGGAGAGGCGCAGGCTGGTGCTTGTGCGGGTGAAACACACGTGCCCAGTGTGCATGCAAACCAAGTCTCTTTACACCGCCCCACCCGGCCCCCCTGCTGCACCAGCTTAGCCCTGGCACCTCCGCTTCCCAGCCAGGCCCCAGTCTCCGCCAGAACGTCCAGACGCTGCCCCCAGAACCCCGCATTTACAGAAAGAAGGCAGTCCCGCCCTGTTCCAAAAAAGCCCAAAGCTCCCAACTCCTCAGGACAGGCTGTAAGACGTTACAGACCAAGCAGACTGAGTGCCCTTTAAATCCTTCAAAAGGTCTAAGTATTTGTGTTTTCAGTGTTGGGTGAGCACTCAGCCCGAGGCCTAAACACAGAACTCAGCCATGAATCTTCCCCGAGTAAACCACCAAAACCAGGGCCACGGCCAGCGGCTACGCGTCACTGACAGACGGTGATGACAGGCTTTTCGCCGTCAAACGTGCGGAGGTGTGGGTGTCCCTGGCCCCTGGGACCTGCCCCGCAGGCCTTGGCATGGCAGCGAGGCCGGGCTGCCGCCACCACGCCGCCGCAGGCTTACCTTGGGTGGCTTCGGGCCTTTCCCGCGATGTCTTTTGGGGCGCAAGAGCCGCTCTCTCTCCTGGAAGGAAGCACAGCCGTCGGCACGTTCAGCCAGCCTCCCGTGTCACACCGGCCAACCCAGCTGGCCCTCCGGGGGCGCGACCTAGGACCCGGCCCAGCCTGTCCATCAGCTGTCCAGGCGTGGGTCTGTCTGGGAGCTAACACCCCCTTGACGCTGCTGCTCAGGACAGCGCCACCTACCCCACCTTCACCGGACAGTCCCTCAAAACTGCCCTGGTGCGCCAGACCTGTAGGGTCGCAGCTGTCTGCTTTGGGGACCGTGCTGTAAAGCTCGGGGCACTGGCGAGAGGACTTTTGTGGGCAGGACCGTGGCACAGAGAGAAAGCCGGCAGCTTGGAGCTCGGGTGGAGCAGGGCCAGTCCCCGAGGGGCCGCCTCCTGCCAGGCCACACACTTCATCTCACGGGTTCTCGGGTTCTTCCTCCACCACACGGGGCTGGCGCCGGCCCTGCAGTGCCGCCCGAGGAAGGAAACCAGACTGCTGTGCCTGGTGGCTGCTGTCACAAGAAATGCCACCTGCAGACGAGCAGCTGCGGCAGCAGCGCTGGCCCCAGATAAAACCAGTGCATTCTCTTTTCTAACCAAGTGCCATTTTCCCTTTGGCTGCCAGGAGACCCAGACAGGCTGGTGCCTGGCGTCAGCCCTCACGCTCTGTCCCTCTGTGCCTCCGGATCCCGCCTGACTGCACGCTCCTTATTTCCTCTGCTCTCACGTCACTCCTCTTTCCCCTCATCGTCAGCCCACTGAGTTTGCTTTTTCAGCTTGTACTGCATCCAGCCCTCTGTGCAGCAGGGATGGAAGGATGGATGGGTGGGTGGGTGGATGGATGGTGGATGGGTGGATGGACGAATGAATGACAGATGGATATGTAACAGGGTGCAGCCAAGAGGGGGGCCCCAAATAGGGATTTGGAATGGGGTCCAGAACTCAAGGTGTCCAGGAAATATTAGGATGTCCTCACTCCACCCCCCACCACAGGTGTGGGTTGGGGGAAGGGACAAATGGAGCAGGGCCATTGAGAGCTGTTTTGTACAGCAACAGCTTTGCAGCTAGGCTCTGGCATGGTCATTTAACATATCTATAACCTTTAACTGGTTGCATAGATATGTTAAGTAGCTCTGAGACAGGGGAATGGAAGTAATGTCCCCTCCAAGAAGTAACTGGGGGCAGGTGCCCGCCCCCCTCCCCAAGTTACAGCTCCTGCATGGGAGCTTGGAGATGATTGGCTCCATGACATGGGGCCACACCTGCCCAGACCCACAATGGCAGCCCAGTGAGGCTGGAAGGATAGGAGAGTGCTGGCAAGTGTAGCCAATTGTGGGAGGAGTCAGAAATGGGGCTGCAGAGAAGGATTGGTGCTGGGATTTAAACCCAGATGCGGCAGCCATTGAGGAGGGAGGATCACGCAGCTTTGACAGAGTGGAGACTCCCGCAGCCATTATGCAGAGAGGACCACGCAGCTGGGGCAGTGGAGAACCACTTGGCTTTGCCAGAATGGGGACCCCCGCAGCTTTAGAAGGGGGAACCACCACCTGGCTTTAGCAGAGATCCCGGCCACATAGCTAATGGAGCTGGGAACCGGGGGAGGCCTCCCAGCCGAGATAGATTACTGAGAAGAACTGGGGGCTGCCTGAGCCACAGACTTCTATTTCTTTTCCTGAGATACAGTGCCCCAGACTGGGCAAAGGGGGAAAGAAAGGACTGTGTGTGTTTGTGGGTGTTTTAAGGGGCTTTGATATTTTAATGAAGACATTGGGTCACTACTTTAAGTTTATATAGTATTAAACAAACATTTCCTTTCCTTTTCACGAATCTCTGGCATTGAGAGATGTCTTTCCTCTGGTGGCAGACATAATGAACCTGGGGGTTCCTTTTGGGTAATAGTACATTGCCCTCGGCCCCCCTTGGGACCCCCCTGTTGTTCTGTAACAGTTTTTGGCCACTCCACCGGGACGATAATTGACCATGGCAGACCGACCCCCTCAGGTGCGGGAAGCTGAGACTTTGGAGTCTTCCCAGTCTCGAGAATTCCTCTGCACTCCTCCTGAGGGCATCGGCCGCCTATCACGCCTGGAAAGGTGGAAAGGAAATGAAACAGGAGGGAGCAGAAACGTGAAACTGGTTTGGTTGAAAACTTGGTTTCTGAGTGCCATTTTGGAACAATGGAGCTGTGGGTAGTGGTTGGTTAGCATGCTGCTCCCAGGTTGCCCCTGTCTGCTCACTCACAGTTTCGGGGAGCCCAGGTGGCACTAAGGGAACCTGCACTCAGTTTGAGGTGGAAGCAAACTCTAGGCTCTGCAAGCCGAGCCTGCATGCGTGGTGGGGATTGGACAGCAAGCCACATGGGTGTGCCTCCATTTTGGGTAAAATAGAGGATGAGCCGCATGAGTTCTCCACCATGGAGGACTGAATTGCATGGGCACCGCCATCTTGGATGATCGAGCATGCATGGTTGTCGCCATCTTGGACAACCCAAAGTGCATGGGTGCCGCCATCTTGGATGACCCAGCATGCATGGGCGCCACCATCTTGGAACTGGACAAGGTGGTGGGCTAAGGGTTCTCTTTGGATCATGGGCTGTGTGCTGCTGCTGTGTGGGCACTGCACCAGTCAGGTTCTCTGTGTAACTGGTTCTGACAGGAATGGCTCTGGTTCTGAAGGTCATGAACTGAGGCCCAAGAATGACCATCTGACATATAGGGTGTTTGCAGGGTCTGAGCTTCAGAAAGCTGCAGGATGTCCCTGTGAATCTGGGAACTTTTAGTGGAAGGTACATGCAGTGCTGGGGACTTTTGGCTGCCACATGCTGAGTTTAAGTACTGAGTTTAAGTATAGTCCTTCCCAGTGAGGGGGAGGAACCAGGGTTAAAAGAGGTTGATGGTTAAATCTGGATGCGTAAAATTATGCATAAAGGATGTGAAAGCTTTAAACCTGGAGTAAAGGAAACCTCAACTACTTATTTTCTGGTTTCGTGGGAAAAGAGCAAATCTGTGTGTTTTGGTTCTGTTTCTGATCAGAAACCTGTATCTGAAGACCTGTTTAAGGTCGCCGTAAGACCTAGGAAAGGTCACCTGTAACCGGTTGGGGAGCATGCCTTTGCCACTCAAGACCCAGGAAGGGTCATTTGGGGCTGACGAGTGCTTCAGCCAGAGGCAAAGGGGGCATGGCTCTGCCAAGACACCGGGCCTGAAGGAGCATGTCTCTGCGAGGCACCGATGGACATATTGGTGCAAGAGAATGCCTCTACCTGTGTATTGTTCTGGAACTCTGTGTTCTGGATTTTGCTCTGTATCTGCTCTGAACAGGAAATTGAGGATTCCAGGGAAGGTTGAAATTTCACACTCTGTAGGAAAGTTTTGAGAAGCCTGGTGGATATCAGAAGGAAAAGGATTTTCCTTCACACTTGGTATTTTTCTCCCTACCTGATCCCTCCAGAATTTGGCATTCTGAAGGAGTGAGCAATTATATAAGGTTCCTTTGCATAAAACCAATAAGACGAGTCGTTAATAGTGGTTTTGTTAACCAGGACTTTGACTGGAAGGTCACACCTGAAGGAGGCATATATGGGTGCTGGTCGTCACCAGAAAGCCCTGAGGAACTGGGATTGACTTTTGAAGCTAGCATAAGCCCACGAGGAAAGGCTGGTACTTTGATTGGTTGTGCGGTTTGTGCCAGCCTTTCCAGAGAAGGAACGAAGGTTGCTTTCCTGAAAGATGGCCAAAAAGGAACCTGCAGGCACAATGGAAGCCTCAAGGATTTGGGTGAAACAACTGGTACAGGCGAAGCCAGATGGCGGATGTGTGGTTCTGCTTCTGTGCCCCAAGGGGCGGACTGAGAAGTCAATCTAAAGGTTCCCTGTGTGAGTTCCAGCAAAGCAGACTTAGAGATCATAAGTGATCCAGGCTGCTCTTGGTGTGTTTATGCAAACGAACAGTCAAAATTAAAAGCAGGACTCAAAGTAGTCCCTTTAATAACAGTGAGGGTGATCTTAAGGAGAAAAATTGTGGTTCAAGGAAAATCACAATGCTCAGTATTGGACATCAGAATGGTGCAGCTGTCTTGAAAGCTTGTTTTCATTTCAAAGTTGAAACTGGTTTTGTAAAACTGGTTTTGTATACATCTTTGTATCACCAAAGATGTATAATTTACAGGTACAAAGGACCTGTCAAATTGCCATTGCTAAATGTCATTGCAGGAAGGGCCTCGCAACTGAATGTCTTCCCAAAACACCGTCTCACAGGCACAGAGACTGGTTTGGGGATTGTTGCTTGATTTAACCTGTGTGTTCTTCTGTTTTCATAGGGTGTATGCCTATGACTTCATTACCTGAGTGACTGGCTGCAATGTAGGCCTCACTTAAGGAGCCCATCCTCATCATCGGCCCCTGAGACTCAACGGTTTGGCTGAACTAAGTGGTTGGGCTGGTGAAGGGTTCGGGCGGTCTGTGGGCTTCACATTAGAACTGATTTTCCCTTTTCTGTCCTGATGGTTTGGACAGGAAGGAACCAGAAATCTGAAAGGAGGGAAATCCTAATATATTCCCCTCAGCTCGAGTGAAGTACAGTGGGCCACAGGAGTTTTGGACAGGTGTAGCATGCCTTGTACACCTTCCTCCTGATAAGCCATTCTTTACCTAAGTTCCTGCCTTTGTCATTTAGTGGTTATGATTTAATTGTGCCTTCCAACTCTTTCCAAATCTGTCACCTCCAGAATATGACCAGGATGCCAAGCCTGCGACTTCCTGGTGACAGCCAACTGACCGGGATTCTGTAAGGTCCTTCCCCTTACAGGAAGGACTTCCTCCGTGCTGCACGCACCCCTCCCTTCAGGGCACCCCTGACCCACAGGTAGGTAGGACAACGTCCATCTCTAGCAGGAAGTAGTTACAAGATGAGACTTTCATCCATTGTCCTTTATAAGATTATAAAGTGGGTGTAAATCTGAAAGGAGGGATTGTAACAGGGTATAGTTAAGGGGAGACCCAAATAGGGATTTTGAATGGGGTCCAGAACTCAGGGTGTCCAGGAAATATTAGGATGTCCTCACCCCTCCCCAGGTGTGGGTTGGGGGAAGGTACAAATGGAGCAGGGCCATTGAGGGCTGTTTTGTACAGCAACAGCTTTGCAGCTAACCTCTGGCATGGTCATTTAACATATCTATAGCCTTTAGCTAGTTGCATAGATATGTTAAGTAGCTGTGGCCATGATCGGAGCCAGGGGGATGGGAGTGACTTCCCCACCAAGACTTAACTGGGGGCAGGTCCCCCGCGTTACAGCTCCTGCATGGGAGCTTGGAGATGATTGGCTCCATGACATGGGGCCACACCTGCCCAGACTCACGATGGCAGCCCAGTAAAGCTGGAAGGATATGAGAGTGCTGGCAGGTGTAGCCAATTGTGGGAGGAGTCAGAAATGGGGCTGCAGAGGAGGATTGGTGCTGGGATTTAAACCCAGATGCGGCAGCCATTGAAGAGGGAGAACCACGTGGCTTTGGCTGAGTGGAGACTCCGGCAGCCATTGTGCAGAGAGGACCACGCGGCTGTGGACATGGGAGAGAACCGCTCGGTCTTTAGCGGAGTGGGGACTCCCGCAGCCCTGGGAGAGAGAATCACCGTGTGGCTTTAGCAGAGAACCGCCACTCGGCTTTGGCAGAGTGGCGACCCCCCTCCTTGCAGCCAATGACGGGGGAGAACCACGCAGCTTTAGCTGAGTGGAGACTCCCACGGCCATTGTGTAGCGAGGACCATGTGGCTGTGGCAATAGAAAGGAGAGCCACGCGGCTTTGCCAGAGTGGGGACCCCTGCAGCTTTAGAAGGGGGAACCACCACCCGGCTTTAGCAGAGATCCTGGAGACACAGCTGAGGGTGCCGGGAACCGAGGGAGGCCTCCCAGCTGAGCACGGATTACTGGGAAGAACCGGGGGCTGCCTGAACCACAGACTTCTATTTCTTTTCCTGAGATATGGTACCCCAGACTGGGAAAAGGGGGAAGGAAGGACTGTGTGTGTTTGTGGGTGTTTTAAGGGACTTTGGGATTTTGATGAAGACATTAGGTCACTACTTTAAGTTTATATAGTATTAAATAAACATTTCCTTTCCTTTTCACGAATCTCTGGCATTGAGAGATGTCTTTCCTATAGGCAGCGGACATAACGAACCTGGGGGTTCCTTTCCGGTAATAGCATTGCCCTCAGCCCTCCTTGGGCCCCCCTTGTTGTTCTGTAACAGATAGATGGGAGGATGGATGGATGACGGATGGATGACGGATGATGGGTGGATGGTGGATGGATGATGGATGGATGGGTGGATGGATGGATGGAAAGGGGGAAGGGGGCAGATGGGAAGGAGGGCCGGGTAGAGAGATGGTTGGGAAGAGGGCTGGAGGGAAGCAGGGAGGGTGGGAAGAGGAAAGGATGAATGGACAGACAGACAGGAAGGTGACCGGAGCAGGGGGCGGGTGGGAGAAAGGAAGGATTGGGGAGGGAGAGAGGGAGGGAGGAGTTAAAGAGACAGGCAAGAAAAGTGAACTTGACAATCCAGTCAAATCCTTTTCTGGAATTGTGATCACTGGCTTTTCTACTCTTTGAAGACCCACGGGTGAAACCGCCACGCCCCCACCCGGGTGAGCAGAACACACTCGGCTCCTGGACCCAGCCACAGCTCGCTGCAGAGGCCAGAGCGCCTGCCCACAGAGCCGCAGAGTTCTCCCATCTGACACCCCCACCCCTGCTCCAGGGAGCTCCCCGCCCCTCCCGTGAGGCTCGGGTGTTCGAGCTCACGGTCTACCACGGCTAAGCCAAAAATAAATAGTCAGACTGCTCAGGGCCGGCGCGTGCTCACTCCGTGAAGGCCAGACCACTGGTTCCCAAAACGGATGCTGCTGCTGGCGGCAGCAGCCGGGGAGATGACGTCAGAAACAGAGTCGCCATGGAAACAGCTCAGCCGAGTGCAGGCCGCTTTCCGGCAGAACAAAGCAGGGAGGTGCCGGTGGTGGCCGGGGTGAGCTCAGTGGGACCCGCGCTCCGGCAGCGTGGGCAGCGTCTCCCTGACGCCCCGGCGCCCGCCGCGCCCGAGCAGCGCGTCACGCGGCGTCACGCGGCGGAGCACGGACGTACCAGGGAGAGGTCGTCGATGACGTGCTGCTGCTCCAGCACCTGCAGCCGCAGGAACTCGATCTCCTGCTCGTCCCTCGTCAGGCTGAGGTCGTTCAAGGACGTGTGTCGCTTCAGAGACGCCTGCGCAGACAGCTTTTCTTTCTGCAGCCAGAGCGGGAGGGAGCCCCGCGCAGGGCCGCTCAGCCCTGGGTGCCCGTGAGGGACCCACCGAGTGCATCTGTGCACAGAGGGTGGGCTCTGGGGTTCGGGAGTGGGGGGAATGGGGAGGGGTGGCAGCCACCCGGTCCCCAGGCGGGAGGGGGCATGGCTGTTGGGTCCACGGCCGGGAGGGGGCCAGGCGGACCCTGGGTGGCCCAGCCTGAGTGCTGGGGGAGGAGGCTGGGACAGGGTGGGGCAGGCCACGCCCGGAATCCCACACTGGCCCAGACCTGCTGGGGTCCAGGGGGGAGGGCGTGCACCTCTGAGCCTCAGTCTTACCAGCTGTAAAACGGGGGTGACCGCACTACTCCGGACAGCGAGCCTCAGAGCGCTGGCAAACCGCCAGTGCCTGGGCACCGCCCACCCACAGAGACCAGCCGCCCCAGCTGGCATGCGCGGGGCCCTCAGCAGAAGCCGCGGTCCCGTCCGCCTGCTGACCTCCCACCGCGAGCTGGCTTTTCCGTGAGGCGCTTCCCCATGACCCTCCCGTCCCCTCAGTCGCCCTGCCACATCGGTCCTTCCCTTCCCATTTGACAGAAGGAGAAACTGAGGCGCAGAGGGGATGCGAGAGGCGCCTAGGGGCACAGGGGCGGGAGGTGGCAGGGCCGCGGCTCAGACCCAGCCCGCTGCCCACCGGGCACTCTCCCTCAGGCACAGACGCCATCGCACTGCGCCCTCCAGACAAGGGACAGCGGGGGGCTGGCCCCCGGCGCCGGTGCCGACTCACCATCTCCACGTTCTCCCGCGTGAGGGCCTTGATCTTCTCCTCCATCCGCTGGATGCTCTGCAGCAGGCCCTCGTGCTTCTTGTTCATCCTCTTGTTCTTCTCCACCAGCGGCTTCAGCTGCGCCTCCGTCTCCCGGGAGCGCTTCAGCTGCGTCAGGAGGACACAGAGGCCCGGCGGCTTGCAGACTCAGTGCACGGCTGACACCATGCCGCCGCCGCCGCAGGGGCCCGAGGAGACCCCACCGGGGCCCTTCCCCGGAGCCGGGGCTGCCCTCGTCAGGACCCCAGTCCCGAAGCAGCGCAAACCCAGGGCCCTGGCCCAGCCTCCGAGGGCCTGCCTGGGTGAGGTGAGAGGAGGAGCCCGATGCGGGGGGCCCACAGACCTGCCCCAGGACACCCCGCTGGCCGGTGGCCTGTGCTGTGTGCACTGGTCTACCCTTCTAGAGGTCATGGGTCACATGCATAAAGGTCAATCCAGCTACCCAGCTCCTCCTCCCCACTCTGCAGACAGCAGACCACCCCGGGCCCTGCCCCGCCAGGCCCAGTGCCAGGGCGTGGAGATGCCTAAGGCGGCACCCAGCCCTGGCGGGCTCCCCGAGTCCTCGGGGCACAGTCCCTACTGGCAGGCAGGGCGTCCCCCCGGTCTCTCTCGTCTGATTCCACAGGGTGGCCCCTCCTGTGCCCAGGTCCTGGGTGGGGGGGTCGAAGACATGACATGACATGGCAGGGGCGCCCATCCGACAGGTGGGGAAGGGGGCAAAGACGGCAGCAGGGGCACGGACACAGCAAGACAAGTGCGGGGGACACTGCGGGCTGGGACACCACATGCCCACAGGGTCTGATCTGCCAGGGACGCAGTGCGTCCACGCAGCCAATTGTGGGCGAGGGGCAGGGAAGGGGCGCGCCGGGGAGGCCTGGCCGTGGGTGTGCGTCCCAGCCCAAGCCGGAGCCCGCTGCAGTCAGGTCTGCCTTCTGGAACCATCGGTCACGCTGACTGCCACGTGGAGGCCGGGGTACTGAGACCCAGACGTGGGAGTGGACAGCGCCCAGGGGACGGGCGGGGGCCCGGGAGCCTGCACAGTTCGGGGTGCCCACTCCGTCCCCTCCTCAGCAGGGTCCTCGCTGACACATTCATTTTCGAGCTGCGTGACCATGGCCAAATCCTCGGCCTCAGTTTCCTCATCTATAAAATGGGAGACTCGCCACACGTCCAAAGCAGTGGTGAGCCCTCCCAGGATTTCTCTGTCGTTCAGCCCTCCCCAGAAACCCAGGAGGGGACCCCAGCCCCAGCCCCACATCATAGACAAAGACCCCACCCCTAAAAGGTGGGCAATGTGCTGAAGGTCACACAGAAAGCGCTGGAACCGAGAGTCGAACACAGGGACTGCCTGCAGACCCGTGGCTGGGGACTCCCCAGCCACGAAGTGGAAACAACCCTCTGGTGTCCCTTCAAATGTGAAATGCAGCTCCAGCCCGCACACCCTACTTCTAACAACCCCCGTCCCACCAGAACTGCGGTTCCAGTGAGGAAAGACAGACACAGATCTGCCACGCGGCACTGTTTACGACAGCAGGGAAACCAGACGGAGCCCGGACTCCCTCCGGCAGAGGAGTGGCTGAGTGAGCCGCGGCGGCGCAGCTGCGGGAAGGACGAGGCAGCTCCTGCTGCACCAGCAGCAGCGTCGTGACGGGGCCCTCGGGGGACATGAGCACGCTGCGGACCAGAACGGGGAAGGGGGACCCCACTTTCTCATCACAAACCAAACACACACTCAGGGGTGCCCATCCGTCCCCAGAAGCATCAAAAACATCCCAGAACCCCCCGAAATGGCGAGAGAGGCGGCCTTGTGACTTCAAGAGGGACGCCTTCGCGAGCGGACCGACTGCTACTTCAACCCCTCAGCGGCGCCTGCATTGTATCGAGTGGCCTGCACGTCCTCTGACCCACGTCAGTGCACCAGCACGCGAGCCCCTGCACGCATCAGCGAGGGGCAGAGAGACAACGTTAGACGTGCCGTCTCCTTTTAGCGACAGGAGAACACACCCTCAAACATACCGGGAGGGAACGAGTTTATTTCGGTCCTGACTCGTGTGCATGCTTTCCACCTTCCCTGCTTTTCAAATGTCACGGATATTTACTTCCATGATAAAGTTTAAAACACACAGAAACGTTATGAGGCATCTGTCAAGAAGTTTATGTGTGGATTACCACTAGGGAAAAAATCAAGTTAGCTGTTTATCCAGAAAATGCAAAGATATGCCAAGAAGCGCTATTTTGCCCTGGCCGGGTGGCTCGGTTGCTTGGAGTGTTGAACCCGCAAAAGGCTGCAGGTTCAGTTCCAGATCAGGCCACATACCTAGATTGCAGGTTCGAGCCCCAGTCAGGGCATGTGCGGGAGGCGACCCATTGATGTTTCTCTCCCTCCCTCCCTCTCTCTCTCTAGCTCTCTCTGTCTCTCTCTGTCTCTCCCTTTCTTTCTTTCTTTCTTTCTTTCTAAAATCAATAAAAACATATCCTCAGGCGACAATTTTTTTTAAATTATTATTTTTACTAGAGATTTATTCTTTAACCAGAAATCTATGTTCGTTATTTTTAAAACTAGAAATAGGTACACTTTGATTTTTTAAAAGAAGGTAAATAGATGTGCAAAACATAAAAATTACCCATAACCATGCCACCTGGAACAATTTCCAGTTTCCAGGATGACAATGCATCTTGTATCTATGGGCATCTATTTGTATCCCTAAGAGCAGTGTATGTATAAACTGCTCTTATGTAATTCTCTGAGAACCGGTTTCCGCGGCAATTCAGTGTGGCCCACGCCCGCACGTTCACGCACTGCCCACACCGCCTGCCCACGGCTCCCGCGGTCCAGAACGGAGCACTCGGGTGTCTGGGCTCGTTTCCGGGTGCGGGGGTAAGCAGCACCCCGGCGAACGCCCCCCCCACTCTTCTCCCCGACTCCTCAGAGGCTGCCCAGGGCAAGCTTCTGCCGAAACAAGGGGCAGCCACGGGCTTCCTCAGCGAGCGTGTGCCGGACTCTCAACCAGCAAGAAATGGGGAAGCAAAGGACACCCGAGGCCTCTGCGTTCACTTCCTGTTGAGCCAGGTCCGCGGTCCCAGGGCAGTGACCCTGTGGCCGACCCCCGCACCCCCACCCCCCCCACTCCCCCACCCCGCCCCCGTCTCCCGGGCGGGTTACCAGCTCGTTCCTCTCGTCCGCCAGGAGGGTGTTCCTGTCTTCCAGCTTCCGTATCACCGAGTTGAGTTCAGCGATTTTCAGCTGGAATCGCCTCACGTCCCGCTCATCCATGTGTTGGTCCTGAACAGGAGTCAAGATGCAAGTGCACTTTGCAGAGGTGACCGTGACCCCAGGCGGCCCACGGCCACACCCAGTGAGCCCGCTCCTCATTAAAGCCGGACGCCAGGCCAGGGCTCCCAGAAGCCCAGCCACACGGACGGACGAGACCTGGAGCCCTGCCAGCAACTCGCCAAAAAGACTTCATTTCAAAGGTAACGAGACTTCCAACCCACCAACGGCTCCTCACACCTGAGCGTGGTCTCGAGGCCTTGACGTTCGAGCCCCACCCGTGAACGCCCACGGCGAATGTGCCGGCCCAGTCCGGCAGGGCGGGCACCGTGTCCATGTTGCTCACCACTGAGGTGCCAGCACCTCCCGTGGCGTCTGCATGGAGCACTCACGAGACCCTGGACCACTCAGTGGATGAGTGAGTGAGTCAATGAACGAAGGAAGGAATGCTCGCACACACACACTCACGCAGCTTCGCCCGCTCGGTCCCTGTTCAGTGCCAGGCCGCCGCCCCGAACGCCCTGCCTGCTGGCTGAGCCCCACCCGGCGCGCGCCGTCTGGACTGGGCCCCCTCTGCACGCTCACGGCAGGCCCCGCCCTGACAGCTTCCCCTCTTTCTGTTCAACGGGAGGCAGGCGCGGACCCCTGGAGGTGAAAGTCGCCGGTTGTCCACCTCTGCGTCCCCAGGGCCCAGCACGCAGGGACTGTCAGCAAGTTTGGACAGGAAGGGCTGAGAGAGGGAGGGAAGGGTGGGCAGACGGACGGCAGGGGGGAGGGAGGGAGGCACGCACGCTGGCCGGAAGGATGCCCGGTGGCAGGAGGGACGGTGGGGGGCCGGCCCGCCCGAGCCCTCACCTGGGCACCCATGAGCTCCGCCATGTCCCCGATGCCCGGCGGGAGCTCCCTCTTTGGGCTGCTGTGGTACCGCTCCGCCTCCTTGACCTGAACCAGCTGCTCGTCCAGAGCCTCCTTCTGAAGCAGCAGCCTCTGGGTCTGACCCGTCTGCACGCCCAGCTCCTTCTCCAAGGCCAGAATCACACGATCTTTCCCTTTGATCTCGTCCATCTGCAAAAGGGGACGAGTAAGCCGTCAGTCAGAGGGGCTCGTGACTGGGGGAATGCGCCCCCCACCGCCAGCCGGGGGTTCAGAGGAGGTTAAGCAGTCCCATGGGCCCGGGTCAGCTGGACCCAGCCACTCAGGACACAGAGAGACCACGGTCCACGGCCCAGCCCCGGCTCCCTGACTCAGAGGAGCAGAGATACACGGGCTCACGGACCCACGGAGTCGACCAGGCACTGACCTTCGAACCTTATCTACGCCCTGTCCCTCTCACCCGAATGAAACAAAACCCTGGCCCTCTCGGCCCCTCCAGCCGCCCCCCACCCGCCACAGCCGAGCTCCTCTCGGAGCGGGCTGCTCCCCTGGTCTCCGACCCGCCCCTCCGGCCACTCCGGGCCGGCACAGCCCCCACCCCGCCACCACACAGCTCTCGCCCAGGCCGCCCACGCTCTCCCGGCCCCCAGACCCACTGGACGACTGTCTGTCCCCCCGTCTGTCTCCTCAGCATGACAGCGTGCCCCACTCCCTGCTCCTGGGCCCCGTCCTGCCCTCTCCCTCCTGTGCCACCAGTGACCTCTCGGTCCCTATCCTCTTGACAGACCCACCTGCCTGGGGACGACCACCGTGGTTTCCGAGGCCTGGCCCTCTTCCTGGCCTGTGTCCTCTCCCCAGGCAGCCAGGTCCTCGCCCAGGACAGCAAGTCCCTCGGGTGCCGCTGACGTCACTGCATTCCCCAGCCCCAACTCCCCTCGGAGCCACGCAGCCACACAACAATGGGGTGCTTGGTGTTTCTGAGGACTCCACTCACCATGTCCAGCCCGGGCCCACCCGGCCCAGCCTTGCCCGGCATCCCCTGCAGGAAACCAAGCAACGGGCGCTCCGGCCCGGGGCCATATACTGCCACGGCCCCCGGACACAAAGCCAGCAGCTGGGAAACTGGCCCAGTGGGGGCGCTGTACGGGTGTGTTGGCTCCCCTACCCCCCTGACCAGGTCCCTCCTGGACCCTGAGACTGTAACTCATCTGGAATTAGGGTTGCTGCAAATATAGTTAGTTATGATGTGGTCACCCTGGAGAGGGTGGGCCCTATGACCGGTGTCCCTATAAAAGGAGAAGGGACACACAGCAGCAGGCCCAGTGAAGATGGAGACAGAGGCTGGAGTGACTGGGCCACAGCCACGAACATCAGGGACCCCCAGTGACCGCCAGGGGGAGCTGGAGGGGCAGGAAGGACCGCCTCCGAGGCCTCCAGAGGCGCAGGGTCCTCCTGACAGCTTGACCTTGGGCTTCTGGCCCCCAGGACTCGGGTGAAGGGACGCCTGCCATTTCCTGCCACGGAGCTCGGCCACTGGCCAAGGTAGCCCCAGCACACTAATGTAGGTGCCCCCTCTGGGCACACCCAGAGCGGGAGAAGTTCAAGTGGACCGGAACCTGGAACTCTGGCTTCACACCACGCACCGTGAATTCAGACGCAGACCCCCACCGCACGGAGTCCTGGTTAGGAGTCCTGCGGTGGGGGTGGGGGGGAGAGGGGCGGGAAGCAAGCTCAAGCCCCGCCCCTCCGGCTGTGGAGTCAAGGGCAGGCTGCCGCCTCCCTACTTGGCCTCAGCCTCTGTAACACGGGGACACCGAGGACACTCCAGACCCTGCTCTGTCCAACCGTGGGGACAGCTAGATCAGCCACGGAAGGAAGTCAGCACAGATGTGGTTTATTGTAACGCCATCATGCTGGTCGCCAGGATTGCTCCATTTCAGCCCCTGGTTAACGGAAGGCTATCTTATTTAAACAGTACAGTTAAAAACTGATGAAACTCAGATTATAGGAGGGAAATGGTACCCCCAAAGTCAAGGCTGGGAGCTTTCCAAACAAAGTCCTACTGTTCTGACAAACTCTTTGGGCCTCCCCCCTTCCCTCCACATCCCATCCCCAGCCTCCCCCAGGGCAACCTCCTGGACCACAGCCAAGGCTGCGCCCGGCGCCCAGTGCGCCCCCTGGTGACGGTGCGCCGGCAGCCCCGGCTTTGGCCAGCTCCCCTAGGATGGACAGAGCGCCACCTTTAGGGAAGACTGGACAGGCGCGGGGGGTGGGGGGAGCGGGGAAACTCAGCCGCCCTGCGCACGCTGCTCCAGACGCAACGGCAGCTGTGTGAGGGGAGGCCGCAGCTCTAAACACTCAAGTGCACCCCCGTTATCCGACCAGTGCTGAGCTGGGGAACACGTGAGCAGAACAGACCGGAGTCCCGCCCGCGCCACTCCCATCCCAGAGGGGAGGCAGCCAAGCACGCAGTTGGGGAGTCCCGCTGGAGTGGGTCGGAGCGCGACCAGTGCTGGGAGGAACGACCGACGCGAGGGCGCCAGCAGTGGCAGCCGGGCGGTGCTGCAAGTCACCAGGCAGGGAGGGCTCCAGTCTGTCCCCGCAGCACCAGGTCGCACGCTTCTGTCCCGGCGCCAGACGGAACGTCCCAGGTCAGGCTTGCTCCGTGTGCGCGTGGTTTTCACCTGCACTGGCCCTCTCAGGGGAGCAGAGGGGAAGGGCCACTGGCCCTTTCTCCTGTGATCCCGGGTAAACGTCACTCCTCCGTAAGCCCGTTGCCCGTGGCAACGTGCCGCAGAGGTGCGCAGCTCTGCATTCCCTGGGCGGCTGGATCCGGTTAGAGATGCAAGAGGGCTCTCAGACGCCCGCTTCCACACCGACCGTGCCTCTTACGAAAAGCCAAGAAGGAAGGGCAGTTACGTCGACCTGGGGCGGTAACAGCAATTTTTGGACTCAGACCAGTTGGGATTAGGTCCGGCTGCATGTAAGGAATGGCACCTCCCGCACACACCGGGGCTCAGGACCTGGGACGTGTTTCTCCCCCACGCACGGAGTCTGGAGAGGGCCGCCGTGGGGCTCCCCGGGTAGTGAGGGCCACCGGCACCTCCCCGCACTCCCCTCAGGGGGCGCCCTGGGACGCAGCCATGATCCTCGTGGCCCCTCATGCCCACGGAGCACCAGCCATCACATCTCTGCCCTCGCCTGGCAGTGGGACATGAAGATGGTGAATAAGGAAGGGTGTGGGGGTCTTCATTGAAGGAGACTTGTTGACTTGAGAGCTCCCTCCACCTCCACCTCCACCTCCACCCCCTTGCGGCCAGGGGGCTGGCAAACGCGGTGCTCCCGAGTGCCCACGGCTCCGGACAGGTCCCGGTGTGGCGTCCACCCGCTTCCTGGGGCTGCCACAGATGCCCAGACTCGGGGGCTTGGCGCCACAGGGGTTACTTCTCCACAGGTCATGGCTAGAAACACAATTTATCTTTGTGTGTCTGCCTCCTACCTGGAGACCTTGGAAAGTTCACCACTTCTAACGGACCGCAGCGTCTCTGGGCTCCCCACGTCACAATCCCAGCATCTGCCGATAAAGACAGTTTCCCTTCCTTTCTGTCCAGTCTTTCAAACTTCCATTTCTAGCCCTGGCTGGCGTAGCTCAGTGGATTGAGCGCGGGCTGCGAACCAAAGTGTGGCGGGTTCGATTCCCAGACAGGGCACATGCCTGGGTTGTGGGCCACGGCCCCCAGCAACCGCACATTGATGTTTCTCTCTCTCTTTCTCCCTTCCTTCCCTCTCTAAAAATAAAAATAAATAAAATCTTTTTAAAAAACCTTACATTTCTTTTGGCCACGAGGGCCTCGCCAGGGCAGGATAACTGAGTGGAAGCGGTCGGGGCCAACATCGTGTCTCAGTCTTGAATCCAGGGGACAGGTTCGATAATTCAGCCGGACGTAGGCAGGTAGGAGATGTTCGCTAGAACCTTCCTCGGATTGGGAACTGCCAGTCTCCTCCTCATTTGCTGGGAGTTGATATCATGGCCTTGAATCCTATTGCTTTTCTGCCTCTGGTACCATAATCACATGGTTTTCCTCCTAACCTCCGTCGCTAGCCGAACTGCACACACTGTCTCGAGAACATTGAACCATTCTCCGTAGTCCTAGAATAGACCCTACTCTGTCTATTAGGACTCACTAGCCCTCCTATACACTGCTGCGTTTGACTCGCTCACAGCTTACTCGCTGCTTACTCCTGTGTCCGTAAGAAATCCCCTAAAGGTTTTCTTTCTTATGATTCCCCTTTGCTGGTTTGGGCTCAAAGCTGTGCTGGCTTCCTGCCTCAGTCAGACGTGCTCCCTCTTCCTCAGGTTCCGGCAGGGCTCGTGGAACATTCATTTAACTGCTTCCTTACATACTCCAGACAGTGAGCCTGCACAGCCATCGGGCTGTGGGCTCTCCTCGGTGGGGAAGGCATTGCTTACGGACTAAATTTCCTTCATCGCTGCAGGACTGCCGCGCTTTTCCGTCTCTCCCGGGGTCAGTTCTGGGGAGCTGCGTTTACGCGAGGGCCGTGCCCCTGTCACCCAGCCCTCCGGCTGAGAGGCACGTGCGGGTCACGACGTGCTCACTCTGTCGTCTCCTCAGCGTCTGCAGGAGCTGTGACGCTTCCCCTTTCGCGCGCCTCACGCTGGGGCTTAGCGTGTCGGTTCCCTTCATCCGTGTCGGTGCGGGTGGCCGACGCATCGCCTCCCATGGACCCCTGATCGCGCTGGTTTTCCTCGCTGACTCGCTCCAGTGGCCCCGCTCTCTGTAACTGCCTTCACTCTCCTCTCCGGGGGTTTGATTTGCTCTTTGTCCTTCTTCTCGAGACGGGAGCTCAGGTATCGGGTTCTCAGCATTTCTCCCCTGTTGTCTAAACCAAGGTCTGCTCCAAGGACTGGTTTGGCTACACCCCCCACGTTCTGACGGGTGCTGTTCTGGTGAGCGGCAGGTCCCCTGGGGCAGGACAGGGCCCCGCGGCGGCCGGGGTGCTGTCACTTCGGTCCGTGTGGGTTGTGTCACTTCCAGTCCGCACGTCCCTGCTTGTTTATTCTCTGTGTGTCCTTTCGCTCGCTAGTGCCCAGCGCACCTGTGGGTCTGTCCGCTTCTCCCCTTCGTTTACAGCAGAATGTGTTTCTTTCATACATTTGCAGTTTTGTTAGGCGCATTCCTATGGAACTGATCCCTTCATTACAAAGAATTTTCCCTGCTTGGGTTCAGTTCTATTTCTCGCCTTACATTCTTTGACATGAATTGAGTCAGTCCCTTCGTGGCAAGGAATTGAGTCCCCACCCCCCGCCCCCACCCCCCACCACCGTGTGCTGAGTGTTACTTCCCGCCTTGGACGCTTGGACGTTAGCACCGGTGGAGCAGCCTTCCCTTGGTTAGCGTTCGTGTGATGTACCTCTTCCCAGCGCTTGAAGTTCATCCTGTGTCCTCGTGATTGAGATGCATCCCTTGTAAATGCCACCGCTGCTGTGGAGGTGGCACCCAGTCTGAGAATCTCAGCTTCCTGGAGGGGGGGAGTGTCAGCCTCCGGCCCCACCACACGAGGTCAAAGTCCAACGAAGGCCTGGAGGGGCAGACGGCCTGCTGTGCTGCAGGCCCCTCCCTCTGGCAAGCCCGACCTCCCGAGGGCAGTGTGGCGGAGGGAGACCGAGCTCTGCCTTGCCCTCTGGCTGCCTGCCTCCGCGTCACCAGAGGACTCAGGGAGGAGCCTGCCGGGCAAGCTGGCCTTGTGGGGGCGGGGGGGGGGCGGGGGGGCTCCTCCAGCTTCCTGTCTCTCGTGCGGACCCTGAGAGACGCCAGAGTCCCCGCACCTCTCCAGCCTGCCGTGGGACCTCGCTGCCTGGGGAAGCCCGACACCCACCCCCACCCAGGACCAGCGAGTGCCCTCGGGGAAGAAAGGCTGGTGGCTGGCCCCGCGGCCTCCCCTTCCCTGTAAAGTTGTACTTCTCCTCCACCACGCTGCTTCCCCGGCCCTCTGACCCCTAAAACACAGGACTGTTTGCAGTTTACATGTTTGCAGTTGTTGCAACAGGATGGCTGGCCTGTGCCGACCTACCACATCCCACCTCAAGGTGTACGTCTGCCCCTGGTTTGTTAATTAAGTCAACAAGTAAGTGCCCAGCACTCTGATACACGACCACGGTCCTTTCTGACAACAACCTACTGGCCCACTACCTACTGGCCCTTTCTGGCCCACTACCTACTAACTTCCTTTCACAGGTGACGAACGCGGGCTTCTGAGCAGCTCGGTGATCTGCCAGGGGTCACACACCTGGTGGCAGAGACCTGCCCCCACCCCCGCCCGCAAGCCTCCTTAGCACACCTGAGACAGCAGGGTGTTTGCCGGAAGCCCTGTGCCCAGAACCTCGACGCCTGGAAAACAGAGGGACCTCGCAACTCCGAGTCTCTGCACGCGTGCGGGAAGGAAGGGCACACACGTGTGGAAAGCAGGGTGCACACACGCTACCGGGGCAGGGGCAGGGGCGGGGGCGCGGAGCACGTACCAGCCGGCGGATGTCGCGCTCGCACTCGCGCTTGATGCGGTGCACCTCGTCCTGGTGCTCCTGGTAGGCGGCGCGCAGGTCGGCCGCCTTGGTCTTGTCGGCCTGCATGCAGTTGCTGAGCGCCTCCTCCGCCTGCTTGCGCGCCGCCTTCAGCTCGAGGATCTCCTGCTGCAGCCGCAGGCGCTCGCTGTCGAAGCTCTTGCGCGCCTCCTCGCGGGCGTCGGCCAGCAGCGCGGTCTTGACCTTGTCTGCGGCGCCGTCGCGCAGCACGTTCAGCATGGCCTGCAGCCGCTGCAGCTCGCCCTCCTTGATCTTGGCCGTGCGCGCCGCCTCCTGCTCGTGCTGGCGGATGAGCATCTCGCGCAGCGCCTGCAGCTCCTTGGTCTTCTCCTCGTGCAGCTTGGCCCTGAGCGCGGAGATGTAGGCCGTGTGCCGCCGCTGCTCCTGCTCCCGCTCCAGCTTGGCCTCCTGCAGCCGCTCGCGCAGCTTGCTCACCTGCAGCGGAGAGAGCGTGGGGTCAGGGGCCTGGGTCAGGGTCAGGGTCAGGGCCACAGCCACGCCGAGAGGATGCCTCCCACACACCTTCGCGCCCAACTGCCCCAGGCGGTCCGGGGCCCCACGTTCCAGTTCCTCCTCCTGCCGTCCCCACTGACCCTCAGCTCTCGCCCCGCTGTTGCCTCGGGACTGCCCCCAGAGGTGGAAAAACACCCGAAGGTGCTGGAGAGGAGCATCAGCCCTTCGACTTTCTTCCAACTCGGAGATTTACCAAGAAGGACAATTCACCCGGCCCGAAACATGCCAGCAGAAACCGCCGCTCACTACTGCTGAACCAATTTCAAGCCAGAAATATATCTGCGGTGCCCACGCACTGGCCTCCGGAGCTGGAGAAGACAGGGCCGGTGGGGGCAGAGAGGGCGGGGTTGGGGGAGGAGGTGGAGGAGGCGGAGCTGCTGCCGTTGGGGCTGGGGCTCCCGCGCCTCCCCCACACGGACCCCTCATGGCCCCAGGAGGGCGGGGACTCCCCGTTTTCAACAGGCAGCTGAGGCTGGGAGATGCTTGCTCCCCTGCCTGGGGGTGAGGGGCTGCCAAGGGGCGGGGCCCGGCTTTCCCGGCACCTGGCCCCCACAGCTGGTGTGCCGCAGACGCCAGGCTGCCAACCCGGCCCACCTGGGCGACTCTGTGCAGTCAGCCAACAACTGAAACACGGACCATAAAAGGTGCCCAGGGAGTGTGTTCTGACACGCTCCGCACAGCTGTGCTCGGCCTTTCCGTGTCGAGCGTGGCGCCATCCACACGGTCCCCAGACGCTTTCCGGTCCATCTGCTTTCTAACTACCGCCAGCCGCCCCGGAACAGACACGAACGGTCTCTCGCCGACGAGCTGCCTCCGGGCCGAGGGCGGCGCCCCCCCAGACCAGTCTGCTGAAACCCGTTTCGGCGAGGAGTGTCACAGTGCCCTCGGGGGTGGGTAGACCCTCACTCATAACAGACGGCAGGGGCAAAGGCAGGATCGACAGCCCCTCGCAACAAACAGTCTCGAAACAGAAACGAAACAAGGAACCCCAGTCCCAGGCCCACCTCCCCCGCCCCGGGGCTGGAATCAGGCCTCCGCCTGAAGGACTGAGCGCCTTCCTGCCCGGCCGGGCCTCTCACCAAGGAACGCACCGTCTCGCTGGAGGACCAGCGCTCCCGGTTGCTCCCCGCCAGAAGGCAGCACCGTCCTGACTCCTGGGTCCACGTGGCCAGCGATGCGGAGTCAGGAGGACAGGAGCGGGTCACCCCCCCCCCCCGGTCTGCACTGATGAGTGCGGTTCCCTGGGCCAATTACGGAACCTCGAGATGGCTCACGGGACGTGTCCACTTGGCAGGGCCATGGTACCCGGTCATTTGGCCAAACACCGGTCTAGATGTTGCCATGGGCGTCTTTCTTTAGACGGAATTAGCATTTCAATCTGCAGACCCTGAGTACGGCAGGGCACCCTCCCCAACCTGGGAGCCCCTCCCCCAGCCCGTGGGAGGCCCGAAGAGACGGGACTGAGGTGCCCAGGGAGCTAGGGGCGCAGCCTCTGGCCGCCTCTGGACCCCAGGCTGCCACAGCAGTGCGTGCTGGAACTCCCGGCTGCCTGCCCTGCAGGGCCCGGGTCTGGCAGCCTCCGGGGTCGTGTGGGAGACTTCTGGGAAAAGCCCCTCTCCCTCCCCGTGTATGTGCGGGCGTATGTGATTCACATGCGTGAAACCTCCTGTTGGGTCTGGTTCTCTCTGGAGAGTCCCAACTGTGTCCTGTCCCTCTCCTGTGATGCAGGGAGGCCCACAGCCGCCTGGGAAGTTGAAGGTCAAAGAGCAGATACAGGGGACTGCGGCCCCAGGGAGGGGGGGAGGCGGGATACGGAGTGGGAGAGCAGAGGCCCATGGGCAGGGCGGCCTGGGAGCGGTCGGCCGCGCCCTGGGAGGGGAGGGGGCGGGGGGCCAGCTGAGCCGGGCCAGGTGACACAGGTGTGAGAAGAGGAGGCTGGGACACAGACATGCGCTGAGGGACGGCCACATGAGGACAGGGAGAAGACGGCCATCGGAAGGAAACCACCTGCCCACAACTTGTTCTCTGACTGCCAGTCTCCACGACCGTGAGAAAGGAAGTTTTCCTTGTTCGGGTCGGCTGGTCCATGGCACTTTGTCGTGGTGGCCCCAGCAAGCTAAGACACCGGGGCAAGTCCCCTCTGCCCTCTGACCCTAGGTTCGCTCCCTTATAAGCTGGAATAAACCACACCTGACCTCACAGGTCACCAAGGGTCAGGAGGCCCTTTGAGGCACCTGGTGCAGCCCGTGCAGCAGACGCCAAATAAACGCCAGCCGACCGCCGAGTAACTGCGTGTGACAGGCGTCGGCACGCGGACCCCGAACGCCACTCTCACTCGTCCCTTAAGCAGCCCAGGCAGGCAGATGCAGCGGAAGCCTCCATGTAACAGATGGGGAAACTGAGGCGGGGGGGTGATTACAAGGCTTGTCCCGAGAGCCCCAGGCAGGCGAGGTGGCGGAGGCAGAATGGAGCCCTGGCGGAACAATCTGGGCCGTGCGGGTTCCCTGGAACCACAGCTGCCGTTGCTACTTCCTGGCCAGCAGCCCCTGCAGGCCCCGCCCCGCCGCTGCCAGCCCCGGGGACCCGGGCAGGTGGGTGTCTCCTGCATGGGGCGGGTGTGGACAGATGGGCACCACCAGCCACCTGCTGGAAGAGGCTGGCTGTGCTAGCCCTGAAATCCTCTGTGCCCACAAGCCCCTCATCACCCCAGGTCGGGGACGCTGCCTCTGCTCTCCATGGAGTGTCCTGAGCTGAGGCCACAGCTGGGGCTCAAATTCAGCCGCCTGCGCTCCCAGGAGCTGGGCCCACCCAGCACCCCAGCTGCTGCCGAGCCCCAGCTCTCGACCAGACAGGGACACCTGCCGCAGTGCCCTGAGCAGCACCTGCAGGGACTACGGGCAGGGCTCCGGGTGTGGCTTCCCCGCCCCAGCCAGGCCAGAGGCCCTGCTCCCCACCCTAGGCTCACCCCCACCCCGGCCTGCTCTACCCCCAAAGCGGAACCGCGCCAACACAGAGGGCTGCGGCAGGGCCCACGTGCCAGAGGCCAGAGGGCTTGCATTGTCTCCGCGTCTGCAGATCTGCAGGGCACTGCGCCACGATGAGCCCGCGAGGGTCTGGAGACAGTACATCACTGTCCGAGACGGTGCAGGCAGCCAGAAGCCAAGGAGAGGCTGCAGCCCGGTCTTAGCGATTAGGAAGCCTGGGCTCCTCCCACCGCCGTAGGCCGCCCAACCCACCAGCACCGCCGCTGGACACCTGCAGTGCACCTGGCACCCAACAAGGTGCTCTACTGACCGGCGTTAAAGCTCGAACCCACCCTACGAGAGCCAAGCAGCCCTGTCACCAAGCCAGGCTCCCTTCCACCCTCTTCGCGTGCCTTCCCCTCCAAACTCCCACGAGGAGCCCACCAGGTGGCGCTGTTCCAGCCCCACCCTGCAGGTGAGGGGAGTTACAGCAGGGGGCGCTGTTCAGCAGCTGGTCCGAGGTCACGGAAGCCGTGGATGGGGCTGGGACTCTCACCCAGGCAGTGTCCGTAGCACCACTGCCGTCAGACCTACTCTCCACACACGCCCGCCCCGCCCACCTTGCTCTTCTCCTGCTGGAACTCGATCTGAATGCTGGTCAGCTTGGCCCGCAGCTCCTCGTTGGCCACCTGCACCGCATCCGTCTCCATCTCGGGCTTCTCGCCCTTGCTCCGGCCTTTCTTAGACATGCTTCCCCTCGGTTCGCTGCTGAGAGTCCACGTTCACGCCCGCCGGCCAGCAGGCGCCGCCACCCGCTCCGCCAGGCCGACCAGTCTCGCAGGGCTCAGCTCCTCCTCCGTGTAAACCACCATCACTTGGGATCCTGGGGAGGAGGAGGCTGGGTTAGCCGAGACAGACAGACAGACAGACAGACAGACACCGGTGCCCCGCCGGTCCCGGGCTGACTGGGCCCTTCCCGAACTAGGGCTGCACAGAACCACCCAGAAGCCTGTTAAGGCGCAGAGTCCTGGGCCCACTCCCAGAGGACCTGCGACCACAGCGCCCAAGCGCCCTGCTGACCGCGGTCTGCAAAGGTCGGTGAGACTCAGCCATGAGGGTGCCTCCGCCAAAGGCGGGTCCTGGAGGGGCGCACAGCTCGAAGCTCGAGGGACATGGCGGGGCTGGGGAGTCCGGATGCCCCTTCCACACACCCAGGTGGTCCTGGAGCAGGGTCTGAGGACCACACTCCGAAAAACTAACTTTTAGGCTTCATAGTGGATAGGCGTTCCCTCCTCCCAGCTCCCCAGGCTAACACAGCGCTGCTCGCCCCAAGCCACTAGCTCTGGGCCCAGGCCAGCGCAGGCCAGCCAAGGCCGCTGGAGGCGGCAAGGGTGGAGGCCAGTTACGCCCGTCTTGAACAGGAGAGGGCGCTGTTTCCCAACGCCCTGACGCCGTGTCCAGGGGCAGCGCACACCACGGATGGATTCCAGAAGGGTGCGCCGGCCTCCAGATCAGCACTGTCAGCACGCATGCACTCCATCTGCTCTGCTCTGACGTACGGGAGCCCGATCCATAATTTATTCCTGGTGCTCTGACCTGCCGGCAGTCCCCGACAGCACAGCAGTTCTCAGCAGTGGGCGGGGCTGCTGCTGCTGCTGCGCACTGACCCCGCCCCCGGGCCCCCCCCCACCGCGAGCAGGGCACGCCCACAGAGACGTTTCTCTCCGCTACGCCACGCTGCGTCTTGACCACCCACTTCCACAAATGCACCCACCAGACCCACAGCCCCTGAACACACACTCGACGTGCCTCCCACCAACACGACGCTCAGCCACGAGGGACAGTCAGGCAAATGGCGTCCGAGTCGCGCCAGCAGTTAGTGCTACAGGCCACACTGCCCAACTCCCTTGGAGCCCTCCCCGGTCCCCTCCCCTGCCACCTGCGGCCTGCCCACCTGCCCCCACTTCCTCCGAAACCCGATGGGGGCTCTCCAAGTGCTCACCCCCTCCACTCGGCCCCACCAGCTCCCAGGTCCCACCAGGAGCAGCCCTGCCTGGGGGCCTCCCCGCCCAGAGGGCCCGGGCTGGCTTCTCCCCACTCACGAGGCCCCTCCCCGGAAACGTCCACAGTCGCTCCAGCGAACCCACAGCAGCTGTGCCGCCCTCTGACGTGGCTGCTGGGCCACACCGGGCTGGCATCGCCTGCCGACCTGTCCTGCTGATCATCCATCCATTCATTCATTCCTTCCATCCGCCCATTCGTTCCTTCTACAACCCTTCATCCGGCCTCTGCTCTGCTCTGCTGGGCATGCTCTCAGCACTGGGAACACAGAACAGACCTCCTCCCACCCACAGCGTCCCCCCTGTGACGAGGCTGCCCATTGGGGCGGGGACTGGACAGGCCCGCTCGGTGCTCCGGCACCCACCACAGCGCCCGGCCCCGAGCGGGTGCTCAGAGACAAGCCAGCGGCAGAAGGAGAACCAGGCGTGACTCCCACTGCAGGGCGGCTTTCAGGAGTGGCTGTGGGCTGGGGAATGGCCCGGTGTCGCCGGAGCCTCGTGCGTTCCAGGCTGAGTGGCAGCTAGAGTGCGGGGATCTGAAGGCTGCGGTGCAGCCACCGCAGACCGAGGGCAGAGCGACTACACTTCCCGGTGAGAGGCTCCGCGTGGCCGACCCCCCCAGCCCCACGCTGGCTCTGGCCCAGCAGACGCGCCCCCCAGGGCGGGAGCGTGGTGCCACTCCCAGTGCCGTCCTCCTGAGCCGGGGAGGGCTCCAGCATCAGCTCTGGGCTCCACGACGTGCACCTGGACGTGCAGGGGGGAAGGGCTGGCCAGGGCCCCTGAACCCCCGCTCCTCCCGGCCTCCCGGGAAGTTCCCGGGCCATAGAGCAGCACCCTCAAAGGGCCTGTCGCCTGGGGGCACCCCACCCACGGCCAGCGGGCACCGGGCCGGTCTGCAGGGGCCCCACTGGGCAAGCCGCTCGGTCAGGGCCTTTCTGGGTAAGTCAGTCACTTTCCTAAAGATAAGAGTAAAACCAGGCAAATCGAAGAAAAACATTGAAGGCTTCCAGAAAAACTAATTTCCAGTCCCAACCCCACACATGGGTCTTTGCAGCCCGTCTTCCCCGAAGGAAAGGGCCGGCGGCGGCGGGTGGGCGCTCCGTCCAGGCCCAGCCCTCTGCAGACCTTCGCACTGGACCCTCCAATGTTCGAGGAAGGCCTCCCACCTTCCAGGGTTCGGGTGAAGTCACGCGGCACGGTGCCAGGCCGCCCGGTGGTGAGCAGAGTCCAGCGTCTGGAAGCTGTCTGGCGCTGAGCCACAGCAGCCCCGCCCGTGCGTGAGCTCGAAGGAAGGCCCGCTGCCCCTCCCAAAGGTTTTTAGAAACAGGGCGACACGATGACCGAAGTTAAACCTCAGTGTGTGTGTCCGCTCACAAAGTCCAAATTACACCAGGCACTCCCTCCGCCTTCTCGGCCCTTTTCCCCCACCCAGGCTGCGACTCCGTGCCTCGCCACCCCACCCCACCCTACCCGCACGGGGCAGGCCCTCTCAGGCCACCAGGCCGGGGAACGCCAGGCGACCCCTCTTGTCCAGGCTCACAACCCCGGCTCGGATGACGTCAGCGTAACTCTGCCCTCCCCCCACCCAGGTCCTCACCGACTGGAACACAGCCCCTCCTTTCCAGCCCCCACCTGCCTGTGCTCCACAACGCCCCCCCCGCCAGGCCAACGGCACACTCATTCCTTCGGGAGACCTGCCAGAGTTGACGGAGCTGCTTCTCTGGGGACGGAGGTGAGTGAGCCCGGGGCTGTCCCCCACCCCTGCTTCCCTGCAGCACAGAACGTGCCGCCCCCCCCCCCCGCCCCGATCGGGGAGGGGAGATGAGCAACGCCGGGGGCAGGCTCGAGCTCCGGGGGCTTCCTGGCAGTATCAGCTCAGCGACCTCCATGGTTCTTTGAAGCAGATGCCGGTCTTCTCCCGCCCCACCCCCACCTTAGAGAAGGGGAAGCTGCGACCCGGAGAAACTGCGTGGCCTGCCCAGGACCGTGGCCTGGGAAGCGGCACCACCCGCCAGAGTTGTATCTGCCTCAACCTCTCCTGTTGTGCTGTGAACTTCAAGGGCGTTGTCTGCAGCTCAGCTCAGCGTCGGCAGCCCCAAAAGTCTGACGCGCGGGGACCCAGCCCTGCTTGCTGAGCCCAGTGGGGTCTGCCTCCAGGAACGGCAGGGTGCTCCTCTGGCTTCGGAGCAGCACCCTCCAGCCTCAGTGGCCTCCCGGGCTTGGGGAACAGCCCACGGAGCCCGCAGCCCTGGCATCGGCAGCCACCCGGCTTCCCCCCGAAACCCGACAGACTCCGTCTGGGCCCCAGGGATTGCCCCGATGCTGCCGGTGGGAAGCAGTCTTCCAAGAGCACCTTCGAGAACATGGGTCTCTGAAACCCGCTCCGTGCACCATGACCGGAAGAGGGGGACAGGTGTGACACAGCTACACCCCAGGCTTCAGTCCCTCCGTTTGAGCGACACTGTCGTCACGCCCCCGACGGCAGCCGCCCGGCCCCACAGCTGCGGCAGGCTGTCCTCTGGCACGCGCAGGAGACGCACGTCTGCAAAATGGGGTGCTCGCCTGACTGTCCGAAGCCGGTGTGAGGTGAGAGGGGACGCGGTGACAGACAGATGGGAGCAAAAACCCCCAAGTGGTTTGCCTTCCAGCCACAGCAGCCCACGGCAGCCCAGATGAGCTGTCCCAGCTCGCCCACCTTGGTCCCCGGTGGGGGGGAGGCCTGCCATCCCGCCCCAGTGCCCACCGCCGCCCCCGGCACGCCCACCCAGGGGCTGTGCGGCTGCTCTGTGCGGCGGACCACCAGACCCCGCACCGGAAGAGCCCGCAGTGGCCCTCACAACGCAGGCAGTTCCTAAAGCAGCACACGGAACCTCGGATTCTAACCCCGGGAGGTGCCTCTCTGCCCCCTAAACTGGACCTCAAGTGCTTCGATGGTGACGCTGGTGAGACGGGACCCTTGCAAGGGGGGACGTCTGCGGATCTTCTCCCACAAGGGGGCAGTCCTCAGCAAGTGAGTCTGTGAAGCCCTCGCCACCGCCTGCCTGCCTGCCTGCGGGCCTGCCGGAGGGCAGCCGGTCTTTTTGGAACAAGCCACACCCACGCCCGTCCACCACACCCACCTTCCTAGACAGGAGGCAGGCAAATCCAGCCAAAGCCACACCAGGGAGCCCCGCCAGCCCTTCCTGCACCTGGTCCGAACACCTGGCCAGCATCGCCAGCACTGGCCCCGCCCTGGGCCTCCCTCTGTCCTTTGCGACTCGAGCACGTGGGCCGGGCGGTGTCTGCAAACCTCGGCCCCCGGCCGCGGCTGAGAGTCCTGCTCAAAGTGCACACGGCACGCGCCTGCTGCCTCACGCCAACCTCCCCGAGGTGCCGTCTGCCCTTTCAGGGTGCGGCCCAGAGGGTGTTGGCAATTAGGACCGAGAACACGGGGACCCCCACGCCCCTGTGCCACGGAACCTTTATCTGCGTAGCATGTTTCCTCAAACTTGCTGACATTTTAAAACCGGGTACACCACTTCGGCCTTACTCCAAGCAATAACATCCACAGAACCGGAGGCTTAACGTGCTAGTTACACTTCCTCTGACGCGCGTGAACATAAACACTGTTAACGTGTTTGCCCGTGGGCCACCTCCAGTCTTTCCACGCCCCACGAGAGCGCTGTGTCCCCACGGAGGAACGCTGAGGGCTCTGAGGCCCCTTCCGGCTCGGGACCTCTGGATCCCACGTGTCCCCTGTCCCAGAGGCTGGCCAGGCGCCAGTATGCAGCAGGGGCCTACTAAACACTGGCTGCTGAACCAGACGGATGACTCAAGGCCCATC